ACGTTGGAATTTTCAGTCACGAGGTGTTCATACAGTTTATGAAAATAGGAAAGACCTGATTAAAGTTATGGACAATATAGAAAGTACTTCACGCGATTCTTCGTCGATTAATCAAGCCAGTGGGTACAAATTAAAGCTGCAAGATACAAATTTTGTATTTTGGCTAAGTATTTTCCATAAAATAATGCCACATGTTGAAATTGTCTTTAACCAATTACAAAAAGTACGCACCGATTCTGTTAAGGTCAAAAATGATTTAGAGAATTTTGAAGCAGCAATTCAAACTATACGAGAACAAATGGATAGCATTATTGACGAGATTGAACGAGTGCAGAGAGAAACTGATGAACCGGCAAGAAAAAAAAGGCAAGTTGAAGAAGGCAGCAAAAAACGGGAAGCGTTAGAAATATGCGATGCAGTATTATCGCAAATAAGAACAAGATTTAACTTTTCTGGACATTTAGTTGCTTCTAATTTATTTGTGTCTGAAAAGTTTTCTGTTTATAAACATCAGTTTCCTGAAGCACATTTAAATGACACATGCACACAATTTTCATTTTTAGACAAAAACAGGCTTAAAACTGAGTTACAAGTATTATATCAGAGAGAAGAATTGAGTACTACTTCTGGAGCTGTTCCACTATCCATTTTATTGAACGAGGAAGGATTAAATTGTACGTTTCAAGAAACTCTTAAGCTCTTAAGTATTTTAATCACTATACCGATGTCAACATCTGAAGCAGAAAGCTCTTTTTCAATGCTGAAACGGATTAAAACTTTCCTCAGAAACACAATGAAGGAAGAAAGGCTTAGTGCTTTAGGAATGCTGTCTGCAGAAAAACATTTTGTTAGTGGCATTGAATATTTTAATAATAAGGTAATCGAAAACTTTGCTACCAAAAAAGAAAGAAGAATGGACCTCATATATAGAAAACTATAGTTATAGGTACTTCTCCACACTTGTTTTATAATTTGGTGCGCGTGTGTAAATAGTTTTATTTTTGATTTTTTTTTGGACATATAGATTTATTGAACCTCAAGAACTTTGACCACTAACTATCAGGGGTAAGTTATAAGTTATTCTTTACAATTTTGAATCGATTCAAAATTATGGCTTCCATTCTGGCACTACCTCACGGAATTGGCACGAGCCGCCACTGATGGTATCTGTTTCTGCTTCGGGCAATGGCTCTGGTGCTTAAATAGAGGGATCGGCTGCTTCTATTATATCTTCTATTTCTTCTGGGAGCATCCTCCGCGCTCCTAGTTGACGATGAGTGCCTAGTATGCGGCGTATACGCCTTATGGTCGCATAGAAAAACGCGGTAGCGGGATATACCGCCGTTTGTGGTCCACCTCTTCTAACCACATACTCCCGAAACATGCGAGCAGCTGCTCGAGCATTTGCTAGGTCAGCATCATAATAGTAATCCATTTCTGAATAATCTCGCAGAGAATATGACATGATTCTACTCAGATGCCAAACATTAGATACAAATTCCGCGCTGGACCATTGCGTGACTTAGTAATTTCGGGCGGATCGAAGATTGAAGAACTGTCCCGCTCCTGGAATGCCGAGTTGAATGCCCAGGGTTTATTCTACATGGATTGAAATAGTTTTTCCAATAAAATGAATAATGAAATTAGCTCTGTTAAAAAGTGGCAGAACTATTGTTAAAACTCGAAATTTAACTCATCTCAAAAAAAATCACAGCCCTAAACCTAATCGTTTAGTTGTGATTGCGATTGAAAGTACTTTATGCCGTTTTTTTTTTCGAAAGTCAGGGGGGGTTCATTCGATAAGTACATATTGAGGCCCTCTATCACTTGACTTCCGTTGATCTACTACTAACTTTACATCCTGTTACCCTGTATATATGAGTATTGTGACTTGTGACAAATCTGACTAAAATATTAGCTATATAGATTGCAGTTAAAAAGTGATTTGTGTTCTGTTTGTTGTTCAATATGAATTTGAAAAGTTTGTAAAGCTTGAATGGGTTGATATTACAGCGAAGCACTATGTTAGATGAATGCCTAAATTGTAAATATACATTTATGAGATTTGTTTAGAAACTGCGTCAATCGATGCTCAAAGTCAATACCACACGTCCCGCATCTTTTGCCGCATAATTATGTCTATTTATGTAGCTATGTTGAATTCGTTTAAATCACAGAGCTTCTGCACTACACTTGAATATGTACCTACAGCCCTGTATGCATGTACTTGTTTCTTACAAACATACATTATTAAAATCATTACGATCTAACAGATATAGTTTTTTCCAAAGATTTCCAACATTTTTACATGCGATCAACACCGATTCGAGAACTGAGAAAACAACAACTATGCCGTAAATCTAAGTTCGACAATGAAAGTCTGAGAAATAACTGTAACATCTAAATTGAATTTTAAAAAATAATTGACTGCCTATTGATATTTTTATCACCTGCTGATATAATGAAGTGCTTGATTGTGTTAAGTATTAGCACCATTTACTTGATTTGTTTAATGGGCAGTTCAGACTCTTAATCCTTAAGTTTAGTACACACTAGTAGACCCCGTTGCGCAACTTGTCTATAGGCAGTTTGGAGACGGTCTCAAAACAGTCTCAAGACACAATCTATAGATGGTCTATAGACGTCCTTCTTTGTCTCTTCTAGCGTCCGTACGATAATGTTAATTTTTCGGTTTCATATTCGTTTTCGCCATCAAGCATTTCCATGTTTTTTTTTTGTCAAGCTGGCCTTGACCAGATAGAACACAATGGATTTAAGGAGCAATAATAGGATAAAATCCTGAATCCGCCCTTGTTGTACTGTAGAGATATGCAGCGGCTTGACTAGCGACAGGCAGTATGGTATCCGGCACCAGCAATCAGCGGGAGATTTAGCTTACGTCACGTAACTGTGGAGTAAACTCCTCCATTTATATGGTGTGGATCATGTCGTTGCTTTTGATGTCACGAAAACTTTCCATGCAAGCTGTCCTCTTATGCAAACTTCCATCGTGAAGCCTCCCAGAGAAGCTTTGCAAATGGGTAGTTGACCGTCTGATATCCGGCGTAATTGACGCCCCTTCATACCACAACGTCAATGCAGGTGTTTCCCATCTTTACTTATGGCAGCACTCTATATGCATGAATTCATTGTGCCAAACTGTAAAGAAGTAGACTAGCAGAGACTTCCCTTCTAACGAGAAACCTAGATCTTATCACCGCTTGGCGACACAACAATATGGTACAGTGTATTGCTTCCAAAACAGTCCTATGTCTTGACTATCAAGAAGCGTCCTAGCGTTCATCCGGTTTAGATGGTTGGCCCAGTTCTACCAATAGAGCCGTACATTTCGGTTGGTCGTAATCCAGATCACCGTGAACTTGATCTGGCACGAACGCAACTCAGCAAGGCGGCAGCTGCTGAGAAAAAGCTACGCTATTTGTTTGGAGTAAGAAGCAATTTTCTCCACATAACCTCCTCACTCTGTATAAGGCCCAGATAAGACTGGAGTACTGCTCACATGTTTGGGGTGCTGCCACCCCCACTACATTATCCATGCTTGATGCTGTTCACCGACGGGCCATCGACTATCTAACTTTGTTCTGCCGCAGTCTCAACGGGCGGAGTTCCACAGGGGTCTCCACCATCATATGCCGCAGCGCGATGAGCCTGTCAGACAGACCCGACTGACTTCGACCTTCCATCCTAACCAATCCGAGCATCGTACATCCAGAACTGCTGGGTACGACACTCCTTTGTACCCAAGGTTTCAAGATTGCAAAACAATCTGCCAGACGTTCTTCGCAGGTCTGCTAACCTTATGCAGTTCAAATATCGGATTAACAACGTGTGCGTGAGCTCATAGCAGCCGTGATGCCTCAGTATTTAGGCTCCTGTCTACACAGCTGCTTCGGTATAAAAAATCAAAAGCGCACAAAATTAATAGGTTATATTTTCAATATGCAGTACCTTAAACGCATTTCACTAAAGATTCCATAGATTCATTCGGTCGACCGGGTTCCGATGTTTAAACCTAAGATTATTCCACTAAATACATTAGTCCTGATTCTTGGACCCTCCACGAAAGTGTTAAAGTGTTACCAGCTCGACAGTTCCTCCCCATGCATCAGCAGTTCGAACAACTATACTTACTTAAAATGCTTGGTAGCAACCAAATCAGACTTACAAGTACCGCACTCGGCTTCCATATACCGCGCCCGAATATGACAGACTGTGGATTTATCAGCGTTCTTGTTGAATAGAGATTACCTTCTAGTTCTGCAGTAACGGTTCAATGCTAGTCTTGGCTCAAGTTTTATATGATCAGTATTTCAAATATTACTGTAATTATTTTCTTTTCGAAGTAAAATAATATGGGAAAACATCAACACAAGGGAACCACGGATATATCAACTTCCGAAATAATTATTGTTTAACGTACAATACATATGTGTGTCATATTATACACTTTTGAAATCAGAATAAATAAATCTATTCACTTATACAAAAATCCGATATACCATAAAGAAAAATAAACTTGTTGATTGAGGATGATTGAGTTCAGGAGATATTGAAATTCTAATTTTACCACCTTGAAGAGGAGGCAATGTCAAAGTGTGATTTATTTCAAATCCTACCTCAAATAAAAATGAGGGAAAATCGGCTCTTTCGAATATATAGAGAAATACTCTGAACTGTTAAGCTTTCTAAGTACCACTCTCTCAGTTACTTGAATACACAAGTTTGCCCCCATTAAACCGAATTCGTACCTCTTAAAATAACATTATTTTTTCTCCAATGACGAATTAAATTTAATTTTGCAGACAGTAACCACAATAGCGGGCATAATCCCGTATCCGTTCGATACGGTTCGCAGACGAATGATGATGCAGTCAGGTCAGAAAAAATCAGAAATGGCATATAGGAGTGCCATGCACTGCTGGGCGACGGTAGTGAAGACCGAAGGTTTCAGCGCCTTTTTCAAGGGGGCTCTTCCAAACGTACTCAGAGGCACTGGTGGAGCCCTCGTACTAGTTCTGTATGATGAAATCAAAGCACTTATAATCTGACATCTATAATATTCTGGGACATATTCAATAGCAAAATAATTTATTGACTATAATGGAATTCCTGAAAGCAAATTAAGAGGTAACAATAATTTGCAATGACATACAAACAAGATTCATGCTTACTTGTTGGTCTTATTCCATGATTACAAGAATTTAATACTTGAGCCTCACATTTTCATTGATGTCTTATTCTAAAGGCGAATGTCAGAAGAACCATATTTACTGTGGGTCATAACATAAGTATTTACCCATCATTCAGCGAGTGTCAGTGGATTTCTAAGTAACATTAGGCATCAGTAACAAAAAAATACTGATCATGTGACACTGGCGGAAGAACAGAATCTATGTATATTGATCAAATTAGTGTATTACAGAATTTTTTCATGTTATGCTATATGAATATTTGCTATTTTTATTTATTTAATTGAAAAAATACTAGCATGTAAGTGCACTAAGCCAATATTTTGGATTCAACTGATGTTTTGATAAAAGGCAGTTGAGAATGATATGAATAAAAATAGTAATGTGCAATAGTACAGCTATAGCAATAAGTGATCATTTTTGTAATGAAGTATATTATGTCATAACAAATAGAAAATAACAATTGTAAAAAATATTGTAGCACGTTGTACACTAAAAATTTATTTTGTTGGTTTGACTGTTGAGATATCAGCCGCAGGTGTGTATATATATATGTATATATATACAATAAATATATATATATATTTAATTAAATTGTTTAATGATAATTGGCAAAACTTAAAGCTTAGAAAACTCTTTTGACGGTAATCTCGAGCTTTCGACAAACTATGTTGTCATTTTCAGGAGCTAAAACACAAATATGAAATTAGCAACAATTTAGAACAGATTTAAATTTTCAAATCACTCTCTCATCGGTAAGGTTGCAGCTAAATGGTGTTTTAAAACAAAAACGTGGACGAGAACACTTGTTGCAATTATAAAACCAAAAGACCGGACACATTGAGTTTGATGCTAATGACTACTGCTCATATATATATATATATATACAGGGTTTGTTCGGAAAGTAACAGGACTGGGTCGATTTAAAAAAAATTATTGAGCCAATCGTTACAATTCTTTAAAAACTTTCAAAATAGGCTCCTTCTGCATCGATGCAGCGCTGCCAGCGCGATTTCCAAGCATTGAAGGCGTCACGGAAGGCATTCTCCGGAATAGCCTTGAGAGCCGCGGTGCATGCTGCTTGGATCACCTCTGTCGTCTCAAAATGCTTGCCTTTCATTGGGCTATTCAGGCGAGGAAACAAAAAAAGTCCGGGGGGGCACATCTGGGCTGTAGGGCGGCTGCGGAAGCGTTGTTATGCCGGCCTTGGTCAGGTAGCTGTTCACAAGAAAGGCGGTGAGCCGGGGCGTTGTCGTGGTGCAACTTTCAGTCGGCTGCGATGTCTTGTCGGACCCGACTGACCCTTCGTTTGAGTCTCCTGAGCACTTCCACGTAAAACTTGGCGTTGACGGTTTGTCCAGGAGGAACAAATTCATGGTGGACGATGCCTTTGATGTCAAAAAAGACAATGAGTATCGTTTTCACTTTGGATTTGCTCATTCTTCCCTTTTTTGGGCTAGGAGACGCCGTCGTGTGCCACTCGGAAGATTGCCTCTTTGTCTCGGGATCATACTCAAAGATCCACGACTCGTCACCTGTGATTACGTTATTCAAAAATTGTGGGTCACTTTCAGACATGTTCAAATTTTCTTGGCACACTTCCACTCGCCGCAATTTCTGGTCGTTAGTGAGCACTTTTGGGACCATCTTCGCGCACACCTTGCACACGTTCAAATGCTGTGTCACAATGTCATGAACCACAGATTTTGGTAAATTTAACATCTGGGCAATTAAACGAATACTTAGTCGACGGTCTGAGTTCAAAACTTTGCGCACACGAGTCACATTATCGATGTTTGTCGAAGTCGAAGTACTTCCAGCACGGTCTTCATCAGCGACCTCTTCCCGGCCCTCCAAAAAGGCCTGGTGCCACAGAAACACACCACTTCTTGCCAAAGCAACACCTGGGTAAGCCTGCTTGATCATATCAAACGTCGCTGTCGCAGATTTGCCGAGTTTCACACAGAATTTAATCGCGTACCTCTGCTCTAACGAACGCTGCATTTCCGGGTTGCACCACTCACAGAAACACGTCGCGCGAAAATACCAACCAACTGACCAGCCGCTCATTCGTTAGCTAGGAACGCCCTCTACCGAATCCAGTCGGTGCGCGCACGCTCCGAAGTACAGTCATGGCGGAAGAAAATGAGTCCTGTTACTTTCCGGACAAACCCTGTATATATATACGAGTATACATATTTTCAGGTGAGTTTATTCGTTCAATATCCGATTCACTTATTATCAGTACAGTACAAACATTTGAAAACAACAAAATGTATTAGGTGGACTCCATATAATTACTGAATATGACTCTAATAAAATTAAAACTCTATGTTCTCATTTATGTTAGTTATTGCCCCATCTTGAAGCTAATAAAACAAATAGTGACTAAAGTCATGTACAGATATGTAACAACACCGCGAACCGAACCACGCGACGAACCGTAGCGCGCGCATTTTGACGACGAACAATATTGCAACGAACATCACAAACTCAACGAAGTCGTGCAACCACATCGCGCAACAAAATGACGATCCAATTTTGTTGTTTGTCGTTCAGTGAAAGACAAATACTAGCCGGAAATCCAGAAACAAGCGACGACGACGTCCGAAACAATGGTAACAAACGCAGTTATGTACCAATAGATCAGCACACGGTTGCAAGAATTTGATAACGGAATTGCCATTTTCGTTTTTTCTTGCGCACGCGCATTTGGACCAATAACATTGCAACAAACATCACCACAAACCGAACGAAGTCGTGCAACGACATCGCGTAACAAAATGACGATCCAATTTTGATGTGTGTCGTTCAGTGAAAAACGAATCCTAGAGGAAATGGATATAGCAGTAGCAGCAGCTACCTATGTTAATATTTACAACTACTTATCAAAAAACAAGCGGCAATAGATCAGCACACGGTTGCAACAATTTGATAACGGAATTGAAATTTCAACAAGTAAGTGGACAGTACAAACATTTTACGAGGATGTCTCCGACGGATTTTGAATATCTTCTCACGTTGATTGGACCAAAAATACGAAAACGAGATACAAAATGGAGAGCTGCCATCACAGTGCAAGAACGTCTTGCAGTCACGGTACGATTTTTAGCGACCGGTGATTCATATAGTAGTTTGCAATACATGTTTCGAATTTCAAAGCAATCGATCAGCTACATCATTCCAGAAGTTTGTGAGGCATTGACCGAAGTTTTAAAGGAAAATATGCAAGTAAGAAAAATAATTCTTTTACTTCTAAGTACTTGTACATTACAAAATAACACATTGGTGCTGGCCGCACCGGTATACCTGTACAAACATGTGCAACTTCGTCGCGAGCTATTCGTTTGATGTTGCGCTGAAAAACCGACAGAGCCTGGATCGGGCCGAACGGCGAGCTGTAACGCTAATCAGGTTCGCGACGGCGCTCTATTCACCGTCTACACTAGCGCGGCGCGGTTCATCGCGTGGTTCGGTACGCGGTGTTATATCTGTTCATGGCTTAAGATTATGAACCTTTATATCATTTGATTTTGTGAGTTTTTTTATTATATTCATATTGTAAATAATAAATGAATCTATATAATAGCATTATGATAATACAGGGTGTAAAGTTAGTAGTGGATCAACGGAAGTCAGGTGATAGAGAACCTCAAAAAAAATCGAATGAACCCTTACATGTGTAGCCCGAAATTTTATAGTTCAGAAGAATTTGCAATTTTGTGAAATTTCTAAAAAACGGGATAATGAACTTTCAATCACTTTTTAACAGAGCTAATTAGAAATCAACACAAAATATCTTTTTGTGAAAAATCTCTTCCATTCCTCAACTTTGGAGGGGGTAAAAAAAATTGAGGTTGTATTTCATAATTCATTTTATTGTAAAAACTATTTCAATCCATGTAGAATAAACCCTGAAAATTTCAGCTTGCCACATTCGTTGTTGAGATGCGATAAACGTAAGAAACGCAATAGCATCCTCTTTTACGAGCTACAGTCCAAACGACTTGATGGATTTTGAGTTATGAGGTACTGTTAGATTCTTCCTAGCAGTGCGAGTGAGACTGTGAATTAACATTTTGTAAAATCAAAATGGCGGATTTTTTACGCAAATAGCCAGATCAGCTTAATGAGCTTGGACATTCAACTCGGCATTCCAGGTGCGGGAGCGTTCAATCTTCTGTCCGGCCGAAATTACTAAGTCCGGAAATGGTCCAGCACGGAATTTGTATCTAACGTTTGGCATCTGAGTAGAATCATGTCATATTCTCCGCGAGACTATGCAGAAATGTATTACTATTATGGTGCTGTCCTAGGAAATGCTCGAGCTGCTGCTCGCGTGTATCGGGAGTATGAGGTTAGAAGAGGTGGACCACAACTGGCGGTATATCCCGACTACCGCGTTTTTCTACGCGTCCATAATGCGTATATAGAGGGCCGCGTATAGAGATCCCTCTATAAGCACGAGAGCCATTGCCCGAAGCAGAAACATCCCAAACTTCACTGCACACAATACTACGATCGGAGAACATGCACCCTTACCATGTACAAAAAGTACAAGAATTGCTTCCAAGCGACTATCCACAATGGGTTGAATTTTGTGAGAATATGTTGAGAAGGTGCGAAGAGGATGAAACTTTTTTCGACAGCATCTTATGGGCAGATGAATCCAACTTTAACCGAGTTGGAATATTCAACGTGCATAATTTCCATTCATGGAACGTGGAAAATCCAGACGCTATTTGCCGACAGAGCTTTCAACGTCAGTTCCCCGTTAATTTATGGGATACTGTGTATATTAACATTTTGTAAAATCAAAATGGTGGATTTTTTACGCAAATAGCCAAATCAGCTTAATGGACTTGGGCATTCAACTCGGCATTCCAGGAACGGGAGCGTTCAATCTTCGATCCGACCGAAATTACTAAGTCACGCAATCTGAGTAGAATCATGTCATATTCTCCGCGAGATTATGCTGAAATGGATTACTATTATGATGCTGCCCTAGGAAATACTCGAGCAGCTGCTCGCATGTATCGGGAGTATGTGGTTAGAAGAGGTGGACAACAGTTGGCGGTATATCCCGACTAGCGCGTTTTTCTACGCGTCCATAATACGTATATGGAGGGCCGCATACTAGGCACTACTCGTCAGCTAGGAGCGCGGAGGATAGCCCAGAAGAAATAGAAGATATAATAGAAGCAGCCGAGAGAGATCGCTCTATAAGCACCAGAACCATTGCCCGAACCCCCATACTTCAGTGCACTCAGAGAACATGCATCCTTACCATGTACAAAAAGTACAAGAATTGCTTCCAAGCGACTATGCACAATGGGTTGAATTTTGTGAGAATATTTTGAGAAGGTGCGAAGAGGATGAAACTTTTTTCGTCAGCATCTTATGGACAGATGAATCCAACTTTAACCGAAATGGAATATTCAACATGCACAATTTCCATTCATGGAGCGTGGAAAATCCACACGTTATTCGCCGACACAGCTTTCAACGTCAATTCGGTGTTAATTTATGGGCTGGAGTATTCAACATAAAATTAATTGGACCGTATGAATAGCCCGCCAGGTTGAATGGTCAGTCATATCTTGCTTTTCTACAAAGCAGTTTAGGAATGGTGCCCCATGCCACTTTGCACGGGATGTACGGCATTACTTAGACAGTGCCTTTCCTGGGCATTGAATAGGTAGAGGTGGATACATACGATGGCCTCCAAGGTCACCCGATTTAAATCCTCTAGAATATATATGGGAGTTTTATAAGCGTATAATCTATACATCTGAATATACAAATGCCAACCAACTGCGCCATAAAATTGATGGAGCAAAAATAAAAATTATGGAAAACGCAAATTCATTTCAAAGACTAATTTTATAAGGTGTCACTAGTGTATAGAAAATAATGGAGGCCATATTGAACATGTTAGTTAAATTAAATTATCTTCCACATTTGTCGGTGAAGGGCCATGAACAGCGGCTAAACACAATAGGTTCTGTACTTGTAGCTGGTAAGGATTCTATTGCGTTTCTTATGCTTATCGCATCACAACAACGAATGTGACATGATACACACATTGTAGCAAGCTGAAATTTTCAGGGTTTATTCTACATGGATTAAAATAGTTTTTACAATTAAGTGAATAATGAAATACAACCTCAATTTTTTTACCGCCCTCCAAAGTTGAGCGATGGAAGGTATTTTTCACAAAAAAATGAAGTTAAGATTTTTTGCGTTGATTTCTAATAAGCTCTGTTAAAAAGTGACATAACCATTGCTAAACCTAATCATTTAGCTCACTTCAAAAAAAAATCACAGCCCTAAGCCTAATGGTTTAGTTGTAATTGCGATTAAAAGTTCATTATCTGGTTTTTTAAAAATTTCACAAAATTGCCAATATCTCCTGAACTATAAAATTTCGGACCACACATATAGGGGTTCAATCAACAGGTTTTAAGGCGCTATATCACCTGACTTCTGTTGATTCACTACTAACTTTACAGCCTTTATAATAGTAATCCAGAACACATTGAACCAAACAATAAACATGGGCGACCACAAGAATTTTTCAATAAGAGACAACTTTTTGGGAAAATGCTATCAGCCCCCGATTTATACTTTGAGGGGTATTGTTGCGTCTTGTAAAACCGGATTTCACTTGAAACTTATAGAGGGTAGTCTGATAAATTATTTTACATCATAAAAAATGTGGATGAAGCACGCTTTTCATGAAATTTTCCTCCCAAATCCCAAAACACTGTATTTTTAAGCAGTTATTTGCCCCACAAGACATATAGAAGAAGAAGGTTTAATTCCATGCTATTCAATGGCGACAGGGTGGCTCGTATGGTTGTCAGCGGCCATTTTTTGAGGGTGCAACATGGTTGCCAGATTGTGCATTAATATCCCGCAACGTTGCCAGCTCTACATATAAATCTGAGATTGCTATACTTTTATATATATAGAAATTTGGTGGGATATGGGAAAACAGCATGTGTTATTAACATTTTGCGCTATCTTGACGAATAAATCATTTTTTTTTGTATGTTAAAATAGCAACATCAATAACACAAGCTGTTATAAGATCTCTCATATCTACTAACTAATCTGGAAAGTTTCAGAAGAAAAGCATATACTGCAAATACCTAAATATATATTTGTTATATAAATCTCAAAGATTTTTCTACAAACAAATCAGTATTAACATCATTATGGTCCAGATGTTTGCATTCCCCAGCCTTTGATGGCACCTGCATAAATAAAAATTAGAAAAAAATTGGATTGTGTTGATATGTTACCACAATTCACAGATTTCTTTTTTTATTAGAACAATAATATGATTGTCCATGGGTACCCACAGGAATTGTTCTCGGATGTGCTGATCATCATCAAGAGATAACTGTTACCACAGCCCCCTTGAGGGCACCCATGTTATTGTTCAATAACAATACTTGGCTTTGATTTCATTAAAATTATAGTGAGCTTTACATATCAACCCTTCTGCTCTGACAATAGCTGATTTAAAATGAAGTATGAAAACTAACTTGGACAAAAAGTAGTACAAATCATCACTAGTTATTGAGTCATATAAAAACTTACAAATGTTATGTTCTGCAAATAGAGCTGAACCTTTTAGTTAGATCAGAAGTAATCTCTGAGCTTATGATAATTCTCAGGACCTCAGGGGTTGACAACAGCAGCTGTTGAACTTTTGGTGACACTCCACTGTTCAAAGAGTGATGTGGAGATACAAACAGGTATGATCTTCAAATATTAGATTCCTAAATGAGTAACCGCTGCATCTCTGATCTTCCTCAGGATCTGCCAAAAGCCTGGCTAATGACCTTAAAAGAGAAACACCAGTTTTGATGTGGAGTTTGTCTTATAGTATTTACAAACATAGGTATTACAGCTTTGTGTACTTACATTGTTATACTTCACAACTCCGAACAAAATGCATATGGCTCAAATAACATAATAGGGACTTTATTTAATTAAAATGAAATGTTGGTTAAGACAACGACATGCTGAAAAAAGTAAGGTTATTTTTGCAAAGCACAGAGCAGAGCACAGGAAGAAACCCGCCGGAAATTTAAATCTGGCCAATCAGACAACGTCCGTTGTGAATAAGTGGCCATTTTTTTAGGGTGCGACTTGGTTGTCATATGTACATATTATGCACCAGCAATACTGCTTTGTTTCCCATTCACTAATGAGTTTAACGGTTTCACCCCCCTGATTTCCACCGTCGTCTACCATATACGATATAACGCTGACGTCTGTGGATATGTCATAATTCAAATTCAAGCGTATAACCAAATGAAAATGGTACTTACCAAAATGGTAAATACCATTTTCATTTGGTTATCCGCTTGAATTTAATTAATGTTTTGGGAAATTTTTTTCCTAAAAAGCGTTCTTCATCGAAACTTTTTTGTTTCTAAATAATTTATCAGACTACCCTTTAAAAGTTTTTAAGAGAAAAAACAGTGAAATCGGAAGTTCTACAAGACGCAACAGCACCAAAACACCACCTAGATACTAAAAAAATTACAAAAAGTCTGGTTAACCCTTAACCGGAAAGGTGCCGTCTGTGAGACTGCGGCGTTTCTATACCTGAGCGTATCTTTTTTTATTGCACCTCTAACAGACGTAAAAACCCATCTAATCCATAAGCTATTAGTGACCATCGCCCACCCCCATTCACACGAGTCTAGCCAAAACGTGCCTTAAAATAAGGACCAATTTTAGTTTGTTGCAGTCTGTCAGACGGCACGTTTCCGTTCCCGTTTGCTATTTGTGTTGCATAGGTGCGTTTGCGAGTATGGCGGGACCTTCTTAGGGCGTATGCACATAGAAAGCTGGCTACCGGCGCCGATCTACCAGCGCTTATCGGCGCTGGTCTGTTCCGGCAACCTCTACATAAAGCAAGCGGGTTTAAGCAGAAGCTCGCTGGCGTCTCTCTGTCTATGCTTTGTGTCTCTCTGAGCAGCGAGCAAAATGTCGAGCTCCTCAGATGAAGATATATTTCTATTAGAAAATGTGTTTCTCAAAATGCGCAAACAAAGTGTACACCCCATAAATAGAAAAAGAAAAATTTACGGAGAATATCATCATTTATTTCAAGACATTAAAGCAGACAAACAAAGATTTTATAGATATACAAGAATGACTCCAGAAACATTTTACTACATTTTGGATAAAGTAGAACATCGATTGATAAAAAACTGGTGTAATTGGCATCAACAACCTATTCTCCCAGAAGAAAGACTTGTTGTTACCATTCGGTACGTATCAAACATTTTTAATTTAATTATCAGGGTATTCTGATAGGCCCTCAGCGAAAGACTGTAAATATGTGATTATTGGCGCATGGAATGCTTCTGATACAGATTGAGTTGCGTGTGATTCTGGTGTGTGAGGTGTGATTGGCGGTGAGTAGAATGATTGTGCTTCCGGTTGAGTTGCTTGTAATTCTGGTGTATGGCGTGGGATTGGTGTTGAGTGGAATGGCTGTGCTGCTGATTGGGTTGTGTATGGTTCTGGTGTCTGACGTGTAGACTGAATTGCACGTGGTTCCGTAGAGCAGCTAGAGAGAGTTGAAGGTGAGAGTCGCGGGAACTGGGACTGGTATGCATAAATGTCAACTGTTCTTTGAATATCATTTCTAAACGAAAGCAACCGCTCTTGTGGAATTTTACGAATATGAGGCAAAAGACTTTTCAGAAACAGTAGATGTTCATCGTCTTCAAGTTTTCTCGCTTTTTGTTCCAGGTATTCCAACTTTTTTCTTTCAATATCTAGCATACTTTGATTGAATGGGTTGGTTGTTTTTGTTTTGTTACGTGGAACTGAATTGGTGTCATTACTGTTTTCTTCTAGTGCATGATGTGTACTCGTATCATTGTCTTTACTGTCGTCGGAATTATTAGTCTGTTCTACAGATCTGCTAGATGAAGCACGTTTCAACGATTTGGTTAAATTTCCTGAAGAATTTCTTGCTTTGACAATATCTTTCAGGAACATTAGGGAATAATAATATGGCCATTTCGGCTCATACGAAGTCGAAGCTTCATCTCCAGATCGAGGAGCAGGAACTTTCCCATATTCAGTCGCGAACTGATCCCTTAAATATTTCCATTTCTTCCTCAGTTTGTTTTCTGGAAAAAAACAGTCGTATTATTTCTTACAGGTATCTGGCAACAGGGACAACATTTGCACATTTGGCTTCTGAATTTAGAATGGGTCTTTCGACAATAAAGGATATTATAGAAGAAACAACGAATGTTTTGTGGGATGAATTACATCCAGTACACATGCCCATACCTACAAAGGAGGCTTTTCGTGCAATAGCAAATGACTTCAACAATATTTGGAATTTTCCAAATGTTTTAGGGGCAATCGACGGAAAGCATGTGCGCATACTCTGTCCAGATGGATCAGGGTCCATGTTTTACAATTACAAAAAATATTTTTCTGTCGTGTTACAAGCAGTCGCAGATGCAAACTATAAATTTATAACAATTGATATCGGCGGGTTTGGTAAACAAAGCGACGGTGGAACATTCAAGGCTTCAGAACTATACCAACGTTTAAGTACTGGGCAGATGGATATTCCAGAAGCGGAATATTTACCAGGAACAAATGTGAAAACACCATATGTTTTTCTAGGTGATGAAGCGTATCCTCTGCTGAGATACCTACTAAAACCTTTCGGAGGCAGAAATTTGCCTTCAGAACAACGCAACTTTAATAAACGTCTATCAAGAGCTAGAAAAACTATAGAGTGTGCGTTTGGTATAGTAAATTCGAAATGGCGATTGCTTTCCAAATGTATTGAAACCAATATTGATGTAGCTGACCAAATCGTTAAGTGTATATGTGTTTTACATAACACTATCATTGATAAAGAAGGTATCAACCGTAACTTAACTCCTGTTCATTTAGTACGAAGAAGGTGGAATAACTCAGGGCACGACTCAAATGAGGCAATGGATATCAGAAATATTTACGTCAATTATTTTTTACATAACACTCACCGTCTACATCCATCTCGGCACTTATTTCCCTCCAGCATTTATCCATCACGTATCTGTTTGAATGCCTTTTGTCTCTTTTATCCCAAACAGGTGGTTTACTAAAAACTAACGAAATCAGTATATCAATAACCATATTATTAAACGCGGTGTTGTTCCCTTGAAAATTAAGCCGCAAATGGCAGTTTACCAGCGCTTATCGGCGCAGGTCGGAACCGGTCAAAACTTGTCAGCGCCGTTCGGCGCTTATCGGCGCTGTTTCGACACAAAGTATAGAAACTGCCTGCGCCGGCTGCCTGCGCGCACCGGTTCCGATAAGCGCTGCTAGATCGGCGCCGGTAACCAGCTTTCTATGTGCATACGCCCTAAACGTGTACGATACGATGATCCGGAGTTCGAAGAAACCGTTCTAAAATGGTTTGAGGATGAAGGAAGTGACTTTAGTGATATAGACAGTGCCTCAGAAGACGAATACATGGAATCAGATCATACAAGTGATAGTGAGTTATCAGAAGACGGAGCCGAAGGAAATGAAGAGGATTTACCAGCTCAGAATTATTTCTATGGAAAAAATCGTCATACGTGGAATATTTCGGAAGTTGTACCATCATCACGTACAAGGAAGCACAATATAGTCATTAAAGTACCAACTCTAAGAGGAAAAGCTCATGAATATGGAGAAGAAGCAGCTCCGTTGACGGTTTGGCAGCTTTTGTTCACTGACGACATGTTGGTACATATCGTTAAGTGGACCAATCACAAGCTCAAAGAAATGCGAAAGAGATACAAAAATCAAACCAGCAACCTAAACGACACTGATTTAGTCGAAATAAAGGCACTATTGGGTCTCTTAGTATATACATCGGTGTTCAACAGCAACCACGAGAACATTGAAACACTTTTTGCCACCGATGGCTCTGGAAGAGATATATTCAGAGCTGTCATGAACATAAAACGATTTGGTATTCTCCTGTCAGCCTTAAGGTTTGATAACCCAGATGACAGGAATGAAAGAAAGAAGCTAGATCCAGTAGCACCAATATCTTTCATTTTTAATAGTTTTATAAAGAACTGTCAAGATGTGTACGGAGTTGGCCAGTCTGTCACTGTCGATGAAATGCTCGTGAGTTTCAGAGGAAGATGTCGATTTAAAATGTATATGCCTGCGAAACCTTGCAAATATGGCATAAAAATTATGGCATTGACGAATGCAAGGAATAGCTACCTCTATAACGCATATATATACTGCGGTAAAGATTCCAATAGTTTCGAACTTCCTGAGGAACACAAGCGGTATTCCAAACCCACACAATCAGTTCTACGTCTCGCGAAGCCTCTGTTTGGAACTAATCGCAACATTACAGCGGACAACTGATTTACGTCAATAGAATTAATGGATGTCCTATTGAAGAACAAACTGACCTATGTGGGTACAATGAAGAAAAATAAAAGAGAAATTCCTCCGGCATTTTTACCCAACAAATCAAGAGAAGTCGGATCAACAATGTACGGATTTCGAGAAGATTCCACTATTGTGTCTCATGTAAGCAAAAAAAATAAAGCCACAATACTCATATCTTCTATGCACCACAGAAAATATTGTGATCCGGAAACACAGAAACCGGAAATAATAGCCTATTACAATGCTAATAAAGGTGGAGTTGATTCTCTTGATGAAAAATGTTCGAAGAGTAGGGTAGAGTGGGGTTAACTGGACCCACCAAAATTTAAACTCTGTTTTTGACCAGTAAATCGTTGCTAAAAACATACCTTTGTGACCATGCTTTGGTAGTTATGTAAGTAATTGGAAAACGTAATGTTTAAAGTTAAATTTAAATTTATGTGTATGACAGATTGACTTTTGTTAAAACCTATCAAATTGTCCAGTTAACCTGCCTGTCAGGTTAACTGGACCACTTATGCAGGTTGACTGAACAGAGGTACAAACAAGACATATTTTTTAAATTTACTTTTACTTAACACTTTCTACATGGAAATTTTGTCAGCTTCTTATGATTTAGTGCCCTGGAATCTTCATGCGCTGCCATTTTTGTTATTTAATTGACAGAAATATACAATAAATTTGTCATAAATTGTTAAACAGCAAAAATGGCCATGCATGGAAAATTGAGGGCACTAAACCAGAAGAAGGCTGGCAAGCTTTCCATCATTTACTATTACCAACCTAATACCCTAAATACAAGTCTAGCCCTCTAGCGAATAAGGCGACTAGCTATAATAAAAATGTTAAAAATATATCATAGAAAATATGTCAACACTTTTTAACAATCATTTTTATTTATAATAAGAAACATACTGAAGATACATTAAAATATTATAGATAATTTTAATAAACTGTAAAGTCAAACATACTGAACATGTATGAAAATATTGTAGGTAATTTTAATAAACTGTAAAGTCAAATTCATTTAAATCAACTTGAAATGACACCATGTTGGCATATCTAGCGCTGTTACTTTTGGCTGGCATGGGTAACTTACAAACAATATCAGCTTTTACAACAAAGCCATTTTCATTATTTTTAAAAAAATATTTTGTTTCTTTGTGGCGTTTTAAAAAAGTAACCTCAAAACCATCATTTACAGCATGAATAATTTCACCAACATTTAATTTATTTTGCCCATACACTTTCACGATTACAAAATCGCCTTTTGTCACAGCTTGTGGACTATCGTCATATGCATCAAATTCTTCTAAAGAATCCGAGCTTTCTTCATAGATAACACTGTCATCATCAGAAGAGCTGTCTTCTAGAATACGTCTTTTTACTGCCTCTTTTTTCTTGTTAGTTCTTTTGGTTTTTTTTGTGCTTTTTCTTCTCGAAGTCTTGCTTCTTCCTCTATGTTCTCTTTGACTGGAGTGTCTGTCAAAATCAGGGATTTTTTCTTTCTTCGAATTGTAGACTTTCGTTCACCAGCTTTGGGGTGAGGACGGATCTGTTCAGGAGTTATAATTTGAAATGTCGGCTTTTTTATCTCAATTGAAGATAAAGTCGGTTTGGTTTGTGATTTTTCAGTTTGTAGGTTAGCAGTGCTCGACGATTCAGCTTGTGATGGTCCGGCTTGTAATTCTTGATATTTTGAGAGCTGAAATTGTGACAGAACAGGATCTGTCATGCCATGTTGAATTGGTTTAGGCAGTGATGTATTATCTTGTGACGACCCAGCTTGTGGTGCCTCTTCCTCTGATGTTTTCCCTGGTCTATCTGTAACATATGACGAAAGAAATTCTTCATCCGAAAATATTTGGTCATTAAACGGCTCTATTCCTGCTGCACGAAATCCACTGCATATATTTTTTGGAGTAAATGCTTGCAAAAAAGCCTCTCCAACCAGACATCCGATGTCATAAATAGTGATAGGTTTTCCGGCATGATTTACCATCCATCTGTCACAACTTGCACCATAATATTTTTTAAATGGCCCAAATACTGCTAAATCCAATGGTTGCAGCTTGTGGCTGCAATGGGGTGGCAATGTCAAAAGGAGTATACCATTTTGCTTAGCAAAATTTAGTGCTGCAATACCTAAGTGACTCTCATGATTATCAAGGATTATTAGTTTGGGATGTTCTTTAGATGGTCTCTCGTTTTGTACGAAATGCTGCAACACAGGAAGAAACAACTGACTGTTCATCCATCCAGAAGGCGAAGCTCCACCCTTAGAGCCAGCTGGAGTTCCATGGAGCATATTTTCTTTAAAGTGTACTCGGGGAAATATTAAAAAAGGAGGAACATATTGTCCTGTAGCTCCAATAATTCCTTACGAGCGTCCCTCTTTCAGCCGACGTCATCTGGCCTACATTTCTTTTTCCTTTAATTGCAAGAACCTTAGGAGGTTTATGGACTGTGGTTACACCGGATTCATCTAGATTGTATATATCATTAGATTGCAAATTATATCTCTCTTTAATCTCTATAAAATTTTTAAAAAATGCCTCCACATTTGTCTTATTAAAACTGGTTGCTCTACTTAAGCTTGTTTGTTCTGGCGTCCTCAACGAAAAGTTGTGCCTGTTCATAAATCTAAACATCCACTCTTTGCCTGCCATTGCTTCTCGGGACCAACTTTCTTTTATGGTTTTGCCATTGGCCACCGCAAACTCGTAAGCTAGAATACGAGCTTGTTTAGAAGACAAGCCATACTGAATGTTAGATGCATGCTCTAAGTATTTTTTAAGAAGTAATTCTTCATCGGGACTAAAAGCCAAAAGATGTTCGTTGTTGGGGCGAAAATTTATATCCAAGTTGTTTTTTTCCCGACATTTATCGACATACCTTTTTAAAGTAATTCTTGGGATTTTAAACTGAAGTGCAACACTTCGAGTTGTTCGACCATGTGTCAGGACTTCTTCACATGCTTGTCTAAGATCTGCTACACTATATGATCTGTTATTGGTAGTACGTAGTCTTTTTCTTGGCATATTCTAAAAAATAAACTAAATTTGTAGACAAAATAATAATAAATAAATAACGCAGGTTAACTGAACACCTGTTCATATAACCACATACATGAGATGTCCAGTTATACCCACTGTGCACCAATACATAAGCAAAAGAAAAATTTGATTAAAAAATAATGTTAAGCTTAGGTAAACACAAGAAATAAATGCTAAAATACTTACTGGAACAAAATATACGTCAAACCAATTTAAAAACTCTATTTTGCTAACTGTAACACAAAAAAACTTGGGAGCACAAATTTTACGTGGCGGCCATTAAAAATATGTTTGCTGATTTACGAGATTAGAACCGACTTAAAAGAAATCTGCACCGAACAGTGTCAACACACGTAACAAAAGACGCTTTAAGGCAAAATCAAGTTTAATTCATCATTACTAGATGGCAGGAACATCGATGTGTTCAGTTAACCTACCTGTTCAGTTAACCCCACTCTACCCTACCTCAAGTCGCCGTTCGCGTAGGTGGCCACTGGTTATTTTCTACCGACTATTGGATATATCGGTAGTGAACTCGTATATTTTACACCAGTGCTATAAGAAAAATGAATTGCAGAAGGAAAAATCGGTGTTTGCTAAGATGTTGGACGCTAACCTGGTCCGTGAGCATATGGAAAAGCGACTAGAGAGTCCTCGTTTACCTCGGGATTTGCGACTTACGATAAATCGCATCCTTGGCAAATGTGAACATCCAGCAACAGAAGCTGAAAATTTGGTTTTGGAAAAAAGGAAAGCCTGCTTTTTATGTCACCGAACGACCCATCGGATGACCAAATTTTTGTGTGTACAATGTAGGAAGCCTGTATGTCTTCAATGCTCCAAACCCAAATAGCTGCATAAATATAGGCAATGTTTGAGACTTGCAGTGAATTTTGATTGTGTTCTTTTTGTATTTATTGACTATAATATACTTTCCTTGTTCATTACTTAACTAGAAAATAGAAAAATATTGAGACTTTTCCATAGTTTTAATTTAGTTTCTGAATGTTGCAACAACAGCGTTATTTTTGTATGGTTTTAGCATAGTTAAAAAAATGTTTCTTTTATGTTCTTGTATCATTTTGAAATGAGCATTTTACGTATTAAACACATAAAATAAACATCCAGTATCAGTTTCAGCGAAGTTATTGCTTGCTTTTCGCCTTACTCTAATTTTTTGAACATCTTGAAGTTCGCAGTCTGAGAGACGGCATGTTTCCTTTTGTGTTCCAAAAATTCACGTTTCCTGTTAAGGGTTAAGGTTAATCTCAATTCACATACAGTTATGCATGGTTAATCTAAAATGCTAAAATCTACAACTAAAATGATTTCCTGTTTCCCTATTCCCTTTCCCTTCCATTTGAAACCCCTACTAATGACAACTGACATTTATTGATTTATCTCTGTGAACTTTTCACATGGAACGTGCAACAGAAAAAATGAAAAGTAACTAATTTTTAAAAAGAAGCCTGAACAGTGATTAGTAATATTAAACTAGTGTGTGTTTTATTAATATTTGGTGGCAAATTTTTAAAATGCTCATATTTACTGTCTAGAAACTGAAATAGCAAGCTATGACTCAAAAAGAACCAAAATGCTGGATACGTGTAGTGTGGTGTAGGTCCAAAAATTTATGTTTGTAGACCTGCCGATATGTCGGTATATCCGGCGATACGTCAAAGCGTCACGCTTATCACGCTGTCGTGCAGTATTTTTCCTCTTTTACGCTGGAATATGGCATCAGGTTAGTATTCGTTTATTTTAAATTTCTAGTTTAGTGTATTAAATCGCGGATTTATTATTAGATTTGATAGTTTTCGTCTACTAACTCACACAATATTCTAACTTCACAATTTTCTTGCGAATTTGTCGTACCAAAAGGAATACCGAACCTCAAAATTTTTAAGGTTCTGAAGTCCGCGTGCATCCATTCCAGTGCATCTTATTTTATACAAGTCTGATATAGTGCTATTTACAGGAAAGAAAGGAAAAAAGACCAAAGGTAAAACTTTGGCCTTGAATGATTTCTTGCAAGAAACGCCGGGAGCTATTCCCATCCAACCCATACGGAAGTCAAATGTTAACTGGGCGGATGAAGTGGACGAGCATGGTATGTTCCAAGTTACTCATACATTTAAATAAAAATCACAGAGGCAGGAACATGGAGTTGCATGCGTTTGATCAACCTCAGGGTTATTGAAATTTGAATATTGATAGTTTGGTATAACTTACTAACAATATATTAAAGGGAAAGGTCTCATATAGTAAGCATACAACAGTCATTCCTTAATTTTGAGTAAGAAACTTATGCAGCATAAAAATTACATCTTCCACTTATTCTCTTATTATTCCCCATAGTTTTATAGACAAGTATCTCTCTAATCTATATGCCCAATCTAGATAAGGAATTGCTGAACATGCCTTATTTATTTCATTTATTAGATTGTTATCCTTAATATGTATGCCCATAAATGTTTTTTTTATTAGGGACTCCTTGAATTGACACTACTAGTTATTGAGAAATGTGGGATTTTTCTCTTCTATAATGGATAGGAGACTTCTATACAAGCTAAAAGGTTATTGCAAGCCATTTTTATGAATTAATTGTAATGTGCTAAAGCTCAAAAAAGTACCCCAAGGTATATTGAAAGATATTTTGCTACAAAAAACTGCTAAGGGAGGGTCTGCATGCTGAGCAGAGCTTTTGAGAGCAAATGCCCTTATGACAATTTAAGATCCTGGGGGTGGGATATGTGCCATGATTCAGGTCTAGCAAGGTAATTTTTAATAAGCTAATAAAGCTAAATAAGATTCGGTAATATATATCCCAAAAAAAAATGGTCAAATTGGGCATCTAAGGGAGGAGCACCTGCCTTGTCCCCTCTACAGCTATGACCTCTTGATTAAATCATAGGTATTATTCTACATAAAGACAGTGACAGGAGGTTGCAACCAGTGACACTAATAGCAAATTGTTAACAGAAAATCTGTTCTTGCAATAAATTCAAATTGAAACTAAATTATGTTTATCAGTAAGAAGCTCAATATGCATACCTTTTATTGCTCAGTATTGTCTCTTTTTTTATTTGGATTTGAATATTTCCCTGTGATGTGACAGATTTTCTATATAAATATTACACCATTTTAGATTTCTTGAAGACATTCTTTAGCACCTAGGCGCATTGATCATTAATTTAATACTTAAAAGTAATAGATACTATGACTATGCTTAGCCTCAAGCACTGTTGGGCACTGTTCTCACCAAATAGCCTGACAGCAATTTAACTTCAACCCAATTTTGACTTTGTGCAACACCATATTAGCAATTTTCAAGCAATTAGCATTCTTGCTTTGAGGTTGTGGATAGAGTTACTATCTACTTACTCATATGTCTGAATCTATAAATATGCACTGTTTTTGTCCTTAAAAACCATATTTACCTAATAAAAGCTAGTCAGATCAAAGTAGTGTAGTATTTTTTATGTACTAAAATGCTCCTTTACATAACAAATATATGTGCAAAGAATAATATGAATAAGAAACTTATATTTTTTTTGAGACTGATCTCTTATACATTATTAGCTTGCTTGTCACATTTGTGTCAACAATTCCTCTTCTGAAAGGATATTCTGCTCAAACTAAATCACTTGAAATATGTACTTTATCAGATTATAGATCATTTTTTTTTTATACAACAAGAATGTTTGCTGATATATTACATCCACACATATCTTTCCTCAATTGGTGGGAAACCGCAAATTGACGTGTGACAAGTCTTGAGCAACTAGATGCATTGCATGGTAGGTTGTGCTTGCCACTTTCTTTCGTTGAGACTTCCTTAGTGTTCACTGGTTTTAAGCTTGTGACTTACTTTAAGTTTGATATCAGGTATTACAGGATTGAACCCCAGAGAAAAATCTAAAATAAGTGGCCTCATGTTTGTAATGGACAAGTTTACCTTTTTTTTTTTTTTTTTTTTTTTTGTTATTAGCTCAAATGAAAGTTTAGCAAAAATGAAACAAGATGGTGAACAAATTATTTATATTTAAAAACAAAAAAGTTGCGGCCCGCTAGAAAAATTTTATTCTGTCTGCACGTTACAGTGGGACACATTGTAGGCTAAACGTCTTCCGCCCCAATTTGTTTAATTAGTTGACTGCATATACGATCGGTTATGAGTTATAAATACTGTACCATTCCAAAATGTACGAGCACAACAATTACAACCCCTAATAAACATTTTTTCTACATACCTTCACATGCAGCATCCATAATGGTATGAACTTACGCAGTACTCAATAGTTATCAACTGGATACCACGCATCCGAGCGCACAGGTGTGCCTTATGAATTGTCTATAGACTAATGACTAAACGCATATACGCTGTCGAACACCTACGCGACGAGACGCTGGGCACTAGAGAAGTGTGACGTCGGACGCGAACGAACGGCAGCTATGATTTCGCGCTATAATGCTCAAATTTAAGTATCAATTTCTGTTATTTATTGGCAGATTTCAATAATTTTTTCCCTGGCTTTAGTCTATATAGTCTATATTTTGCTGGTATGTCATTACTTATGTGATTCTGAATATCACGACACTTCTCCATTTTCAACCATTTTAACATCCATGTTCTTGATCCTCTTGATTTTTGTTTTTTTAACACTTTAAACATGATGATATGGTGTACAGGATGCCCAGAGAATATTTTTGATCTGCTACAATTCTGCACCTGGAGCATACATACAGTGTACCTGGTTACACCCTTGTTGCAACGGGAAGGTCTGAGAAAGGCCATCTGACCCTCCAGCTGGGGGCCCAGTTAAGACTGGGGTGGGAGAACCAGAAACATGCTCTGGGAGGCACCTATAGCCCAGTATTGCTCCTTGAGAGCATAGGCAATGCGCCTTTCGGGGTTGGAAACTCCCACGGCCGGCTGTTTAAGTTTAATCTGCAGACTGGGCTATGCTCAGAACTCAATTCAGACTAGTCTGTGGCGGATCTCATTTTTCTCAGGTGCTACTTGAGCCAAATGTCTGATATTTTAGTCTAGTGTATAAATGCCAATAGCGTATTAGATTTACAGTGCTGAGTTTTATGTGGTTTAACTCATTTTTATGTAAGATAAAACAGATTGATAGATAAGAGTAGTTTGATTTAACTTTTTTTTTAATTTGACAGTTTTCTTTACCATCCTGACATTTGAAGTATTGTGATTGATAAAATGTTTGAGCTAAGGGAATGACTGTCTCAGTAACTGGTAACCATGTTAAATACATTGACAATTGGCCAAATACGCAATTAAAGGTTAGAAAAAATTTGATTGCAAGCATACATTTCTATTTTTTTAATGAAGCGATTTATATTTTTAAAATTCGGTGCAGTGCAAAAAAACCCAAACCTTGAATTGATGCATGTATCTTTCAGCCCCTTGATGATAAAATATTTTTTATGAATCCAGGCTTTCAGATAATTCAAAACATTTCTCTTAAATATATTATAAAACTAAATAAATGACCAGCAGTATTTATTGGTATCACAGCCATATAAAGCACTAGACTAGAAATATATTCCATGTTTCAGTTTAGAAATAAACATACCTAATCACTATTGATTCTGTTCTGGTTGCTGACATATGAAGATCTGTTCGAAACCCGTAAGGCTGTCAATGTGGTGCTACCAACGGCCCCAAAAGCCTCCAGAGACTATGAAGACAAAGTTCCTAAGGACCCGCCATACTGCGCATATATTTCGAACCTACCATATGACATTGATGAGGAAGAGATAATGGACTTTTTCAAGGATATGAGGGTAAGTTAAGTAAATTAAATACATGATCCAAGTTCTAACTAAATTGAGTAATTCACCGGTTTATGCATGGTTTGAAATTCTGCATTATATATATATATATATATATATATATATATATTATATTTTATCATTGATTAATGTATTCTACCTGAAGTTAGCCAACCATATACTGTATTCCGCCCAAAAAGGGATATAAGAGATCCTATCGCCATATATGAGAAGCAGAACACAAAAATGAATTTATAAACCTACTTCGAAAAGAGTGGAATATAATAGAGATGGAATATGTTAGTGTCTGACCATTCCCAATTAAAAGAAGCAAAATCCATGGTTTCGAGAAGAAAATAGGATAGGATTTTTGCTCATTTTGCCCATTAATTTTTCTATTTGTTATATACCTTTCCCTGCATGATCCTTTTCCTTTTGTAGATCGCTATAATTGACCGCGTGGTTGTGGGTAGATGTTACCTTGAAAACTCGAGAGTTTTTAGCTATTATACTACAAAAGTGTAGGTTGGCTCTTGTTGGTGACTTGGTGTGTAATTTGGTTCCCTCTCCATCTTCGTTTCCTCAGGATACACACATACCGGAATGTATGGGCATGAGGGTCCACTTTTGTAGTTGCATATGTGCATTCATTTTGGACCTGATGAAGCCAACAAGCAGAATTACATATTGCTCGGGTTACTTATCCTATTTTGTGCTATGTAAATCCACTTTCTTTCTTTTTATCACACTTTTTATCTATATCTGCATGATCCTTTCATTTTTATATGTATTTACAGGGTGTTAATAAAGTATATTGACAAACTTTAACCATCGAATCTGTGGTCAATTTGAAGACGAAATTTCCATATGATCATGGGTCCGCAACAGCTTTATTTTCAAGCTAGAGCATATTAGCACTAAAAGAAATGATGATATTGTTCTAAAAAATTATAAAAGAATGAAACATATTTTATTTTAATTAAATATGCATTGAGGTGAATATCACATGATTTACAGTTGTTTTCAGACCCTCCAAGTACATAGATATGGATAATGTTATCCAGTATTTTTTGACAAAATAGCACAACATTGATTTGTTTTGACTATTGACCTAAATAATTTTTTTTACAAAAATACAGGATAGTACTATTTTCATCCACGTTCATATTGAGCCTCAGCAACCTGTGAAACATGCAAAATTTATCTTAGGCTATATCAACTGTTCAATAAATACGTTTCAATATTCACAGAAATATTTGGAACATTACTCGTATTTCTTTAGTGATAGTGAAGAACACTTGCGGTACATACTATATGATATCTATCCTTACAAATTATGTGTTCCCAAAAAATACTGTATTGTATTTCCTCCGCCACGTTCTGATAAATTACACTGATAAACACAGGATTTGATTTGATATATTTTGAGACCCTTGAATCAAATGTAAAAACAGAGACGAGTTAGTTACGTTTTCTGTGTTAAAGAGTACCGAGATGTTCTGACTACTGTTAATTTTTGTTAAAACGGTGTGTTGTTTAGAAATTGTGTAAATAGTGCGAACAGTTTTTGTTTTTAAATCCCAAAAACGTAATTTTACTCCCCTTGTGTTGAAAGCATACAAACTTTATTTCGGAATTAAAGTTGGCGACCAAGATAAACTATGAGCACCTCATTTATGTTGTAAGACTTTGGAACGTTTGTTAAGAGGCGACAATCGTAAAATGCCCTTTGCGGTACCCATGGTTTGGAGAGAATCGAGAGACCATACTACTAATTGCTATTTTTGCCTCACAAATATTAAAGGTATTGGACCAAAATCGAAATATGCTGTTAAGTATTTTAATTTACCATCAACTTTGCAGACCGTTAAGCATAGTGATGAACTTTCTGTCCCAGTTCCACCAGAATCTTGGTGAAAAATTCGAATCCACCGATTCTGAAAGTGATGATACAGAAAGCGTGAAAATTTCCGATCCTTAGGTTGAAATGTCAGGATGTTCAACAGCGCCGCATTTGATCACACAAGGCGAACTTAATGACTTAGTTCGAGAATTGAATCTGTCAAAATCCCAGTCAGAACTTTTAGCGTCAAGATTAAAAGGATGGCATCTTCTCCACGGTGATGTTAACATTACTTTTTACCGAAAACGGCAACAAGACCTCACACACTGTTTCCATCAAGAAAGGGAGTTGATATATTGAACCGATGTTAACAATTTGTTTGATGCGTTAGCACAGAAACATGATCCAAATGATTGGCGCCTGTTCATTGATTCCTCTAAGCTTAGTTTAAATGCGGTATTGGTACACAAGGGTAATAAATATCCATCTGTACCTATAGCGCACGCAGTTTATATGAAGGAATCATATGAAAATATGAGAGTTCTGTTAGAGCATATCCGTTATAATGAATATGGATGGGCCATATGTGCAGATTTAAAGGTAATAGCCCTTCTTCTTGGAATGCAACTGGGATATTCCAAATATTGTTGTTTTCCTTGTGAATGGGACAGTCGTGCGCGAGATCGTCATTATGAACAGGAGTGGCCACTATGTCAGGTATTAACTCTGGACCTCAAAAACATTGCTCATGAACCACTAGTTGATCCCAAACACGTGTCGCTTCCACCTTTGCTTATTACGTTGGGAGTGATGAAAAAAATTGTAAAAGCTATGGATCGAAATGGAAGAGGGTTTCTGCATTTAAAACAAACATTTCCGAGACTTAGTGAGGCAAAAATTAAAGAGGGCATATGTGTGGGTCCATAACTACGGAAAATCATGAAGGATGATGTATTTGACTGCTCTAAATGAAACTGAATTGCGAGCTTGGAATGCTTTTAAATCAGTTACTGTAAATTTTTTAGGCAATGTGAAGGCGGACTATTATAAACATATTTTGAGTGAACTAATAAATGCTTATAAAGGAATGGGATGTAACATGTCTCTAAAACTGCACTTGTCTGATTCTCATCTCGATTTTTTCCGGAAAATTTAGCTGCGGCAAGTGATGAACATGGTGAACGGTTCCACCAAGACATTTCTGCTATGGAAAAACGGTATCAAGGCAAATGGAGTGTCAATTTGCTTGCTGATTATTGCTGGACATTGTTAAGAGATACTTCAGGAGTAACATATTAATAATGTTTATTCGAGTGTTTATTGGTACTCTTATACACATATCCTTATATTTTACAAGTATAAACAGCAAATAAAATGCCTTATTGCAATAAAACCGTGGGTGATAGAAAAAATCGATTGCTATTCCGGCTTTTTGGGTACGTTTTACATAATAACCACCTTGTTTTGACCATGTCACAAAAAATTATTTTAATGTCGTTCACCAGTGTTACATTATCTATCGAGATTGTCAGAAATATCTTTTGAAAGATATGCTAGGAAACAGACAATATCTACCTGGTAGTTTTGTCTGTGCCAAAAGTTGAGGAAACACTTTCATCAAATCTTAATAATAGAAATTAGTGATATTATATATTATTGTTTTATGGTTTGAAATTATAGATAGCAAGTTTGAGGATTCCTAAGGACGATAGAGGTGGCGAGATCCCGCGATCGAAGGGATATGGCTATGTAGAATTTGAAGATAGGGAAAGTCTGTTGGATGCACTGATATTACGTGATACTGTGAGTAAACTTCATGATAACCAACAAGATTTTATTTTGTAACATATTTTTTTCTTTGCAGAATTTAAAAAACCGCAGAATTCGTATTGAAGTAGCAACAAACACTGATGGAGATAGACGTAGGGGTATGGGGATGATGGGTAGGGACCGTGAAGGTAAGCATATTTAGGTTGGAAATTCGTTAATGTTTATCAGTATTTCAAGGCTTTTGGAGTGGACACTTACCAAGCTTGATTTTGCAGTGTAGATATCCTTGTGGAAGAATAGTGTACAATGTGTTCCAGGACGTGTTAGTAGTCCCAATTTCCTATAAAAAAATAACCGACACGCCTCTAAATTCCACTCGAAAAGTTCTGGAATGACATTAAAAGACGTTTTGGTGGTTTTTGTTCAAATTTATTTTTGCTTAGACATTTATTCATTTTTGAGATCTTTACCCTTTGCATTCTACTAAAAATATTTTTCATTCAATGTGTACAGTGCATGTTGGAAAATATTTATGGATCTCATAGTATTCTTGGAAGTTTCAATAGATATTAGATTTGGCATTCATATTTTAGAAAATGAGATTGTCAGTGTGCTTGCTGGGTAAACTATTTTAATAATAATAATCTTCATTCCATATATCCAATCCCATGAACAATACAATTATAAGTGATATCACAAAGTCATCAGATATATATGTGGTATAAAAGTATAAGGATAAAGTAAATACAAAAAAAAAAATTATAAAATCACATTGCAATGCACATCTCAACGTCCCACCGTAGCATAATAATGTCTTAAGATTGGCCAGAATTACATCAAGAAGTGCACATTCTATTTATAGGTGTCATATCTGAGGTATTTATCTCGCCATTTGGGTTGTAAAAAGTTACAGTGTAGCGTGGAACTCTTTCAGGTACTGCAAAATTAAGTTTAAACATCAAGTGTGGGCAGTCCTATCTATTATTTATTAAATTGTACAGGACTGTAACGTCATTAATATGACGACGGTACACTAAAGTGTCATGATTGAATAATTTAAGTAGTGAGTTGTGGGGAAACCCCTTTCAGGGTAGTATCCATAAACTTTACAGTGCATAAATTTTAAGCTCTTGCGTGAACTGATTCTATCGCTGACATTACATTTTGATACAATGGTTACCAGATCAATCAGGCATACTCTAGTTTAGTCCTTATAAAAGAGGTACTGTTTTGAGACTTCTTATATTTGCAAAGCTTGACCAATTTCTAATAGAGTATCCTTATTTGACTTTGCAACTGTTTCTCTTATGTTTTCTGCAAATGTGAGCCTACTATCAAAAATTACCCCTCATTGAAGGATTGACATCTTTCTATGTTATGGTCGTATGGTCAATCGTTCCTACAATTTTAGGTAGATACTGAAAACGTACTCATTTTCCATAATTTTTTAAACAAATTCAGATATTTCCAGATTTTTTATATAAAAAAAGCTGGTACAAAAAGTAAAGTTAAAAAATGGTAGTCACAGTGTTATGCCCCATACCAGACATACATAAGCGTACACTTGGGCAGTCAGGCACATGGGGGTTAGATTTGGGTTGCCTACAATTATATTCGCACATCCGTTAGGGCCGTATCGTCAGTCGTTCCTACAATATTATATTCAGAAAGGCTTAGTTATTCCTAGATGTTTATTGTTCTGTAGTCCGCTATAGTGAGGCTGTTTTCTTTTTGAATTGTAGAAAATTTCAGGCCGATATAACAGATATAAATCAAAAGCATGAAGAAATAGATATTTGTAACATAGCCCCAAAATAGAACAGAAAACTGTGAAAATCAAGGAGGCCATAAAGGCGTCCTACAATTGTAGGAACGACTAACGATACAGCCCTTAGTGCTGTTGATATGATAAGAAAAATGAATGGGGTTGATCTTACGAGAAAAGCTTAAGATTTTACATTTGCTTATGTTTATGTCGAATTTGTTGTTCTCACACCATGCATAAGGTTGCATAAGGTATTGATATTTTGTTGCATTTGACATTTTTCATTTCACATTGTATTTTCAAATCATCTGCTAAGAATAGGTGCATTTTACTTAGTTGCAAGGAGAGATCATTAATATACATAAGGAACAATAGCGGTCCTAGATTATCTCCCTGAGGCACACCTGATGTGAGAGTATAGCGGTGCAATGTATAACCCCCCATATGCTACTACTTGAATTCTATTTATTAGTTAGGAGTGCATCAATGAAAATAAATCATTATACAAACTCACTGCCTGCAACTTTGATAAAAGGATAAAATGATCAATTGAGAGTAGAAAATAATATAATTTCAAACAATTTGCCAAAAATGCATATGATTGATATAGCACAATAATTTTCGATTATGCTGGCGTCTCCAGATTTTAAGAGTTGGGCAAAAATTAGTTACTTTCCAGATGTTTGGGTATGTATTTGTATTCTATAGTCTATCCAATTCCAAGATAGAGAAAAAACAAAGCAACGTAGCCTGTAATATTCACACGATCGCCCAGCAGCAGGTGGACTGGCTATGTCTCATTGGCGAATTCGATGTCGGCACCTGGTCCGACGCTGTGCCGCCGTACCGCTGCCGCTTCGGTGCGCGTTTAAGCAGTAGTACAGAGTTGCAATCAGGGATCAGACACACGAAAATGAGACATTCACTGTCGATGAAGTCGCTTGGGCGGTTTCTGAAAAATTTTATAATGTTTTACAGGAATACAAGGAAAATCACACGTTTTCCGAACCAAACACGAATCAGAATCGTCAAAGCATTGTAAAATTAATTGATGAGGCTGACAAACATGCAATAAGGAGAAAAGTGCATGAGTTCTTTTTCAAGAATGAGATACCTATGGTAGACAAAGTATTCAGAGTAGTGAATGAAGATGCTTCATTGCCAAGTTTCAAGCGATCGACGTTTCACAAATTACTGAAACATTTACATTTTAGATAGGGAAGTAATTATGCTATGTGGAGAGAATATTTTTTTAAAATAAAGCAATATAGGCAACAAGGTAGGCCAATATACTACGTGGATGAAACCTGGGTTAATGCTGGCCACATTACTCCTAAGGTATGGGTCGATGGATCTGTAACTTCCTTTAGGAGAGCCGTTTTAGAAAGAATATCCACAGTTTTGAAAAATCCTCAGGTAAACTGCCTGAAGTGTGCAATTATAGCTAATAACATCAGTAAGATTTCAGGAAGTAAAAAAAAAGATTAGTGATGCATAAGCAACGGACGTATTTGTAATCTCAATAAATTTCGAATCTATGGTAAAATTCGGTGAGTTGTCGAAAAGAGTCTCGATATTTGGGCGTCACAGACGAAAAAATATACCGTCTTCAAATAGTATTATTTCATTATAGTAAAGTATTGCCCAATAAAATGTTATGTAGTTAAAGTGACTAATAAAGTTGATAATTTTTGATAATGACATTCAACGAATTAATGTTCGTATAAAAAATTTTTAAAAACTCATTCTATATGTCAGTTCATACTTGCAGATCAAGGGAAAAGGCTCGTTGTCTGTCATATTGGCAATGAGAATGGGTTTGTAAGGGCTATGGTGTTTTGAATCAAATAAAACGGGGGATCATCACGAAGAAATGAACGGAGAATCTTTTGTCACACTGCTTTTCTGAAGTGCTACCGCACCTCGCGGGCGATGCAGTTGTTGATTGGACAATGCTCCGTATCATTCCCGTCGAATAGAAAAGATCCCGACGACGTCTTCAATGAAGCTTGAAATACAACATTGGCTTCGATCAAAGAACATCCCATTTGAAGACTCAATGTTAAGAGTTCAGCTCCTAAAAATTGTTAAAGAACCTAGGGCTGAATTCCAAAAATATACTATTGATGAGCTAGCAGCAGCCCAAAACAAAACTGTCCTTCGCCTGCCCCCGCATCACTGCGAGCTCAATCCCATCGAGCTAATATGGGCGGACGTCAAAAACTTTGTAGCTCGGCATAAGACCATATTCAAATTTACGGATCTCAAAGTGCTCTTTGATGAGGTTTTGAAAAAAATTACAGCCGATAATGGGAGAAGTGTGTTCGGCATGTCACATCAAAAGTCGAGAGAAAGATGTGGGAGCTGGAAAACATCTTGGAGGCACAAGTCGAGCCGCTCATAATTAATAGTGGCAAAAGTGATACCAGTGATGAAGATGAAAGTTTCTCAAGCTCATGAATTTAATTCACATGCATTTTATCCTTATAATTGTACATATTATCACCTCCGTTGTCGATCAAATTATACTTGTGCTGGAAACGCCTGGCTTTCCTTTTGTTGTGGTATAAATACATATTTTTAATTATTAAATTATTGCGAGGGGTTAATTGTTTTCGATCATTCAATAATTACCGCGTTATACCAACCTCAACACCCCGCTAGTCTGCCGAGTCCGGCAGTTTTCCTGCTAGAGATGCTAGACGAAGAGTTGCAATCTAACACCAGCAAGTAGTTATCACTACTAAGTATTTTTTTAGCGGCATTTTGGTGGTGAAACATGTTTAACTAAGTAACAGCATCTGTAATCAACAAGATGTTGGAATCACTACTTCATCGCAAGGCACCCCTGAATCCGTCCCTGACTAATTCAGGCGTCACACGATTGTGTTTACATCATTCTATCATGGGATTAGATGGAGGTAGACCATATAGTATCAAAAATGATGGAAAGTGGTTTAGCATATGTATGCAGTCTTTGACAATAAAGCTTGGAACCAGATCAATTCCAGATGTTAATTTATTATGCAACTTTCTAAATGCATTTATTATGTCATCTTCAGAAATTTCATTTAAAGATATACTAAATGATATAGAAAATGCAACACCGACTAGGAGATGTGTTATTTGGAGCATACTTTGACAAGTTTTAGGTCTACTGATAAATAGAAAGTGATTAAAATTTTAACTCGAAATTTCGCAAAATAGCTGAGATATCCCACCTTGATGTTAATAATGTGTTGAAGCTCCTCTGTTCGCTACACTTTCGTTAAGGCATTGATTGGATTAGGTGATTGATGTATTCTTGGTGTATTGTATCCCATGCCATCTCAATTTGGTTTGTCGCTTACGTGTTCGATGGGGAAAAGGTCTTGAAATCGAGGAGGCCACTGAAGCAGATGTACTTTGAACGCTTCTAAAAAGTCTAAACTAATACGTGCGACATGAGGTCGTGCATTGTCCTGCTGAAACAGTGGATCTCGCAATGTTTCAAAAAAGGGAAGCATATGTGGTTGTAAAACTTCGTGGATATAGCTGGGCAGACATGCTACCTCGAATGAACACTAATCGTGACCTGCTGCCCTAAGCAATGGCACCCCATACCATAACACCCTCAATGCGATGAATATGCCGTTCGATGGAAAATTGTACGTTCCGTCTTTCGTCTCGTCTTCTCCTTACCCTTGCTTCTGGACTCATCGGTGAACACGACTGAGCTCCATTCCATATTCTACCACAATCATTGCCGACGACGCTGTAGGGTCAGCGGTAGTACAAGATGGCGACAGTATGAAAACAGCCCAAAAGACTTTATTCGGCGATAAACTGTTTCATTGTTATTGCCCTCCGACAGCATCAAACCATTAGTTCGTAACTGTCCTTGTTGTGGAAAATCTAAGTGCTAGTTGCCTCAAATAACAATCCTCTCCATCTTGGCGATTTCGGCCTTCTTGGAACCAAGCTCGACAACATCTCATTACAGTAGCTTCGTTTCGATTCATCCGATTAGCGATTTCTCTAAAAGAAAATCTGGCTTCACGAGACCCGATTATTCGACCCCTCTCAAACTCGGAAAGTTGAGTAAAATCAGCGCGTGTGCGAACTCTAGGCATGATAAAGCCATGAAACAAATGGAGCCAACACAGAAAAATCCCTGAATATTGAGGAAACATGTTCATATTGTTCGGATCCTGATATAACAAAAAAAAACCTTTACAAAAAAAGTACAGCTCGGAATCCTTCAATATTTTATCAGCGTATACTTCCATGATATCAAATATGTTTACAAGTTTTTATCAAAATCCAATACATAATTCTGGGTGTTGCATTTTATGTCACTTAGTATATAAGGCAGTTGGAACAATCTGTAAGATGTAAGTTGTTAAAGTCACTTGCATCAGACTGTTTAAAAACACTAGCAAAGTACTCCACAAAACCATTTTGTCCCCTACGCCACGCTCTTATAGATTAAATCGTTTATTAGGAGTGCCATAAATATTTGTTTTTGGTCCATATCAGATCTAATCCTGATAGGAAACAGGAAATGTCTATTTAGTGACTGTACCTGTGGCGTAAGTTGAGGAAATATTCTAGAATTATTCAAACTCCTGAAATCATCACTATATGTCACTCCTGGCATAGTTTAACACGTTTAATATCATTCAAAATATCCCATATCATCAAGTGACAGAAGGGTACTGCTTTGTACTTTTTAAATACACCGTCGCTTTGTTCAATTATTTTGCATAAAGTTGTTAGGAAAGTTTCCAATGTTCATGACTAGATTTCAAGCCTGTTGAGAATTGTTCTGCTATACTACTGATATTCAACAGAATCACTGTTGCCAACATTACAAACTTAACCCAAAGAAGCACCTGAATAGACGTTAGAACATGTTGAAACATTGCAGTAAATAATTTAATAACCATACTGTTATATAGCTCTGTGTCATCCCACAAGAGCACTCACAGTATAAATAAGGTTAATGTTATCAGTGTTACTGCTTGTTTTCTAGACATTTATCAAATGAACCCGATGCATCTCTCTACACTTTTCATCAGTCTTATTCTGATTTCAGGCGGGGCTTTTTCCAGTGGCGACTGGAGGTCGGGAGCTAGGTCAGAGTCATCCGATGAGAGGAGGTCGTTTAGAGACGACAGGGGTGGCGGAAGAGAAGGTGGAGGCGGCGCCTTTACCAGGGAAGGTATGAGAGAAGGTGGCATCACTGGAGAAAGAGGCGGCAGAGATTCCTATAGAAGCAATCGAGATGATAGAGGACCTCAGGATGACGGACCGGGAGCGTGGAGGACGGGAGACAGACCTAGTAAGTGTTTTGAGAGCTTAGTAATTATTCTAAAATATTGAAGACGCCAAATACAGGATTTCCGTCTAACATCAGGAGATATGTTGCTTTTACTCATACTACATAAAAATTACTATAGTCTAAGCTCCAACGACAGTCGACCCTACGTCATCCCGGATTTGGATAAACATGGTTTCGGAGTGAGGCTGGAAATGGGGGAATACAGAAAACCAATGTCGCACGGGCATATTTTGTTAAGACACTTAATTAACCATTTCAAATTTTCAACCAAAAATAGTCTGGTAACAGTGTTAATGTGCATTGTTACAGCAGAGTTAACATGGACACGATACGTATGTCAATTGTGAAAGAAGCATATACAGGGTGTTATTTCTTCACCCAATAAGAACGTCTTTATACTGTTGGGAAAAAGTATTTGAATGGAGTGGATATTTCCCATCACGACTGCTGCATTCTCTAAAAGACAGATTAGTGAATATAATTTCCCATAAGTTTTGAAGGATTCGTAAAATTTTTAACATGAATGTGAATCTTAGAATTTGTTTCCTCACCTTCCGGGAGGTAGAAACACGGAACAGTGTAAACAAACCTGTTTTTACCTCAATGTTGGATGAGCATAATATCCTGTTGAAAAGTTTCATAATAGATTATTCAAAAGTTGTTAAATTCAGGAAAACTACTTCATGACGAGCGAAAAAAAGGCTGTTTACAAGAATTACAGATACATCATGAGGGATGACAATGATTATTTTTTAAAATGATCAGACTCGAATAAATATGTCGGATGAGAAAATTCCTAATTTCGGTCGTCCAACCACAGACGGATGGTGGCGGGGGGAATGTTGAGACCCCCTGGATCCGCCCCTGATTGAGAATTTTACTACAATTGTCACCATATGTTTTTTGGTTGGAATTTTGGTCAAAACGTCAGTTTTCAATTTTAAAATAATTAATTGGAGATCTTAATAACAAAATATGCCTGTCTGATATTGGTGTTCCGTATTCCCCCATTACCAGCCTCACTCCTATACCATTTTTATCGGAATCCGCTGTGATGCTTAGACTACTAGAAGGCTAGATCCGAGGGCTGCCAAAAAAAATATATTATAAATTTGAGGAATTTGTATATTCGGTCCAACCTGCGTACATTCTATACGATCGATAAAAACGCGTTATGTACACGTTCATTGAGGGATAGGGAAGCAAAGAGAATGGAATGCAAGCTTTTTTGATGGACTATGACCCACATAATCAAATGACAGTCTGTATATTGGAGAATGGCAATCTTATAGTGCACATCATACGAACGACGATCATGTCAACTTTTTGACTTTGGCCAAGTTGTAAGGCCTACATTTAGTGTTACTCTAAAGAGCTTGATTTTCGGCCACTTCATTTTTCAGGTGCTCTAATTTTGTAAAACCATACACCTTAGCTCCAAATTGATCAGCATAGCACATACGGAATATTCATCTAGAACCTAGACACTTAAAATTGCTCCATAATATTCAATCTGCTACATTCGTGAATAGTTTTAGCTATAGTTTAATTTGACATAACGAGGCGATTGTAAATAAAAGAGGGTTATGACATTATATACAGGGTGACTTGTAATGTCACGTATTCCTGTTAAGGGGTGATAGATTAGGTCAAAAGCAACCGATTATGTCCTATCGCGAAGTTATCCGTTTTCGAGTTATTTGAATTTTATTTTTTTTATTTTTTATTCCGATTTCAGACGGTTAAATACAAAAAAACTACATGTTTGATTTTGAGTTTTTATCATCGTCGCATAGCGGACATTCCAATAGTTCATAATAAGTAATAAAATGTTGAAAACTTACAAAAGTTTTAAAATTACGCTTTTGAAATGTATGATTTTCTTATTTATTCGATAAAAAATGCAATTTTCTGTAAAAAATCTCCTAGTAATGAAATGTGCAAATTATGTAAATAATATCTCTATCTAACAAGCTTTCATTTGAGGTATAAAAGTCACAACTAACTCAAGTACAAAGAAATAAAATTAAAAAAAGATGAGTAAAGTTATAAAAGGCTTTTATTTTAATTACAGTTTTATTTAATTACATTTCCTTTAGTATTTTACAGATTCTGCTCAAATTGTAATCCCCGTACGTAATTCACTTTTGGTAACTCTAGTTGTTAAGCGGCTTTTTATTTGGTCAGCTGCACTGATTATCCTTGTAATTAATTCATCGCGCGTTGGTACGGGCGAAATATCGTACACCAGGCTTTTCATATGTCTCTACACATAGTAATCCATCGGTGTGAGATCTGGGCTTCTTGCTGGCCAGGCAATGGGCCCGCCTCTGCCAATCTATTGATTTGGAAATTTAGAGTCTAAATACGCGCGTACTAATCTACTGCAGTGTGCTGGACAGCCGTCGTGCTGGAACCGCATATTTTGTCTCGTCACCAATGGGACGTCTTCCATTAATGGAAACAAGTGATTTTTCAAGAACTCTTCATACACTTCTCCATTTAAATTGGCGGGCAGAAAATGAGGTCCAATTAAATATCCATCAATGATGCCACACATTGACTGAAAACCGGCTCTGAGACCCCGTCGGTCTTATTTTTCGGGGGTTTAAAGCTTCTTTATCATTCCAGTAATGAGCATTATGGTAGTTAGTGATCCCGTCCTTATCAAACTTCGATTCATCGGTCCACAGAATTTTCTTAAAATAGTCTGGATCTTCAGTATCTGCATGTAACATGTACCTGCAGAAATCTAATCGTCTTGCAGGATCACCCTCTTCAATCACATGCACAGGCGTGTAGTGATAAGGATATAATCTTGCAGTATGCACAGTAAACCATACGTTGTATTGTGATATACCCAACTGAGCAGCCACAATGCGCATAGACGTAGTAGGGTCTTCCTGAAACACACGAAGGATTTCCTCTTCATCTTCAGGAGGATAGACTCGGGGTCGACCAGCATCACTATGTTGCCTTTGAACACGTCAGGTTTGGCGGATGCACCGATACACAGAGTCAAACACAGTAACATGAGGTGTTCGGCGATTCGGGAAACGTTGCCGATATTCACGGCGGGCAGCTGCAGAATCGCCGTTACAAAGTCCATAACAGAACATTATGTCTGCGTTTTCTTCATTTGTAAAAGTTTGACCGTGCTCGCTATGGCGAGGTCCTGGCGGATGTTCTGCGTCTGCCATGATGATAAAGAAACCACTCGAAATGAACTGGGAAACTCGAAAATGATAATCGTGCGTAAAACGTGTGCGCGTACGCAGTAGTTGATACCAACTAAACCTAATTCTCACTCGGCGTGCGGCGATGGCGTAACTACAATGATGAATAATAACAGCTCTCGCTCTTTCACTCCTCCACTAAGTCAGCTCTTCTCGCTCGCTTCCTCGTCGAGCCGATGCCATAAAACAACCATGGCATGCGAGTCCTTTAAGGACAGTAACGACTTGTTCAAACCGGTAATACAAATTCCTTAAAAATCCAGCCTCAGATAATTGAACGCTTAATACCTCAAATGAAAGCTTGTTAGATAGAGATATTATTTACATAATTTGCACATTTCGTTACTAGGAGATTTTTTACAGAAAATTGCATTTTTTATCGAATAAGTTAGTAAAAAAAAATGATACATTTAAAAAGCGTAATTTTAAAACGTTTGTAGCTTTTCAACATTTTATTACTTATTATAAACTATTGGAATGTCTGCTATGCGACGATAAAAAAAACTCAAAATCAAGCATGCAGTTTTTTTGTATTCCAATTTTAACCGTCTGAAATCGGAATAAAAAATAATTAAAATTCAAATAACCCAAAAATGGTTAACTTTTGGATAAGACATGATAGGACCAAATCGGTTGCTTTTGACCTAATCTATCACCCCTTAACAGGAATACGTGACATTACAAGTCACCCTGTAAAATATAAGAACTTGACTACCCGCGAAAATTGTCATTTATAACTTTATGAAGACAGAACTTAAAACCTGTACGTGGGAGATTAGACGACTTGGTTTAATATAAAAAGATAATTGTCAGTTTGACATTCAAATTTCTTTTAACCTCAAATACGTCTGCGGATCCCACTTTAACGCGGCGGTCATGGTGTCGAGCCTTAGCGGCGCGTCGACAACGGCGTGCATTTAACGTCCGTATAACATTAAAACGCCTCCTATTCCACGCTTTCATCGTTCTTCTTGTATCTCACATAGGGTATTTTCATATGGAACTTGGATGATTTTGCATGACGTGATTCCATAAAAAAGTCAGATAATCACTCACAATAGCCCAAATAAAGTTTGATTGTTTTTAATGTATGTATCTCAGTGGAGTTAATTGCATTCAACCATAGTTGAAAAGTGAACGATTCAGAAAACCACATATTTCCTAGAATTCATTGCATGATCTTCTTTCAGGTTTCAATAGAGACAGAGACCGAGGGGGTTTCAGCAGAGATGGCGACAGAGACAGGGACAGGGGCTTCACCAGAGATGGAGACAGAGGTTTTAGCAGAGACGGCGATAGAGAAGAAAGAAGAGGCTTCGGTGGACGAAGGTTCGAAGATAGGGAAAGAAGCGAAGGTTTCAATAGAGGCGGAAGAGATGATAGAGATAGGAGTGAAGGATTTTCGCGAGGTGGGAGAGACAACAGGGACAATCGAGATGATAGAGATGGATGTAAGTATTGCCGAAAAACTTAATGGCAATAAAAAATTCTACATTAGGTATATGGAATAGAAATTCGTGATAATTGCCTGCAGATGACAAATGATTTTACATTCTACCTTGATGGCTTCTTGTTTTGACAGATTTGGTGCTTTTGGTTCGTGAAATTTTTGAAGTCCTTGCTTGAAGGTAGGAAATTTCTGATTGGAATTGATGAATGTTCAATCTGCGATGAGTCCCATCAGAATAGGTAACCCTCAGGGTTCAGTTCTAGGACCAATCCTCTATTTGCTTTTCATTCATCATGTCTCTTGCTCCAGTAACTGTGAATTTATCTCCATGTTGATGACACTGCTTGGTGGTCCAGTCGAGTTTTGGGAGTTTGATTCACAACAGGTTACAAAGTGTAGTGAATGAGGTATTAGAATGGGATCATTGACTGATTAAAATTAATCGTACTAAAAAACATAGTGTTGCCTGGAGCTTTAGCGTACGGCGCATTTGTATTGTTATGCAGAAGATAAAAACCAATTTTGAACAGAAACATTCTGCTGTGCAAGATGGTTATCAGGCCAGTAATAACTTAGCATGTGCCGCTTGGTGTTTCCTAGCCAAAATGCATTTGTAAAGTCTGCAACAAAATTGAACCTTGCATATAATAACTAACGCCACATGGTACATTTTTGGGAAAAATTACGGGAGCAAATAAAAATTGTAAATGTTTACGCATTCTTTGAAGTGCTGTATCTCAGTAAAAAATGATCCTATTAGTATTGAGGTTCTAAGAGAATGATTTTAAAGCTTCAAATGTATAGTTTCTGGATCTTTTAGTCATCAATTTTTTGAAGCTGCAGGTTCCACGCAATCCTGGGAAAAAGAGAATGAAAAAATTGTAATTTTTTTATACTTTTATTTAGTTCCGCGGACTTGGATAAATGTATTTTCGCTAAACCATTGAAAGGACTTGATAGACTGTCCATTGAGCTGCAATTTGCTTTGTTTCTTTTTTCAAAACCTCAATACAACCATTTCTTGCTGAGATATTAATGAAAAAAGTGCCCAATATCTCAGGAACCAATCGTTGTAAAGAAAATATAATGGTGGTTTCAAAAGCTATACTGGATTCTCTTAGAGGATCAACGATTATCAATGAAAAACATTTTTTACTAGCAACTGTCCATTGAGCTGCAATTTGCTTTGTTTCTTTTTTCAAAACCTCAATACAACCATTTCTTGCCGAGATATTAATGAAAAAAGTGCCCAATATCTCAGGAACCAATCGTTGTAAAGAAAATATAATGGTGGTTTCAAAAGCTATACTGGATTCTCTTAGAGGATCAACGATTATCAATGAAAAACATTTTTTACTAGCATTCATATGGACTCGAAAAACTAGTAAAGAACGGTAATTTATGATTTTTTGAATACCAAGGGCTAAATTGCAAATGTTGAGGGTTATTTTACAGCTCTGTATACCCACAATAACCTTGTAAAAATTCACTTTGTCTATCCAGACTTTTTTTGTTTTGATCAAGGCTTTGAAGAAATTAGAGGATTACGTTTATTGCTGCTAAAAAATAACTTCAAAATGGAAAACGATTTTTTGAGCTTTTGGAACATTTTTCTTGCAAAAAGCGAAAGTTTTCTAGGTCAAGTAGGTCTGATTGCCCACATGGCAGTGCCACTTCTACATATTCTCAAACTAGAGAATTACCAGTGGCAAGGCAAGGTTTTGTTGATTAATAATTTATTTGCTTGTTGTAGCTGATCGTGAAAGAGACCAACCACGTAGCCGACCTAAATTAATGCTGGCTCCACGTACAAAACCTATAGAACCTGTAGCCGCAGAACCAGCAACCACCGCGGCGTCGATATTCGGTAGTGCGAAGCCTGTAGATACCACTCAAAGGGAAAGAGAAATAGAGGAGAAATTGGCAAAGACCCAGACAACAGACAGACCTACCCGAGACAGAGATGGTAGCAGAGACAGGAGACCAATTAGCAGGGAGCGCAGGCGAGGTGGCAGCAGAGACCGGCGACCAGATAGCAGACATGGAAGCAGAGCTGGTAGCAAAGAGAGAAGGTATGATAGTAGGGATAGAAGGAATGGTAGCAGAGGAAGAAGAAGCGACAGTAGAGACGGACGAGCTGATAGCAGAGATAGAAGAGGCGACAGCGACGATGACAGAAGGCCGTCGAGCAGAGGATCTCCCGAGAGAAGATCTCCTGGCAGGTCTCCAGATAGAAGGGATGAGGATCGTTCGCCTGCCCGAAGACCTCCAAGTAGGGATGATAGAGATAGATCACCCGATAGGAGGCCAGAAGGCGTAGAAGGCAGATTCGATAGCAGAGATAGGAGGCATTCTCCTGTTAGGGACAGAAGGCACTCGCCAAACACGGCGGGGCGGTCGCCTAATAGAGAATGGAGGCCACCGAGTAGAGATGATAGGCCGGACAGTAGAGATAGAAGTGACGGTAGCAGAGATAAACGGCATGGAGGTGATATAGAAGGGGATAGAAAAAATGTAAGTTATATGTTCTTCTGGAAGGGCACTTCATCCGAATATACTATCATGTAGTATCATTCAGCTATATATTTTCAAATAAAACTAATTTATAGGTATTTTGATCAGAAAGTCTGGCAGTGTTGCTATAAGAATACTGTGAACAAGTTCTAAAAGAGTTCGCCTATATAAAATGATTGTTAGAGCAGCCATTAATTATGCATGTGCGGCTTGTTGTTTTCTTGCCAAGACACATATGCAAAGTCTTCGTACTGCAAAGTAGAACTTTGCGAGCAATTTGCAACGCTCCATGGTATGTCTTAAACAAGACACTACACAGAGACCTTGACATTCCTTTCTTGAGGGATTATGTCAAACACAGCAACCGTCTGTTGCGCGACTCAGTGGACTACACAGTTGAGCAAGTTCGTAAACATTCAAGGCCACGGCTCGCACTGTAATCAAAAATTATTGCGAACTTTTAGTAAACTTAAAATTACACTATAACAAAACCGAACCAAAATTTGTTTAGTTCACCTTAATTAATCCGTGTAGCAAGTCAAAAAGCCTAGGTGTCTCCTCTTAAATTAAACGCTTGTGTTTTTCTTTGCTTTTCTCTATTTTTCTTCTCTTTCCCTTTCTCTTTCTTTTTCCATGACATTGTCTGGTTTCTGGGCAACCAGTACTAACAGATTCGACTAACGTACATTAGACAGTGACTAATGGGCAAAGGTCCTACGGACCGCCCACACAAACAAATGACGAATAGTAAGTTCTAAAAGAATCCCCATTATTCAACCACAGCCGACGTCAACTACGAGCCGTGAACAAAGAAATCTGGCAACGTAGGTGGTAGTGTTACTCCCGTCGCTCAAAACGCTGAGAAAACATAACCTTTTCAATTTGTGATTTTGGAATCGCAGAGGCTGTAATTAAGAGATAAGCTTGTTTTCTAAGCTTCAAAGTGTGTGTATGTGTTCAAAGTGATCGGTGATTATAATATATGAGAAATAGACTCCAGTTGTAGTGCTTCTGTGCTTTAAAAATAAACTAAGAAGTGTGACTGTGGCTGTTCGCGCCTCAGGACGCTAAGGATTTCAACTATTTGAAAACGTGCAAATTCATGTTGTATTTTTCAAATTTCAAATAAAAATGACATGGCTAAAACTGTTTTAGCCTTCATGCTATCTTCAGCATTTCTAAACATAACAGAAATTATCAAATTACTACCAGTTTCAAATCTAACAGGTGATGAAATGACACCTTTGGTTGAACATGTGATAAATTTAGTTCAAAAATGTGGATTTGAAGTTATTTGTGTTGTTACTGATAATCACCGAATTAATAGAGCAATGTTCAGGAAATTAGCAAAGGATTCATCAGAAAATTATTCTATTCCACATCCACATAATCCTGATAAGAACATATATTTAACTTATGATGTTGTGCATATTTTCAAGAGTATCAGAAATAATTGGATTAATTTAAAAAACCTAGACAAAAGTTTTGTATATCCTAATTTTGACAATAATGATATTATTCAGTATGCCAAATTTGAAAACATTCGTGCTGTATATCAATTGGAAAAAGAAGCTGTAGTTAAGAAAGCATATAAATTAAATTATAAAACATTGCATCCAAATTCATTTCAAAGGCAAAATGTAAATTTTGTAGATAATTTATTCCATCACTCAACAATAGCTGCTATGAAAGAATTAAAGTTTAATGATGCTGCACACTTTTTGGAAATAATCAGGAATTGGTGGGATATTGTCAGTAATACAAGTGTAATAAAAGGAGAATTGAAGCGAAACGAATTTTGTAAGCCTATTACCAATAAATATGATTATAGAGTACAATTTTTAAAAAAATTCCTGATATGGTTAGCATAATGGCATAATCTAGAGAATAATAATGGACACCTGACACCAGAAACGTATACAGCTCTATATCAAAGCACGCTGACTCTACTTAATATAATTGAATATTCATTTAATCAATTTGACATTGAGTATGTATTGCCTGGAAAATTAACCACTGATAATTTAGAAAAACGATTTGGCAATTATAGACTTTTATGTGGCTGCAATTACAATGTGTCATATGATGAAATTTTAAATGCTGTAAAGAAAATATGGCTGAAGCATATTTTCAATGAAAAGAAATCGTCATTTTCTTTAGCAGAAATTAAAACAAGGTTCCAAAACTGCTTAGAAACTCAAGAAAATTTTGATTTCTTGGATACCAAACAAAATCCTGAAGTTTTGGTATATTCAATGAAGTATTTGAGACAAATTACTTAGCCAATTGTGACATAGAGGATAATACTAAGACTTATATATCTGGATATGCTTCACACGCTATCTCTAAAAACCTAAACTGCGAGATATGCAAATCGCTAATAGTTAAAGAAAAAGGTTCATTAACAACAAATGTTTATTTTGATCATTTGCAAAGAGGAGGACTGTCAATTCCAACCAGTTATGTACCAATCATATTCTACCATATGTATGCCATTTGTGAATCTATTATTAATGTAGATTGGAAATTTTCTTCTTGAAAAGCAATAATCAAAAATTTATTTTGTGTCAGTTAACCTTGCTCAGCATTCAGTCTGACTTTACATACAGTGAATTTTCTTTAACTTGCATCTGTGGCCGCAATTATGCAGATATTTTATCTAAGCTTTTGTCTATTTTTTCAAACAGAATTTTGAATGATTATGTAAAATTGAAAAATAACAGCAAAACTGAAAGTAAATGTATTAAAAACAAACAGGTAACTCCACATTTCCAAGCTGAGCCTGTTGGAACACAGTGTGCTGACAACAAAAAACGTAAACTAAATACTTTTAATTAGGTTAACTGCATTAGCGACTCATATATATCACGATTATTTCGTATTTTTGAATTTTTTAGAGCTATTTCATATTCAGATGATTTGTATCGAATCGAACTGTCCTCTTTTCCAAAATTAAATTTAGTTCTTGAACGTTACACGGAGACGGAGCACACAGCCGGTGGCGGCCGACGTTCACAGGTAGCACTACCATGCCGTCCGAGCGCGGTGTTGCCTTTCTTTCATCACGGCTCGTAGTTGACGTCGGCTGTGATTCAACCTTAGGATGCGAGTGTAATGGAGCAGTTCACATCGTCCTCATAGCACATCATTATGGCACCACTGCTCCCTTATTGTTGTACTCACTTGTTGAACACATATAGATATGCAATGCTCATTGTTGGTGAAACAAAATGTTATTAATTGAGTCAGGTGGCGATCTTAGTAAGATGGTGATAAGCATCGCGGCGAGGTGAACTGCTTCACCATCCCCATACGTTGCATGACTAGTAATTTAAAATAGAGAAACGTTTAATGTTTAATAATTTATGACTCGCGAGCCTTCTGGGTGGTAGAGTAGCTTGTAGCTAAACTTCACCTGAAATAAAAGTCGTTTATTATTATTATTATGTCTAGAAACTGATGCGAGTCCTTTTTTGTATTGAACCTTCCACTATTTGAATCAATTAATGCACCTGTTTTTGCATTTTACTTGATGATCCGGTATCTTATCAGGAATTTATTTTTCAGGTTGAAAGGGGCAGGCCCCCAAGGAAGATGGATGATAACAATCCTAACAAGGACAGTCAACATCGAAAGAATGATGATAAGAAAAGCCATTCTAGGAATGATAATAAATCTCCTGATAAAGCTGATAATAGGCACAAGAATGAGAAGCACAGAAGAGACGAAAAACGGTGAGTTTATATAATTAAGTATGAATTATATTTCAGTGGGGTATTTTACAAAAAAACTTGTTTTGCAAAAAAGTAATTTATGTTTTTACACTTTTTCCACGCCTTGCATCAGATGTGAGGAAAATTACTTTTATTCTTTGACGACGACAGTTTTGCATGAAATGTATGGTCACATTATATCTGTATCCAGAATAATTAAATACTATTTTCTGATTCCTCCAGCAGCAAATATAGACGATTTAAATCAATACAGATACTGTGACTTTCACAAATTTCAAATATACTAAGTGACATATAAATCCGAACACCCAGTTTAAATGGTTTTATTTTAATAACAGTTGGTGAATGTATTTATCTTACTGTAAATAACAAGTGAAAAAATTTTCAGCCTTATCAGTTGGACATTCCGGTTTTTATACTGCTTTTTTTTAATTCACTAACGCTCTAAAAATGAATATTTCAGTCGCAGTAAAGAATCAACGTTGTCGGATTTTGGTTCTTGACATCCTTTACGATCGGTTGCGATGCCTAGAGTACGGAGACCTGTACGATTTCGTCAACTTAGTGAGTTTGATAGGGGCCGTATAGTGGTACTTCGGGAAGCTGGACCTTCTTTTCGGGCAATTGCAGTTAGAGTGCAAAGAAGTGTAGACACTGTGGTTAGGTGTTGTCAGGCATGGCTTCGAGAAGGTCGTACGCAAAGAGCAAGGGGCACTGGACGCCGCCGTAGAACAACAGACCGTGAAGATCGCCGCCTAAGATTATTGGCCTTAAGGAACCGTTTCTCCACTACCAGGTCCATTGCAAATGAATGGTTTGCAGAACACGGAAGACCTATTGGCATGCGAAGTGTTTACCGACGAATGAGAAGTTTTGGCTTGTTTTCATACCGGCCACACTGGGTCCTCCCTTTAACTCGAGAACACCGACATACTCGCCTTGAGTGGTGCAGACAACGGTCACTCTGGGATCAGAAATGGAACAGTATTGTCTTTAGTGACGAGTCTCGATTTTGTTTAAGCATGCACGATGGTCGTGCCAGGGTTAGAAGGCGACGTGGTGAAAGGAGGAATCCACAGTTTTTTGTTGAAAGACATGTTCATCACACTGTTGGAGTTTTGGTTTGGTGTGCTATAGCTTATGGTTCCAGGTCACCTTTAATCTTCATCAGAGGTAACATGAACGCGCAGCGTTATATCCACGAAGTTCTAGAACCCCATCTTTTACCCTATCTTGACACCCTGGCAGATCCAACTTTCCAACAAGATAATGCCCGACCACATGTTGCAAGAGTCACAATAGACTTCTTTCAACATAATGATGTCACATTGTTACCATGGCCACCAAGATCTCCCGACTTATCCCCAATTGAGCACGTGTGGGATATGATGGGTAGGAGATTGCTCAATTTGCAACGTCCTCCTCAGACTCTAGAAGCACTTCGAGAGGAGTTGGTGGTTGCCTGGAATGAGATACCACAGGAGGACATTTACCACCTGATCAGAAGCATGCCTAGGCGCGTTGGAGAATGCGTAGCACATCAGGGTGCATCCACACATTATTAAAGGTCAAAGGGCTTTAAAGCAGTGCACTCATTTTGAAATTTTTATCATTTACTTATTATGCTTCATTGAGTACTTATACAAAATTTTTATATAATAATAATATATAATAAATAAATTTATATGTCACTTAGTATACTTTTTTTGGCAGAATTTTTGTATGCCGAAGCACGGCTATTTTGTAAAAAACCGACGAAAGGTCATTCTGCAGACTACGTAGTTTTTAGTGCGCAAATACTTCATTCCATATTTGTCTGCTGTGATCGCTGTTCGCTAACCTTTAAGCAACACGTATAGCTACAAAATAAGTTTACATCTTGAGCTAAGTTAACATCTTGTATAAAAACCTAAGAAATGTCAAAAAACCCACCAGATGTCAAAAAAACCGACGAAATGTCACTTTTCAAGATGCCCGTGCCGGTTTTTAAACTGCCTGAGGTTAGTAGAACTGGGAAACCTCCTCAAGCAGATTGTTCCACAATATCGATACCTGAGAGACAAAGGAGTGGTCGTATGGGTCAGTTCTGGATGTAGTCAGACGGGTCTGTCTGGCAGGTTCATAGCGTGGCGGTATCATGGAGGAGAGCTCTGAGGAGCAAACCCCGTTGACTTAACGGTAGAAGATAGCTACATAGCCTATCCGAATAGCCTTTTCACAGTAGCTGCCGCTTTTGACTCGATGTGTTCGTGACAGATCAATTCCTCGGTGACCTGAACACCGACCAGCCGAAATGAACGGCTCTTCGGTAGAACTCGGCCATCCATCGAAACCAGATGAACGCTAAGGCGCTTCTTGTAGGTCAAGATACAGTACTGTGTTTTGGAAGCATTAAACTGTACAAGATTGTTGTGTCCCCAAGCAGTGATCACCTCTAGGTCGGAGAGGAAGTCGCTGCTAATCTTTCCTTCTCCAGCTCACCAGCAGAGATTGGCTTGTCACTTTGAATTCTTGCATGTAGAGTTGCATCTAATATGCAAAGGCCATAGGATGGGAGTTTGAAGGACATCATGCCTCAGCTGATCGAACGCGTTCGCGATATCAAGATAATCTGCATTATCCCACATTGTGTGTTCAGAGTACAGGCTATCTCATGTTTGGTATTGAAGAGTATACTTCAAGCTCTTCAGTTTTACAGAGTACTCAAATTCTTTTACTGTCAGTTCTGCAATATTGTGTATTTTTTTCCAGTGACATGCCAAAGTTGACGGAGCCAGCACCACCAAACTTTGCACAAAACAACAAATTTGCCTTTTTGGCTCCCGAAGATGACGACGATAATGATACTAGTAACTAGCAATAAATGCAAAAAAATTATTGGTTTTTGAAGTGTTTTTGTAAATACTATAAATAAATGATAATGTTTTAAAATTAGGTGTCGATCACGAATCATGGAGGTTTTGTATACCTATTTATTGTTTTAGTTCATAGAATGATTTTCTTTGTTAATATGAGAGAGAATGTGCGTGTAATATACATAATTCCTTTTTTTTATTTGTTAAATTTTACCATTGTAATACTTCCATTGTGTTATAAATATTACTATTTATTTAAATCTATTGTTTATGATTGCAAACATAATCACATCGTCTTTGCGTACAATTAAACGTTGATTTCATGAAAATAACCAAAAATTAGCTCAACAACTATTTGAGTATACCCTATTTAACGAGTATCCATCACGCTTTGACGTCTACTGAGGTGAACAGCTGATCAACAGGTGCCATTTTTGTTAGTCTGCAACGTTGGCAATAATGAATCGGGTATAAATCTAGTAAAACTTGTTTGTGGCGTTTTGTTTTTGTATACAAATGAAGTTTTCTAAATAAAAGAGCTGTTAGCAAGCACAAAATGAATCTGTTATATTTCCTGTGCCGATATGGGGAATTTTGAGATATTACTAGATAATCATCAGCTATCATTCTGCCGTGATGGATACTCGTAAAATAGGGTATACACTCTACCATACTTATCAGAAGTGCATGTTCCATCTATGTGCTAGACACATCAGTACATCTTGGTGGCTGGATAGTAAAAAATGAGGCTTTTGACAGACGAATTAGTATCCGAGTCAGTATTTCATCTGATATCATTTGCGGAATCTGTCTAGGAGAGGTCATAGTGGTGGTCGCAGGATTCATGTTAAGAAAAGTAATGTCATCGAGAAAATATGTTCTTAAAAAAAAAAACGACAAAATGTCATCTTGCAGACTAGGTAGTTTTTAGTGTGCAAGTAGTTTATTCCACGTTTGCTCGCTAAGAGCTTTCATCTATGAATGAATGACTCAACGACACGACACGCTCCTCGGGCATGCATTGTTGGTTGCAGGAAGCCAAGTAATGTTTATCTCTCTGAGATGTCAAAGAAAGAAAGGTGGTTGAGTCGCAAGATCGCATCTGGGTGATTATGTGTATTGGTCTGCGTGTGTATAAAATCAGTGATATTTGCTGTGAGAAAATTATTACTAAATATTCTGCCAATGAAGTATATAGCTGTGCATCACGGGTTATTTATATGTTGTCCTTTCTGAAGACAGGTTATGTTCAAAGTTATAAATTATGAATTTTCCGTTTTTTTTTTATTTTCAAAAACTAAATTACGGGAAATCACCGCGAACGCGTTGTGTGTAATTACTGTTAGCATGTATATGACTTGAAATTCGAAAGTTTACAGTGAATATGATTGCAATATATCGCAGTATGTAAGTATAAAATATAAGATACATAAAGTTAATTACTCCACCAACCAGGGATTTTCTTTTCTTATCTCCCTCATTTCTTAAATGTATCTAATTTGCATATGTAATTTCCAGAATGAATAAGAAAATGTGAATGCGCAACTAATTTCTAGCCTTGAATACATCTCAAGTAAGTGTATTTGAGAAAGAAATCAATGGAATTATCATCAATACCGATTGTTAGCACACAAATCCTCACTATGCAATACCGTTTCCTTCCAGCTGTAGTATACAACTTGCAGCTTAAACCTCCAATAATGCCATCTCTGAAACAGATATAACATCACATCAGGCCCCAACATTGATAGCTGAGGCATCCACGACGTTTAGGCAGTCAACACGAACAGCGACAAAAATAATTCTTAACAAGAGTACAACAGCTAGTGCTAAGTTGACTTCTAGTAGCAAAAAGAGTAAAAGGCAATTTGAGAAAAAAATAGTGGCAGCCTCAAAAGCAGCGATTTTCTAAAAAATCTTGAAAATGCCGATGACTCACAACCCATGTTAAGAACATATATGGTTTTCCTGATAGGTAATGCGCCCTGCGGTTGTGTTTAAAAGCTAGAATTTTTTATAGATAACCAGCAGCAGAAAATGCTCGTTCTGCTTCTACGTTTGTAGGAACAATCGTAATTAAGGCGCATAAACAAATTTAAGATATGTGCCTTTTTGTCCACCTGACTCAAAATAACTCATTTCCTTCCTTATTAAAATATCGAGATTATTATGGCCAGATCTAACTTGGCGTGTTCCAGTAGATTTTAAATTCGTGAAAGTCGGCTCGACTTCGTCTTGAAGTGACAGTGCTGCTACAGGTGCTGGTGAATTTGACTCCAGAGTGGCGAGAGGTAAGTCGTCTTCAGATTCAGAGTCATCAGCAGAAGGAGCGATGTCTGTTACTTCTTTTTTTATTGGATTGTAATCTGTCTGCAATAGTTTTAATCACCTGTTGTATTACCTTCTGCGAGGGTAAGTGAAATGTATCATGCATAAGTTCAGTCCTATCTTCTTCGTACTTAAACGGATCATGTAAGTACATTATTACCGCAGTCAAGTTAGTTCGCCGCACTGCAATTTAATTCCTCAACGAGGTAACAAGTTTTTTGGCTAATGGTTTGTAAGTCTTCCAATTTACGAACAACAAACCTCAAAGTAGTTTCGGCAGTTATCAAATTAGAGTCTCGCCAGCACAAAACTTCGACAGCTAGCTTTACAGGTTTATCACTATTGCATTTACTATTTATCTATTTAAAGCTTGCAAATAATTCGACGCGTTGCGTTTGTTTGCGTCATCAAAATAAAACTAACAAAAATCGTACGTAAACAAAAATACTTCGTTTGGGTATCCCCCTCAGGCGACCCATGTTTCTGTTATAATATATATTATATCCTGCATATTACAGAAATATCGCTCCATGTGTAAACGGATTGAGCCGCCACGCACGAACGCTATAAGATATAGTTATATCCCAGTGATATATTACGTATCTGTCGGGATATGTTTACCGAGCGATATTCTGCCCTATGTCGCGCTTTAATCCTGCACATGGCATGCGAGATCACGATATTTCGGGATCCCGGTATTGCATTCTCTAATATTAGCTATGAAAACATCGACCTGCCCGTCCCTGACGTTTCTTAAATTATTTTTTGTATATAGGTATTTCTCAACAAATTTAGAAATTTCATTTAGCATTTATTAAAAAAAAATGAAAATATATCCTTTTTTGCATAAATGTAAAGTTTTACTTCAAAGAGGTTAATTGAAAATGAAGGTCCTCCATATTTTTGTGTATAACATGTAGAAAAATGACTTTGAAAAAACTATGAAATGAGGGAATGACTGATAGGATGGGGGAATGATTTTTACAACAATTTGATACTGAATTTCAATGAAAAACATAAGTTAATTCATTAATAGATGTATTTAGATTTAGAGATAGTCCTTCCCTGGGAACATCCTCGTATTTTCATCCTTCTCTAAGAAATTAACAGCATCACCCTTAACTTTCAGCATTTTGTTGCTAACTTTTGTACAGTTCTTTTTGTACGTGTCGTTTTTGACAAAATGTTCGATCTATATAGCAATTTGGATTTTTGCACTAATTGCAGCTTCAACATTTTGTAATATTTTTCTTTTCTCCATGCTTACTTCCAAGATCTTCATAGTTATTCTTGAGGTCAGTTGAAAGAACTTCTCCGAAAATCAGTATTTTTCAAACAACGTCAGGAACTTGTATATTCTTTAAAAGCCAAAACACTTTAGTTGCTGGAGAGTTTGGGTCAGTATTTTCAGTTTTCAATCTCAAACACCTCTTCTTATATTTTTCGCTAAGCTTTTGACTGCTCCTTACTTTATTTTCCAAACTTTTAATCTTGCCGTACAAATTCTCTGCTCTGTGCTGTAAAGATGGTGCAGGACTTGGTGGGGGTGTTTCTTCAACTCTGTAAATTTATTTGTAATGTAACTCGCTTTTCCCTATAAAGTTTACTACTCTTCTTCCATTGTTTTCGTTTTTGGCTAGCTTCTCTTGCACACAGAACTTATTGACTTAACTTGACCTTTTTACTCTTCTTCTCTAACTACATTACTCTCCTTTTTCACGCAAAGCTTCTAAACACTCAGCATTACTTTTCATTTGTTCTCGCCTCTTTCTGTCGTAATCCTCCCTTTTTTTTTCTTCTTCACTTAACTGCCTAATTTTCCCTATTCTTGATATACGGATATCTTTTAAAATTGAAAACACATGCTATACAAACTGGAGTTAAACAATAATACCCAAACCACAATTTTATATATGTAAAAATCATTCCCTCATATAATTATCATTCCCTCACTTTATAATATAGTGAGGGAATGACGGATTTGCATAAACGACTCCGTAACCAGCAGTACTTCACCTCAAATGGATGTAGCATTTTGTGAATGCATTGTACTCCCCAAAACAAGAAAAATTCTTCTAAAATTTCGTACAGTATGATGACTTACCTTTTAATATAAACAGTGGGGTAATGACACAGAGAAATGTAATGTTCTAATTATTGAAATCCAATGCTTTTTTGCAGCAACTCTTTTCACTATTACGAAATTCCGCCATGAAGACATAATTAGCAGTATTGCCAAGTTTTAAAAACATATCAGTTGCGATCAAAAATATCAAAAGATGTGACCACAAATCAAATATTTATAATGGGTGCGGGAATGATTTCATTTCAAGGGACATAATGTTTAAATAGATTTTTTATATACATATTGACTATACAATCTTTACTTATTACCAAATATTTTAGTAATATCCAATTTATAAGAATATGAACAGATTTGATTGTATATATTTTTTATTATTAATTTCGGACCCAGGGACGAGATGAGGGAATGACTTTTATCTAAATTTTGGCTTCTAAAATATTAGTTTAGATACTTATTGATATAATAAAAATGTTAAATTGATGATAAATCCATGCAACTCAGCATCAATGGACATGAATTTCGAAATTTGCTGAGAAATACCCATTTATAAAACGGAAAAATTCATATACCTACTGCACACCTTTCGATTCGCCTTGCAGGTTTTTAGCTGTGTCGTAATGGCCTGGCAATTATATATTTATAACTGCCTCATTGAAATTTCAAGCTTTATACAAGTTTAATTTTTTTAAATTTCTAGGTTATAAAAAATGAAATGAAATAAAAGGACTGCGACCTGGCAAGTCGTCATTTCCTTAACTAAAATGCTAAAAAAGGTCAACTCTTGAATACAATAATTTCAATGACTATTACAAATAAAGGTATTTCTTTTTAAAAAAAAATTGCTCAATACGAGCCTCTTAGGTAGGAAAGGAGGCCTGCATTCACTTTATAGCTCAAGGTTTTGTCACCTTATGCACTAGAAATATTGCTATAACGAGATACTTGAAGTTTATTGATAACTGCCCGTGTCACATACCTCTTAAATAGCTCCGCTGACAAAATCTGCAATGACCAATGATTCGAATAGGGCAATATTGTCTAGTTGCCGTTCAGGCACACTAAAAATATTAACATCACTTTCCCAATCAGCATTTTTCCTCTTTGAGCTTAGTACGGAGCTAACTACATATCGAAAATACGTAACACAGGCCCTGATCAGGTTTCAGTATTATACTTGAGAACTAAGGGCCCCTTTTATCACTTGAGTTTTGTTCTACGAAAAAGTGTTCAAAAAAACTGAATAGCTGTGATTGTGAGTAGTATTTTTGCACCATTTATAATTGTATTAGCTTATTTTAAGTATAAGCTGAAAAATTTGAATGAATCGTCAAGGTTTTCATAGATCATTTTTTATGATTACATTTCAAATGCCCAATTTCGAGTTGTTGCTAATAAATTACAAAAATTGAAAAATCTCGAAAACTGTTGTATATCGACCATACATGTTCTAGGTGAAATTGTTGCATTTAAGTACCTTATAACTTTCTGAAAATAATACGGCAAATTACCAATAACCCTGCATATATTTGAGAATTTCACAATAAAAACTTGTCTGCGTGTGGGAGTCCTAACGTGCCAGACCGTGAGTCCCTCTTGTCGCTGTCTATGCGGAACTGTATGTTAATGAAGGAATGCAAAAGATTTATTACTCGAGAGGTAATAAAATGGAGCAGAGGAGCACAAAATTATTGTACGATCGAATAGTAAAATTGGTTTCAGAGCAAAACATTGGGGAAAGCCGAAACGCGTTTTGCATCGTCACACTGACGATGCTTTTCCAATAAAAATGAGACGAGTTACGACTTCTTCAGTATTTTACTGTAAGACCTTATGAAAAATTGTGCCATTCGATCGCCTGATGGAAGAGTTTCACCAAGTAAAGGCACCTATAATCTATAAACGAGAATTATTAGTTTAGATCATTGATTCCCAAAGTGGTCTGTATCGACCCCTAGGGGTCTATGACAACCTGCAAGGGGTCTACGTCAGTGAAAAAAAATTTGGGGGTCCATGAAATGAATATGGGGGTCCACGATAGTGGATCTCAACACATACACTGATAGTACCTATTTACTTACATCATACTATCTTATAATATGAAAACATATACATTATTTATAAATAAAAGTACCTATGAAGTAAAAAAATTATTATATATGTTTATAAAATTGTGTAAGTTGTAGGATGTTGGTATTCGCTTTGTGGTCGCAATACATTTTGAATTTGTAAAAACCTGAGAGTCGCAGTCTCAGAGCTTCGCTACCTTGCACTGACTTGTTCAATTCGTCACTCTATAAATACGAATGTGGGACAAATACGTTTATTCGTTTCCTGAATCTTGAAAAGGAAAGTGCTAAGAAAATATTTTAAAAAATATAAACAGATAGTATATCACACAAATTATAGTGAGTCAGTGTTATTTTGTTTGAGAGTAAGTACATTATTTTTTATTAAATTTTAGTTTTGTACTCGTAGTTAGCAAAGATAGATAAATTCCGCCAATCATGACTTTAGTTATTAGTAGTTAAATATTCAATCATGCAAAATTACACGAGTATTCCTCAATAGTTTCTTTTTGAAAGTTTTGGCAATCGGTAATATAATTACAGTGCAATCTCCGTAATTCGAGCTAATTGTTGCAAGAAGATGTTCGAATTATGGAATGTTTTCGGAAAAATCAAAAAATATTTTTAATATACAGCTGCTGGATTTTCTGTCTTATTCAAATAATTTAATTTTGCCCACAGATGACTGATGCCATGTCCGAATCTAAAAATAAATGTAGACAGTACAGTGTTGATTATCTGAAATTTGGCTTCATTCCATCATTGCCGGACAAACAATCGCCTATGTGCCTTTTATGCAACAAAGTTTTGGGCAATGACGCTATGAAACCATCTAAACTGCAAGATCATCTGAGAAGATGCCACCCTGATAAAACAGAGAAAGATTTGAAATACTTTCAAACACTCAAAGATAAATTTCAGAAGAGACCTACACTGGACAGAATGTTCACTTCGACGTCACAAAGAAATGATGATGGTTTGCGGGCGTCTTACAATATCTCGTTACTTATAGCAAAATCCGGAAAACCGCATACTATCGGAGAGAAGTTAATTTTGCCAGCCGTTGAAGAGGTTTTAAAAACTGTTTTACACAAACCTGCATCTGATATCATTAAAAGAATTCCCTTAAGCAACAATACTGTTGAAAGACGTATTGATGAAATGAGTTCTGGTATTGAAAGCTTGTTATGTAATTATTTGCAAACGACCCATTTCTCTATACAACTGGACGAGTCAGCTTTACCTGATAATGCAGCATTATTATTGGCATATGTTCGTTTTATTATGAATCAAGAAATCTACGAAGAACTGCTCTTCGCAAGAACTTTGATAACCGACACTAAAGGTGAATCTATATTTCATGTTTTGAAGGATTACTTCATTGAAAAAGCAATTCCTTTATCAAATATAATATCAGTAGCTACAGATGGAGCACCTGCCATGGTTGGACGTTATCGTGGATTTATAAGCTATTTAAAACAAAATGTGTAAGGGGTGTTAGCAATACATTGCGTCATCCACCGACAACATTTAGTTGCTAAAAATTTGAGTGTTAGATTGCATGAATCACTTCATTTAGTCATTGATGCAGTAAACCGAATCCGAAGCAACGCGTTGTTGTGTGAAGAAATTGACGAACACTTTCATCAATTACTCCTTTACACTGAAGTACGCTGGCTGTCAAAAGGCTTATGTTTGACAAGATTTTTTGCACTTTTTGAGACTATTTTAGAATTTCTGGATACTAAAGATAAAATTTTAAAAGAAAATTTAATGAAGAGGAAAACAGACATCGCCTATTTAACAGATTTGTTTACAAAATTTAATATGGTTAATTTGCAATTACAAGGCGACAGTTTAAATTTGATTTACCCTTTAAGGCGCAAAATTATTTTTTTCGAAAATCAATTATTTTTTTTTGAAAAACTAGTTATCAGCAACAACAGCAACCACCAAAAATTGTTAAAATTTTTTTTGAAAAATCCTAAGGTGGTGAAAAAAACGGTAGATATAGCTACCATGGTGCTTTAACAACAACACTACACATAAAGTTCAGTGGTAGCTCTAGCCACCGTCTTAATAAAATAAAACTACATGCGTGAAATTTTATTGCATAAACTTATAATTATGTCAGTGTATTAGCAACCTTCTTAAAAATAATACTACATGAGTGAAGTTTTATTTTCTAAGTAAACTTATATTAATTAAATATTTTTTATTTCGTATGGTAAGGTGCAAAACAGTCCTTATATAATGCAACGTTACAAGTTTTGCAAATTATATTAGAGCGAGTTTGTTTCTTTTTACAGTACACAGCGGCGATACGTTCCTTTAGTTGCAAGATGGGAACCTAAACTGTATCCATCGAAGAAACAAAGTAAAATCAAACATATACACCCGTATTGCACGTGGTCAAGAACTTAACCGTACGAGACGCTACAGGGCCGTATCAAGCTATTGTGACTGATCTATCAAAAAATGTCGTACAAGATATGTGTTGCTGTAAATTCTATAAGCAAGAGCTAAGGTCCCACGGACCGCTCTGACAACCAACGATGACTTGTAAATTCTATCAAAAGCATAGTAAATTATCAGGAATATACCATGCCTTTCTAATCATATTTCGACATTAGGAATCAGTGCAAAAAATTCTGTATTCACCATTTCAGCAAAATTTTACTAAAACGCACACGAAAAAAACTTGTGGACCATCTCAATTGAAATTGTTCATATTTTATTATTAACTTACATATATACCCAATAATATTTACAAATCAACCTTCTATTCACAATGCAGAGCAAATTTTTTTGAGCAAATAGAAACTACAGACGTAGTAGTAGTAGTACAAAAGTTTATTACAGACTCCATAAAGTTTGTTAGTTTGATTGCTATTAAAATTTACATGAGAAATAGGAAGAAGGTCAAAATGGCACTATTATGCTTTGGAACTCCTAAATTAACCCTAATTTTGTGTAATTATAAATTTGGAATTTCCACTTTAGTAACTAGAAACTTACACTTTGATTGCAGTCTATAATGAACGATTTATATGCTGTATTCCGAGGAGCTTGAATCGTCAGAATTGTTGATGTCAATTATAAGGGGTTCAACTTGGGTGTCAATGATATTGTCCATATCCCACATTTTGGTTTCAACCTTCTCTTGGACATGGTCAATACATGTTCTCCATTTTGCTGGCGTAATTCTATCGACAGCAACATCAAACAGTTTTTTAAGGTCAGAAAACTTAAAAGTGCTGTTATTTGACGCCACGTATTGCTTGATGTCGGCCCAAATCAACTCGATAGGATTCAGTTCGCAGTGATAGGGAGGCAGCCTGAGAATCGTTTCATTTTGGTTTTTGGCCATTTCGTCAACAATTTTTAAATCATATTTATACTTATGTCGCTTGACTATATTTATCAGCTCAGTTTTGACCATTGTTTGGTCGAAGTCGATCTTCTTTGAGACAAGCCACTGTTGAATGTCTGCCTTTTTGGTGGCCATTGTTGGAATTTTTTCCAATTTTCTGGAGTGGTACGGGGCATTATCCATCACAATAATTGCGTTATCATCAAGTGTCGGCAAAATTTTTTTGAACCAATTTTCAAATGAGTTACCATCCATTTCTTTGTGATAGTCTCCAGTTTTTTTGGATTCAAATGCCCACAATGCTTCAGGAACAAATCCATCTACGCTACCTATGTGGCAAATGATCAGGCGTTTTCCCTTGCCTGAAAGTAATTAGTTATTTTACTTCTCAGCGAGCGCACTAAATGACGAAATTAAGCAACTTACTCTTTTTAGGTTAGTGTAGGATAGGGTCTTAGATTAGTTTTTGGGTGAAGGAAATACTCAGAAACTTGGATGAGATAGCAAAACTGAGTTCGGAGCTTCCAAATCATTGATTCGATCAGAAAATGAATTATCTGCATCCGAAAAAGTTCATATACTTCGAAACTTACCTGCAGGATTTTTCAATCCCGTCGAAAGGCCATCTAAAAAAGCCTGCCTTGAGGACCTCACAGATCTGTCTACCCAAACCTTTCCCTGCGTATGCCCCGCGTTCACCCATGTTTCGTCTAAATAATAAATTTTTCTTCCTTCAGCGCGGAATTGCCTAATTTTTCTAAGGTATTCTCTCCTTCAGATAACAATTTCCTCCTTTTCTATCAATAAACTATTCCTTCCTCTTTTCAAAAATCGAAAATCTAGTTCTTTCAACAGCTTATGGAACGTAGATCTTTTAAAATTTGGCAGGTCCTCATCATCGTTCACTTGCTTCAATATTCTATCTATTGTAGGTATTTCATTCCTGAAGAAAAAGTGATGTACTTTTCTTCTAATGGCACTTTTGTCAAAGTCATCTATTTTTTCGATGATTTTTTTTCTCGCTGGATATGTTTTTGGCTCAGATAGTGAGTGATTTTGTCTATATTCCTTCAAGATTTTGTAAACACTTGATCGACCTACTCCAGAAATTTCAGCAACCTTACATACGATATTTTCTATAGCCAATCCACTATTCTCTTGCATCTGGTTCTTGTAGATATTTAGAATAATTTGTTTTTCACCTGCGCTAAGATGAAGCTTTTTAGCCCTTTTGCTGGGTGGCGTTAAGCTGATTTCAACCACTTCATCAGCTGTATCTGTGTCAGACATTTTAGACTAATATTAAATTTCCGCAAGAAAAATAAAGTCAAGACGTGCATAAAACGTTCGCGCTCATAAACGGGTATCCGTAACTGATTACAATCCTGTGCGTGGTGACGAACCATCAACGTGACGCTGAGAGTTCCCTCTACTATGCAGCGTTGCCAGGCTTAATGTCACAATGATTATGTTTTATTGGGAAAATTGTCAGAAATCGCCGAATGTTGAACAGAAACATTACAAGAAGTCTAACCTTGAAATGTGAGGCTACAAATCGATATTCTTATAGGGGGGAAGGGTAGGGAGCTGTTATGGTTCCTATTAAACCTGGTGAAAGTTGGAAACGGTAATATCATATATGGCATACATTCGGTTGAAGGTGTGTGCACGGAAAATAGATTGCGGATAGGATTTTAATAGATAAATCTGCACAAAAAAACACAAAAGGAGATTTTTGTATTTCCCTGAAGAATATCTCAAGGTTATTTCAGATGTACTCATCGAAACTTTATGGAAGGATTATCGAAACCTTATTTTCAATTGCGATAGGGCCACATACCACGACATCGCATTAATGTGAAAAATAAGACAATAGAAAAAATTCCCTCACTGATGCTATCTCTTAGGAAAAATTTAACTATAAAGATTGCACAAAAATTTTCTTCACCTTTTTGAGCTTGTTTTCGCATCTCCGTATATGCCGTTCATAATTTGCTGCAGATCAAATTTGAATATACCTTTGTGATGCCATTTATTGTTATATAATGTCCTTTACAACAGTTATTGCACGTATTGCACCAACAGATTGATTTGTGATCCATGCGAATGTGATCAACCACTCTGGCGAAAACTCGCCGAGCGTGGCAACCGTGCGACTTTGTCTGGAGGCTCGTCGCTACAAGCCAATCAGGAAGAGGCCGACAGAGCGCCATGGCTACCGATCACGTGTTGATCACGAATCAACCACTGTTTACGATTACTTTGTAGCTTCGTTAGATATACTTTATATTCGATTGCGTTTCCGTTTTTTGATGTCCGGGCTTTTTTCTTTGAGTAAATGTTCCAATAAGTTCATTCGCTATTTCGCTACGAAACTGTAAAGCTGTTAGGGGTTTTGCACTAGGGTTTTTTGATTTAAGTGTTTCCTTGTAGAGAACATAACTATTTACTATTGAAGCATCTAGTAAGTAATAAAAAAATTTTATCCACCACCGTCGGGATTTCCATAATGTGGAATAATTTTCATGATACTGGTCGAACAGATCAACGCCTCCCATATGGATGTTATAATCCGGGATAGCTTTGGGACACGTTACATTATCCCGTTGACCTGTTTTGTTGGTGCGTAAAACTTCTGTTTTTTCCAGGAAGTTATGTCGATTACTAGCTCCAGCTACGCTTTTGACACCCCGATCTTTCCATTTGTATACAGATATTTCTCCCGAGGCAACCGAATCTGATTGGTTTGGTCCACAACCAAATAGGCCTCTGCCTAATAATTTCTGCATAAGAGCAATCGTTGTAAAGAAATTGTCAAAATAGATGCAATAGCCGCGATTTTGAAAATTTTTTGACAATTCAAGAACAACACGTTCCCCCAACATTTCAGTCGATGATGACTCAACCTTGCCTTGGTAAATCTGGAAGTTTACAAGATAACCTGTTTTGGAGCATGCCAACGCCCATATCTTGAAACCTCGTGTTATAGGCTTCATAGGAAGGTATTGCTTCAAACTTGTTCGTCCTTTGAAGGGGCACATACTCTCATCGATTGATAGATGCCGATAGGGTGTAAATGCAGTTTGGAGTGCATTGGAAAGATGAACCAATAATGGTCTAATTTTGAACAATTTATCAAAATTGGGGGTATTAGGTTGAGGCATTTTTTGATTGTCGTTCAAATGAAGGTATCTAAGGATCTTTAGAAATCGTTTGAGTGTGAACACTTTAGCAACACGTTCAACAAAAAAATTTAAATTAGCAGACCAATAGGATCTCAACGTGGGCAGGCGGTGAAAACCATGACAATAAGTATCCCAAAAAATGCATCAAGTTCTTCGGAACCTAATTCTAATTGAGTTTTTTGTTGATTAGCATGTAAATTTGATTCACGGACGATCATTTGGCATATATTTTCGTCAAAATAAATTTTGAAAAAATCGATTGGTTTGTTTGAATCCACCTGAATATTTACAGCAGAAGACTCCGTGAAATTGTAAGTATCGAATCGTAACATTTGGTTAGATTTTTTAGACCACAAAAATGTAGTTTTACCAGCAGAAGATATTTCGTTTTCGTCTTCATCCTCGGAGGACAGTTCACTATCCTGAGGAAAAAAACTTGGCAATTTTATTTGGTGGACTATCTGGATCATTTGGATCGAAGTCCGGGTCTGCATCGGAATCATGGTAGTCCTCATCTTCGCTCTCAGTCATACTTTGTGGCGGAATCTCTGCAAGTAATTTTTTTCTCAAGCCAGTTGTGTACGATGGACCAGGCTGAGAATCAAGAAGAACCGAAGGTGAACCTGAAGACCATCGTACTGAAGATGATCTGGATGAAGTGGGGGTTTCAGGTGGCAAGTCATCCTCTGCATCATCATCACCGCCATAGTCAGAAGCACAGTATTCTTGATTGCTTATATTTGCCACAATTTCTTCTAACTCCGCTTGAGTTAGTGGCCGTGAATTGGACATTCTGGAAATAAAATATATATACATGGTGTCCCGTATCGTTATGGTCGAATTTTGTGGCGGCCCTAGTTATACTAGATTTAATTATAAGTCAAAGTTGCAGTTTTATTTTCATTTGTCTTCGACCTACAAAATTTCAGCATAACGATACGTGACACCCTGTATAAATAGCTAAATTATGTTTTATATTATAAAAAAAACAAATTATACTAGAGCAGTAATAATCTGATGAAATAGGTTTAGAAACTAAATTTTTTTTTATTGGGCTATCAGCACCAATGCTTACTATCACAACAATTTTGCATATTATCTGCATAATCGAGAACAAAAACAAAATATTATCCTAGCGCTTCAATGCAATGCTAAAATTACTTTAGCAGCCAATTGATACATATTTTACTATTGTAAAACGATTAGTACACACATACCAACATATTGATAATTATTTTATAGATAAAAATATTTATTGATGTTTTTTGTGCTCCCACAAATATTATGATTTTCTTGGAGTTTTAAGTGCTTTAGGAAATATAACAACAAAAACCTTTGTGTAGATATTTTAATTGAATACTTACCTATTACTTATTTCTTGCACTTATACACAAACACAGCTCTATCTATTAAAAATAAACAAAATAAAGCAAAATTCTGCTTTGATGCTTGCTGTAATGAACGTTGGTAGCTTATGCCGTACGTGGCTCGCATCGCGCGCGCTGCTGGTATTCACATTTACCAGCGAGCACTGCGGATAGCGTCTGTGTGCATTGCAACCAAAATCACTTGGCCGGTCATTCTAATATCAACCATAATAACTGATGGTATATATAGCTACCAGAGAGCGCTAAAGAGTTAAACTAATGAAGCAAAATATTGGATGGGGCGAATTTTCTCAGTTCCCCAATTTGAAACAGACAAGCTGCCAGGAAGACGACGTTTCAACTTACGTTCAACATTTAAATACCCTCTATTCAGATTTTGAATCTAGGTTTGAGGATATTTTGACTATGGAATACCACCGTGGATAATTAATCATATGGTGACAGAAGAAACGAATGTCATAATACAAGAGGAACTGACTGAACTAAGTACAAACGAAGAACTTAAGGTTCAGTTTAAAAACGGATATCAGCAATTCTGGCTGCAAAACAACATACCCGTTACTTATCCCGTATTATGGAACATAGCGAGGAAATTTTTAATTTCCTTTCCATCGTCATACCTAGTGGAAAGGGGGTTCAGCGCTGTTACCAATCTCCTAACGATAAAAAGAAACAGACTGGACATCATTAGCCGAGGAGATTTAAGATTAACCCTTACAAACTTGACGCCAAATGTTGATAATTTATTATTAAGGCCCGTATCGTCAGTCGTCCCTACAATTGTACGGCGCGTTTATGGCCTCCTTGATTGTCATACTCCTTTCTCTCCTTCAAAAATTTCTAGATTACACTTGTCCCGTGTCAGCGTCAGCGCTCTCCTATTGTGAAGATATGTTTTCTTTTTAAATTGTAGGAAATTTCAGGCTGATAAAACATGATATAACTCAAAAGCAAGCACAATTTGATGTAAATGGATGTTTGTGACATAACCTCAAAATAGAGTTCTGACACGGAGAAGTAGAAAACTATGACAATCAAGGAGGCCATAAAGGTGCCCTACAATTGTAGGGACAACTGACGATACGGGCCTAAAGCATCAGGTTCATCCTTCTCACTAAAAACATTGACTTATTGCTTATGTTATTTTATTTATAGTTTATTTTATGTTTATTGGTGTCTGACCAATAAATGCCCGCATTGGGAATAAGTGCCCGCATTGATTTTATTAAAGAACCCCCCTTTATAGAAAATATTTTTTTTTAAATTATTCTGAAAATTCAAGGATAGGTACACACTAAAATTCGTTAATTTTTTGAGCGGAATTTAATCAAACTAACAGTGAAATTATTGTAGAACATACGTTTATGTTATAATTAATAAACGAACTCGCTTATTGTACTATTTTAAGTAAAAAACTTTTTTTTATTATTTTTCACTATTTTTTATTTTATCCCTCTTATTTTTTTCAATGCGGGCACTTATTCCCAATGCGGACACTTATTGGTCAGACACCTGTTTATTTAATGTTACGTATATTTTACATAACAGATACAAAATTTTATTTTGAGTAGTTTTAATTTAAATTCAATTAATAAATGTATAAATTAACATCTGTTTTTACTTTAATTTTTTAACACTAAACTTCACTACAGTTAGAAATTTACAGGAAATCAATATCAGGTACCCAACACGGAAAAACAAGGCAAGGGGTCTACGATACAAAAAAGTTTGGGGAACTCTGGTTTAGATATTGCCAGATGATTTATTTAAAATTATTTACAAGATTCAGTCCGAGTGACGTTCTATATATAAACATTGGGGAAAAATGTTTGAAGATGATTCTTATTGCATTTCTGGTCTGACTTGGTGCATTTTGTTTTGAACCCACTCCATATCTTCATGAAACCTCGGATCGCTTATCCTCAAAGCTGCTCGTTTATAGTAGTAATAGTAGATGGTTGAGACTGAAACAATGCATAAATCAGCGGTATCAAACATTCTTCAAATCACACACATTTTTTGCGTTGTCCAAGCAGTAAAACTCGCGTAAATATTATTTGAGTCAGGCCTAAAAACAACTAGGACCCGTGGAAACTATATAATCCTGTCAAAATAAAAGGTTTGAAAAAAAATCCACAAAGCTGAAAAAAGGTATAGAACTTGTATACACCATTACGAATAATATATCAAAACTTTTCATATATCCTTGGAGCGGAACCTTGTTTTATTTGGGTTGGAATGTCAAAACTATTACATTTTGTCATATTTCTCTGAAAGGGAATGAGATACCTCAAACATAAATTGTACCGAATAAGATCTATAAAGTGATCTGTCGACGCTCAGGTACTCTTCTGCTCTAACAAAACGGAAATCGAATTTTCGGAAAATTGAAAACTGTTATATGTATACGAAAAGTTCCCATCGATGTGAAAAATTTTGTATTAGAGGCTACATATCATAATAAACATTTTTTTATATTTCCTGGAAATGGTACAAGTAACCACAAAACATCTTACACCAAACTTGCCCAATTGCATTTTTTTGAGTCGCTGTTTATGCGTTCCTTGATCTACGAGTATAGGATCTAAGAGACCGCTACGCCTCATGCGCGGCATGTTTTATGTATACAATGCCGATTCGTTTGACATGAACTGAGATATGAAACCAGTAGTATAAGCTAGACCTACTAACATATCACATATATAGGGTATTGGAAAAATATGCCAGTGTAATTCGTAAAAGAGAAGAGCTAACTGCAATGCGTAATGATCAGAAAGGAACATTCTGAATAACTTGTATGTAGAAAACATGTTCTGGGAAGAACACAATATATTGTACATTGAGGTGACACCCACTGTTGTTATTCAGCCGATGATTGAAACGTTAGCAGAGTGTTTACAAGATATTTATGTCTAAGCGGACGCTAGGTGCTGAAGGCAGACTCTTTTCTGGATTTTGATTTGAATATTCTATCTTCTATATATTTGTCGTTATAGAAAAATATAGATATCCTTCACGACAGTAACTAATACCTTACAAATAAATGCCTCATAAATGACAAGTTATACGGAAATAGTACATGTGGTCCAACTTCATGTAACTTATTTTTATGATGACTGCTCGAAAAAATACGGTACAATATTTCCATCACATTTGATCTTAAACACATCTGCGTTGAATGTATCGATAGGGACTTTGATATATTACTAGCAAACAGCAGACTAAAGGTCAGTAAAACTTTTAAAGCTGTTGTGAAAATTTTTCTCAACCGCTAGCATATTTTTAAACTCTCTTTACGAGTGATATGTATAATTATGTTACTGTGAAAGTCCGAAATCCGGTGATTGTCGAGATCAACCAGTGAATGTCCACATCCACCAAGTTGCTCGGCGTATATCCGAATTATTGGTTAAATATCATTATTACTGGCATACACATTTTTTTGAAGTTAAAGTCAAACTCTTATATTATTAAGTAGGTATATTTTTTCTACACAGGGTGTCCGTGAAAAGGAGGTCAATTCGTTCAACGCATATTCTTTGGGTGAAAATAATAGGACTCTCATATGGCCATGAGGGTATTGAAAATCAGTAAAAAAATGTTTGTCAATAATTCATGCATCTCAAAATATTCAAATAAAATTTTGGTTGAAAACAATTAAAAATGGCAATATACAGTCCTATTATTTCCACCTAGAGTATGTGGTTAACGATTGACCTGCTTTTACCGGTATATGTAAAAAATGTTTCGATAAACATAAGAACATTATTATTGTTCTTGAAACAAACAGTTCAAAATAAATAACGAAAGGTAACTAAAAAATATCAAGATTACAGCCGTACATAAACAGTTTGCATTTTTTATATACATTACTAAAAAAAGGAAATGAATGTACTCTTTTTTGACACACGCTGTATAAGTAGTATGTATTTTAGTATAAGTCGCATTCATCAATACTTCCACATATATTCATATCGAACGATCGATGGCGTACACATAATATATACCACGTAAGAGTACCTGGGAGTCCACAGATCACTAGATCTCATCAATGGTGACTCAATGAATAAAAGTACATAAACAACTTTTATAGGTAATTGGATTCTCTACAATTTTTGTGGTATCTCCTTCCCTTTTAGAGGAATCTGACAAAACCTGATATTTTTGACATTTCAACCCAAACAAAAAAAGGCTCCGCTTCAAGGATATACGAGGGTTGTCTCAATAATAGGGTTCCCACATTTTTTTCAGGCACAAGGAATTTTTTGCTTGAAAAAACGAATTTCACTGGAAACGTTGATCTTCAAGCTATTTTTCTACATAATCGCCATTTTTCTATGCATTTTTTTAGAAGTGGAACCCACTTTTTCACTCGCCCCTCAAGGAAGTCCCCCGCCAGCCCGCTTGGAAATTTGGTAAATGCTCCTTGCAACTCCTCGTCCGTCTCGAACCGTTGACCGCCTAGGTGATCCTTCAATTTCGGAAACACTGTATCAGGGCTGTATGGGCAATGACTTCCCAGCCAAATCGCACGATTCAGTCCTTCGTTTGTGAGGCATGAATATGCGCATTGTCGTGGTGGTCTTACACTTTGGAGAGTTTACCCCTACGACGATTTTGGATTGCCCGTCTCAGCTTTTTCAGAAGCCTCAGGAATTTCAACCGCCTGGCGCTTCTTGTTGGGATCGGTGGTGTGGGAGCTGACAAACACGATGGTGCTGCCAGATTTCGCCTAGCACCATCCGCGTTAGGAACCTTATTGTTAAAACAACCCTCGTATGAGGAGTTTTGATACATTATTCATAATGGTGTGTTTAAGGTTTGTACCAATTTTCAGCGTTGTGGGAATTTTTTAAAACCAATATTTTTTGCTGCATTTTATCTGGGCTAATAACCATTTAACGGAAAAAATGTTGCAACAGAAATCGTTCATCATGTAACGAGCGTTATTAGTTCTCATAGAGTGAATGATGAAAATTGTACTTACAAAACCTCTGGATGATAAATATTATCAGGAAGGACGTGGACCAAGCATGTTTCAAGCTGTTCCAACGTACAACCAACAACCAAATGTTTACCACTGTAGTGAGGACAATGTAAGCCATACACACTAGTAAAGTTATGCGGAATCTCTCATATAACAGATATACTAGTCCAGTCTGAAAAAGAAAATGTTATGCAAGGGACATCCATTAATTATGTAAGGTGTTCAGGGGAGGGAAGCGGGTCCAGCTGAATCTCACCTATACCTAATCTGATGCGGTTGGAGGGGATCTCTGTAAATACCACGTCATTTTTTTCCGAATTCAATCGACAACGAGAGCAAAGTTGAAGGAGCGGATGATTTAATTGAAAATCACATGGATATATTAGTTCCAATAGTTACTCTTGAGACCGTGTATGAGTTTCTAATAAATACTCTTTTATTATTTTTAGTAGAGTTCGCATTCAAGAATGTTATACTGGGTGCGCCATCTTTTATGTCGGTATTGAAACATCGAATGACTTTGATATTTACCAACCGAGTGATTTGGTTATACGTGTTTCTGAAACGTCAATTTACTACAATTTTAATCATGAATTGCTTTACACCGAAACAATGCGCCGAAATAGTCACAATGTACATTGAAAATCGTCGTTCAGTTGTGTTAACGCAACGTGCATATCGTCTAAAATATCGTGGCGAACAGGCACCGTCTGACAACACTATCCGTCAGAGATAGCGTTGCCCAGAAACCAAAAGTGTCGTATCGTCACCGCGCTCAGCATTTTGGAATCAGTGGAACCACGTTGCGGCGCATTTTGAAGGATCATTTGCATTTGTTTCCTTATAAGGTGCAGTTAACACAAAAAATATTGCCAACTGACCGTCCACGTCGCTTGGAATACGCCCAAACAGTCGCTCGCATGGTTGATGCTGAACCTGATTTTTAGAAGCAAATTGTGATGACCGACGAGGCCTATTTCACGCCCTCTGACGGCGTTAATAAGCAATACTGCCGCATTTAGGGGACGGAAAATCCACATGAGATCCACGAAATGTCGTTGCATGACCGGAAAGTGACTGCTTAGGCAGGCGTTTGCGCCAAAACCATCATTGGGCCATTTTTCTTCAACGAAAATGAAACAGTCGATGGAAATCGATATCGGTGGATGTTGGCTCATTATGTCTGCCCACAAATACGTGAAAAAGGTCTTGATGGTTACTGGTTTCAACAAGACGGTGCGCTATGCCACACTGCAAATTAAACAATCCAGTTTCTGCAACGAAAATTCCCTGGACGTCTGACCTCAAAAAGAGGTGACATTGACTGGCCACCCAGGTCTCCGGATTTGACCCCACCGGACTTCTCCTTGTGGGGTTATTTGAAAAGTCAAGAGTACGCCAGCAAGCCCCATACCACTGAAGAACTCAACGCAAACAGTCGTACTGCAATCGCGGCTATACCACCAGAGATGCTTGAAAAAGTAATGGAAAACGCAGCAAAATGGGCACATTTTGTTTTGGCCAATAAAGGTGGCCACTTGATTGATAGATGTTGTGTTCAAAAACTAGTCCCAATAAATTGTAAACATATTTAATAAAAATACCCGATATATAGAAATCAGTTTTTCGTTTTCAAAGTTTTTTCACGTTTACATACCGACATAAAAGATGGCGCACCCTGTATATTGTTAAATTTGATCATTTTGATCTTAGAATATGATCTAGTCAATCTTAAAAAGTAGTCTTCACTAGTATCAAATAAAAAATAATGATGCAAATAGTGTTGTTTAAATAAATCCAACAGATTTACACTAATATTACAAATCTTGAAAAATCTCACGAGGGATTAGGGTTGAGGGGGGGGGCGAGCTGAATCTCACCACCGGAGAAGAGAGGGGTCAGAAAATTATCAAAAACGTCTCACGTAATTAATGGGTTCCCTGGTGATCTTTTTAACCCCTCAATGCAGAAAGAAGGGGTGATATTACATAGTTTAAGGTGTGCACGAGTGTGTGTCTGTGGCATCAACCCCCATCAGATTTACCGGCGGTTTTTAAATCGAAAGTCGCATCTCTTTAAATGGTTCTTAGCTATGTTTGATGAAAATCGGTTCATCTGTTTAGAAGTTATGTGGGTGAGCAAATCATTGTAAACAAATATGAATTAATGAAAATTGGACACTTGCAAGGTTTTTTATTCGTCCAGCAAATAACTTGTTTAGAGCACAATTTAAATTGTCATTGGCAATATTTTTATTTCAAAATGAGTAAACTTTAATTCTAGATCTGTGATTCTATTTGGCCAGCAGACCATGGAGGTTGATCAGCGAGACGACCACAGGATAAGTTAATAAAATGAAGTTGAAATAAAATGAAAGAAGGATCTTGAAAATGAGTTTGCTGTGCATCTATCTCTTGTATTTTTTCTACCCACAAAAAGGGGATATTGTTAGTTTCCTTAGGCAGTTTTTAAGCATCAGTTGGTATTTCGGGAGGCAGGCACTCAAATTATTTTATTTTATTTAGACGTGTTGCAAGCATGATTATATAAACTTGGATCCTCAAGCAATTGCAAGATTTTATATGAACACTAAATAAATGATAATTTAATCAAACGACCGGACAAAGTGCCCCATTCTCAAAAAAATCACGAACGTTAAAAGCAGCTAGCTATACGCGCGTTGATATGCACAAATCTACCAAATGCCTTAATTCAAGATGCAGGTAATCCTTTACAGAAAATTTGGTTTTACCAACAGCATAGAAAAACATGACGTGCTATTTTGGTAAAGCTCGATAGGAACTCTCTCGATACATAGAATAAACATCAAAACAACACACATACTGTTACAAACCTACGTACCTGGAAGATATATGTGGAGAAGAAAGTTAACAACAGTATTGTCAGGGCTAATAATAAGCATATATCTTGGACACTGCAATGTAAAAAGTTATATATCAGCAACGTTATTCAATGGATTCTGATTTACTTACATAAACAATGTGAGCAGTGCAGCATTGCTGCCCCTGGTCAATAACAAAGATATGTTGATGCACCAGTCTGTGATTAAAAGCAATGTTTGTAAAGACAAAATTACGGTATATTTACTTGTAGTTAGTCTCATTTTGATATATTTACGTTAATACTTCACTTGTTATAGCGATTACTTACTACATTGCGGAAAATAAAATACATTCAGTCTAAAAGCAGTTTTAAATTCAAATATTGATTTTCTGCTGACGGTTGTTGACAGTGTCACTAAACATGGAATACAAATTGAGAAAGGGATAATCGCCTTCACAAAATCGTCATTTAAAGGTCAAAGCATTAACCGGTCCCACACGATGTGGCGAATGCCTTAAACTTGAATCCATTTCAAGTGAGACCAGACACAACAACCAGCACGCGTCGCTGGCATGATGGTCGTAGGTAGACACAAGAACCGAGCAGGGTCGGACTCAAAACTATGGAAATATTAAGGTGATATTTCAGAACTAAATATTTGAAAAAGAGACATCAGTAAATAATAACACAACACTACTGTCACAGAGTCAATAGAGGTGATTGAAAGTTAAGGGGGGCACAAAAAGTAATTATACATATGTGTTTGACAACATCAATATGGAGATAGGGACACATTTCTGTATTTTATATACGATGCTATATTGTTTCTCATGATAGCGGGATGCATGCGGTGAGATATATCGGACACTTCAACCAATGCATCATTTAATCTGTTGATGAATCTGGTTAGCTTAAAAAACAAAAAGAAACAGGCAACATCAATTAAACTAAAAAATTATCAAGTGTGACAAACTTATCGAAAAATTTACAAATCAACGCAATGTTGTTAATTAACGTGTTTCATTCCGTGACGGACGAGGTATGTTGTCTCTGCAACGCTCGCATTGCTGTAAAAAATCTTGTCATCTATACCATAAGAATTCCAACGTAGAATACATTGATTTCCAGAGTGAACATGCCCTCGTGTTTTCTAGATATCTGAAAACGTGTAATGCCTCATTTAAATCACTTTGACTATGAAAAATTATCTAATAACTATTGTTGGATTTTCTAAAATGGAATGTCTGCATTACCTGTAGGGTTTTTAAGCCCAGTTGAAAGCCCATCTAAAAACGCTCTTCTTGCTGATGTTACTGTTTGGTCCACCCAAACTTTTGATTTTGTATGGCCAGCATTTATCCACGTCTGGTCCAGGAAGTAAATTCTATGGTTTTGGCTCCTGTATGTTTTTATTTTTGTCAAATAATCTCTCCTCCATAGTAATAATTTCATCTCTATCCATCAATGAACTGTTTCGGCCTCTCTTCTGCCAATTGAAGTTGAGTTCCTTTAATAGCCTGTAGAACGTTTTACTAAAATTCGGCAAAGTCTTCATTCACTACTTTCAAAATCTTATCAATTGTAGGAATTTCATTCCGGAAAAAGAATTCATGAACCTTCCTTCTGATCGCATGTCTGTCAGCATCATCTATTTCTTTAATTTGGCTTTTACGGTTCTGATTCGTTTTAGGTTCAGCAAATGCATTCCGTAATTTATATTCTTTGAGTACTCTAAATACCGATGCACGAGAAACTTCAACTTTATTCGCCACCCTCTGCACAACATCGTTGACGCTGAGCTCAGGTTTTTCCTCCGTTTCACATTTGTAAACATTTAAAATAATTTCTTTCACTTCGATGCTCAAATGGTTTTGTCTTGATCGTTTCCTGAGTGGACTCAATGTAGTTCTGTGTCGGTAGAAGACATGGTCAAAAAACACCAGATATGACAGAACTTATAACAGCGATGCACTCGACGCCACGCCACGGCCTGATTACAACTCTGTTTTTTTTTTATACTCCAACTACCACGAAGGCCTAAGGCCTAAGCACCCATTGGGTACCGTGGGGCTATAGGGGGATACATGGGATAGGGGGGGACGCCACACGGCCTCTGGCGAGGGAACACGTGTGCATGCAACATGCACACATTCTGGCTCCGCCTACGAGAACCGCCGGGTGGTACCTCCGCGTTCGACAGTCAGAGACCATCTACCACCTATGCACAATCACAACATCCATAGCCAAGAGAAAAATTTCTCCTGGGACGGGACTCGAACCCGCACAGCGCACGGCGACTGATCAGGAGACCGAAGAGTCTACTACTGCGGCCACCGCTGCTGCCTTGTAGACATCAACGCGGCGCAACGGCAGGTTTTGTATTGCTACAGTCTAACTAGGTCTTAAAAAATGTTCGAAACTGCATGTTTTCCAAATTCATGGAGTTTTATATTGGAGCCACTTCAGGAGATTGTATTTAACAAAAGCATCAATATGAGGGGCGGAAAGTTTAAAAAAAGAAAAATGAAAGCTACGAAATGGAACTATTAGTTGAAAAAGCAAGCGCTTCAAACTACAACTTCAAACCGTAAAATGCCTGAACTATAATGAGACCCTCTGCGGGAACATCGATCACGCGCTGATCACGCTTCGAGTTTGCGATGTTGTGGTCTCACTTGGGCTGAATTTTAGTATAGGCCCGTATCGTCAGTCGTTTCTACAATTGTAGGACGCCTTTATGGCCTCCTCGACTGTCACAGGCTTTTCTCTCCTTCAAAAATTTCTAGATTGCACCTGTTCCATTTCAGCGTCAGCGCTCTCCTATTGTGAAGTTATGTTTTCTTTTTGAATTGTGAGAAATTTCAGGCTGATAAAACATTATTTAAATCAAAAGCATGAACAATTTTATGCAAATAGATATCTATGAACCTCAAAATAGAGCGCTGACCCGAAAAAGTAGAAAACTATGAAAATCAAGGGGCCATAAAGGCATCCTACAATTGTAGGAACGACTGACATACGGCCCTTATTAGAGCCTTCGAAAACTACGTAAGCGTATCGTAATACGCGCGTAGGACGAGAGCAAAACGAGCTCGTATGTGTGCTAACAAGTCCGCACACGAAGCGGTGTTACTGCGAAGCATATGAGATGTTCAGTCGAATTACGATAGTCGTAGCGGTCTGGGGTAAGGCAGGCGTAGAAGCAAGCGTAAGTTTTGTTTAATTGCTCTCAATATGGCTGAAACGTCTTCTTCCTCATTCGATAAAAGCTTCAGAACTTATTATCACCTTATGAAAGTCCACGTGCAGCAACAAACAATATTTTCTTCTTATTACTTGCGATGTATGGATGGATCCAATGAACACGTCGCTTTCTACTTCTAACATAATCAAACAATAAAAAATCCTCTTCGTCTGAAGAAAATGTAAGATCAACCATGGGTACACCTGAAACATCTGGTACCGTTGACGCCATGATTTCAACTGAGATCTTACAAAACGATACGGGTACGTGACGATGCGAGTGTGGAACACTGCAGGTCTCGTAAGCGTCGCGTCGTAACGATACTATTACGAAACGACTACGTTTACGATGCGTGTGCGAAGGCCCTTACAACGTTGGACACATGGTAATTCGCCACATCGTGAGGGAGAGCGCTGACGGATTACGTGTCCAACGTTCACGACATGGCAAGCTCGGGCTCTGTAAATTTGACACGCGTCAAAGGACGTTGCAACGTTGGAAGCAGGGTTCGTTACGCTCCACACGAGATGTCATGTGTTTGATGGTTTTAGGTTGGGTTGGAACCAGTAGCGGCGAAAAACATTTACTTCTTATGTCATGCACGACTTAACGTAACCTACTTTAAGGATCAACTGTAACTGTTTCTACATCAAGTGTCCTCCACATGCTAGTGATTTCCAATGGTGGTCAAACGTTTTGGTGACGTCACACCCATTTTTTGACATGATTCGGGTGGTTTCGGAACTCGTCTTACCCTTGTATATCCATACTGTTCTATGCTCGTATTGACGTAATTATAATAATTCTGTGGTGTCTCGTGTTCCACGACGATTTACGGAGAAAGCCAGGCGGTGACTCATATGTTGTTTTTGACGAATTTGCGGTAGAGATTTGTTTTGGTGTTCGTCTTCGGGTGTGTTTTTCTGCCTTGGACTTGTTTTTTGTGCGATTAATTGAGGATAGCCATGACTGTAGCAAAAAAAAACGAAAAGCCGCGCTGGTATCAACTCCTGACCTTGGTGAAGAGCTACCTGCAGAAGGCACCTGAACGCAATCGGACATCGCCAGTTGCAGTAAGTTCCAAATCAGTTCATTTTTGCATAAATGACTAAATATATTGAGGTTATGGTCGTTTTCTTAATTCAAGGTCACTCTTAACACTTTGACTACTACGCATGGTGGTGATACATGACTCAACAGAAACTGGTACACTTTTTTCTCAAAAAAATATATTTTGATATATTTAAGTATACAAACAGAATGAAAACAACAAGTTTTTCCACAAAAAAATATTTTTTTGACTGTGTCCAGGTACAGTACACACAGTCTATATAAAAAAAAAATACAGCTTGATCACCTTAAAGTATGTATATCATGCATGACCACATTTCTCATTTACGTAAACTGCAGTTGTGAGTGTCGAAAAAGCACTTCATACATAAAAATTTGTGTTCACACCCCTGACAATGCATTTTAATCCTAGGAGTGTTTGCCATTGCATAGGCTCGACCATTTCTTTCACTATTAGCTTTGTAACATCTGGTACATCTACCCCTTGATGTTATCTCGATGATTTTGTGATTCCTAGAGATCCCTTCAGATGGAATATCTATAATATTATGCCTCTCATTGAAAAGTTTGTTTACAAGCTCCTCCCTGAACTTGGTTATATTTATAGTTTTTTTAGTAAAAAATTGATATGCTATGTGAGCATTCACAACTGCAGTATTTGTGAGTATTTCTATGGCCACCTTTCTATACCATTTTATTCCGCGTCGAACAGTAGTCGAGTAGGAAGCCTTTTGGTCAGACACATCTATAAAAGACTTGATACTATTATACTTTGCAATAGTAGATGGTTTTTTTACAACACCTCGTTTTGTTTGTACGTTAGTCATTTCAGGCACTGCTTCGGTCGTCAAAAATAAGACCTCTCTTTGGTCTCTCCATTTTCCCACTATCACATGGGTATTACTCTCACGTACAATCAAGTCCCCTTTTTCCAGTTTTGCATCTGTAATTGGCTTTGGATTAAATTTCCTATTTTTTCTCAGAGTCCCAATAAGGTGTGTCTTTCTATCCAAAAGTTCGTGTGCGAGGCTAACGCTAGTATAAAAGTTGTCTGTGCATAGTAGACGTCCGCAATCTAAGAGAGGCTCCATAAGATCGAGAACTACGCGACTAGCAACTGACTGTGAAGTCGGGTTGTCCTCCTTGCCTGAATATACTTTTAAGTTGTATGTATAACCTTTCTCCGCACACAGTTTGAAAATTTTTACTCCGTATTTATGTCGTTTACCCGGTATGTATTGACGAAAGCGAAGTCGGCCTCTGAATGGAATCATTGTTTCGTCAATACATACGTCTTTTTTGGGAATACATGCAGCTTGAAAATTAGTAATGAGACGTCTGCTAATGGTTGAATTTTGTATATGCGATTCGTACGATCTGTTGTCTCATTATCTGAAAAATGCAAATTTGATAGAAGCAATTCAAACCGCATTCTTGACATTCCAATGTATTTTCCCAAATCATTTTTGTATAGTATATTGCGCGAAAAGTAATCTTTCAGTGTCGGCTTTTTGTCTAGTCCCATCCAAATTAGCATTCCTATGAATGCTACTATTTCAGACTCATTAGTATCTTTCCAGTGAGTTAATAGTGAATTTTTTTGGATAGTTTCATTTGCTATGCATGATATAATTTTTTGCGTCGCATAGCGGTTTGTTTCTTGAACTACCATAGGTATGATATCGGCCAAGAAAAGCTTATAAAAGTCTAAAGGCTCATCTCCGCTTCTTTTCGCAAAAAACTCTGCAGAGAATCCTGGGTTGGCATTGAACGGATGATCCTTCAAATTTCCTGAAGAGAAAAATACTTTGTAGCGTCGCAATAAATCCTAATTTACTTTATTTTACCTGAACAATCATTCCAGATAACTCGAACTTCATGTGATCCACTTACATCTCTGTTGGGGCTGCTGAGCTACTCTCGCTGCTTTCAGACAAATTCACTTCACTGTCAACAGGAGTGTCTATAGCCCCGACATTTGCATTTGCTTCCACACAAATTTCTAGCTTCTTTCTTTTTCTTGCAGTGCCAGCATCGAATTCACTATCGGTACTTTCTGATGAACTGAAATTCTCGAAGTCTGGATCACCCACTGAGTCATCGACGTCCGATTCGTATTCACAATCGCTCATATTATTAATTATTCCCTCCAACTCCTTATCGGTTAAAGCCCTATCACCCATTTTGCATTCAAAACGCAACCGAGCACGATGAGCAGAAGAAACAACTACGACATACGACCAAAACGTGTAAACAATACGTACACGTTACGACTAAATTACTATACAGCTTGGTGCTTCCATCTCTGAATTAAGGGTAAAACTATTTGGCCAATCTTTCGTCATAAACTATACTATATAGAACATGCATTCATTTCAATGATAAGCGTGACCACATAACGTACATAACGGATCAAACCTAGCCCATGCCTGTGACCACATATGGGCACATAGTTTATCCATAAAAGTTAGATGTGTATCATTTTTTGTACACATAGTAGTTAAAGTGTTAAAATAAAGTTCAATATCGTCGGCTTGAGATGCAAATGACCTAACTCCAAAATCCGAAATTGTTCAGGAGATACAAAAAACTTCACAGAAAAAAAGAATTAGTAAAACAAAATTAGTTTCCAGAATATTTTATTTTTATTTATTGCTATATACGAGAAAATAATGGTGATTTTCAAAATTAGGTTTTATTTGTAAAAAATTGGGAGTTAGGAGATTTGCGTTCTCTATGCATGGTGTTACAAGCAAGAGATAGGCAACTGCCTGATACATTGTGCAACTTAAATTATTTATAAAACTAAGCTTTAAAGAAGCAAAAAATACAAAGAAAGAAGCATTTTACAAATGTGGTAAGTTATCATAAAAATAATGAAAGTCCTTAAGAAATAAGAATAGAAGATTTAAGGTACATTAAATGTTGAAACTTTTCGGATTTGATTGGTATGGGAGTCGGATACATCAACGGCAACTCTTCTAAATTCCAGATGTTTTATCTTTTTTCTTCATTCTAAAAGGTAAAGGTGTCCATTCCTCTGTATGCCTGATTTTGAATAAAATTCCGTTTTCATTGTATTGAAGTGCTCTGATATCTGTGACACTCGGATCACCTGCCGTTCTGCCAGGACGGATGGAACTAATGTATTGATCTTCTTGGAAGTTTTTAAAATAAGTATGATTCAAGTACTCCACCTGGTAGGGTTTCGGATTTATACGAGCAGTTTGACAAACATTCACATAATCTGCTGGTACATTTATAACCTTATTTTTTAGTTTCCGCTCGATTGTAGAGTGCATTGAATCGCACTCCATTTGCGTATGTCCTTTTTCTAGAAATTTTTGTTCAATTGTAATCCCATAATTTTGTGCGAAATTGAAAAGTGCAGTGGAAAGAATTGTATTTCTGTTTTGTCCAGTACATAAATCACTGTACAAAATCACTTTACTGAAGGAGTCTTTTTGGGGTACAATATTAGTCTCTAAAAACTTGTAAATGATGGTCGCAAATGTGTTGGCACTTAGTCCAGCATGACCCTCATGCCAGAGAAAACAATATCCATCCAAGGATTTAATATCCATGATGGTAAAATTATGCACTAATAACTGTGTCTTATAATAAAGAGCACTGACATTGGATTTTGGACTCAGTAAAACTGATTGTAAATCCATGGTAAAAACCTTTACATCTTCTTTTGTTTTGTCAACCTCTTTTTGGATTCATGCTTCCTCCTTCTTCTTTTGATGTTCTTGGTAAGTAGCTTCGTCAATATTACTAGTTTTGTAGCCTACACACGTGTCACACTCGTCCTTTTTGGGTGAAAAAAGTGCTAGATTGAAATCGTCGAAACTGTTGTTAAAGGCTGCAATGGATAGTGACTTTGAGTCATTTCTCTTGCACCAGTCATTGGTATAAAATCGATATAATTCCATCTTTGATTGCCAATTTCTTTCAAGGTATAATTTATATGTGGACTTCCTACAATAATGTGATTCTAGCTTTGGTAGAACCTTAAAGAAATTACATAAATGTTCCTTCTGTTCATTGATTTTCGCTGTTCTGGGATTAAATTTTTGGTAGGAATTATCGTGCGTATCGTTGAGGTTATTATCATCTACCAAATCATTTGAAGCATAAAGTGATTTATTTTTTTCATTCAACCAATGTGCAACAGTTCTAGGCGCAATCGCAAGTGTGTTGCAAAACATCGTTTTACAGACTCTTATTTTGGAAGTTGTGTTTAGAAAATAAACATAGGAGAATTCCCTTCTTGATTCGTTCTCTTTTTTTTTCGGTCCCTAGCTCTTGAAGTACTTTTCTTTTCAATCAGTGTCCTTAGAAATAGTTGTTTCTCGTTCCACAAAAGATTCCAAAACCTTGTGAAAATATCTGTTCTTTGCTTTTCTGTTATATCATTGCATTTCATTACTGATTTACCATTGCATTTGCACCTAGGTCCTATAGCTTTTGATTTTTTTGGAATGTCATAATTCCATTTTTCTTCTTGCCTTTTCTTACCAAAATACTCCTTTCCTTCCTGTCTTAATATCTTATTTTTATTTTTCTTCCATTGTTGTTGGTCCACATGACGTCTCTTTTTGCGTGTCCTTGGAAAGTTTTCCATTAAAATGTTGTTTTGGGACTCCTCTAATACCCCATCTTCACTTGATATAGTTTCATTTTCACTGAGTTGGTATGACTTATCTGATCTACTACAGGTTTCAATATCTTCCAAAATAGAGTTTTGGGCTTCTTCACCAGGAATTAATTCGTGAACAAAACTCTGCTGAATTTCTAGGTCAACATTAATTTCACACTGATTATTTGAGCACATATAATTCAAGTTAGCCACTTCTTGTTCAGCTAGGGTGATTAAATCACCATCAGTAATTAAATTGTCATCAGCTAATAAGTAATCAGTAGATGCTGAGGTGCTGACTAGACTACTATTATCAGTAAACAAAGTGGAGAAATCCTGGTCTTGACCAAAATTATCACAAAATGTTAACACACCATCTGTTTTTACTTCACTTTCGATATTGGCCTTAACTTGAATGTCTTTTCTAGCCAATAAAAGCATTTTAGACGCACGAGATTGGGGATTCATTCTGAAACAGATAGAGTTGATTAAAAAGTATACTTGTATGTACAAATTTTATTATAATTCTGTCTATTTACTAATTGTACAACAAACCGTATACAAGCTAATCATTTATTATTAATTGATGAATAACCAAAAAGTTCCCAAAACAGCTTCATAGCAACCAAGCAAAAACTCAAGTGTGTGTTTTTTAAGTCAAATTTTAAATTTAAAGTTTTATATTATTGTACTATATTATTTATATTTTATATCATTACTTATATTTATTATTATATTATTGACAAAAAATGTTGGAAGTAATTACCCCGTAAGTACAGAGCAGCGAATGGCCTATCTCCTATTAAATATAATACTATAATTACCTAACTCCAACATGATGTTTTAAAATCAGATTTACCTATCAAAACACAAAAAATAAATACTAAAATCATGTTATGTAGACAGTTTGTGTATTAAAAATAACACTTATCTAAAAAAATTATCGGTACTTACCTTAAATATCGCCTTAGGCACTATTAATTAGCTCTAATGTTTCACTAGCTGTTGCTATCATATCACCACCGGGAGTTAGGCAAATTGCATATTGTTGCAGAATAAGCGGGAGATAGGACAGTTTCGACTGGTATTTTTTAGCGGCAATTTTGACATTTGGTTGTTAGGCGTTTTCGAGTCGACGCGGTTAATTATTCTGAATGTGACCAGCTTAAAATGTCATTTTGGATTAAAAGTGGAGTTAGGCCATTTGCACCTTAAGCCGACGATATATTGAACTTTATCTTAAGAACCAACCAATCGGATCAGTAGCGTTGGTCAGCTGATCGCTACAGCTGGAATTAGAAGATGGGTACGAGCCATCGATACTGTACAAAAGTCGATATTTATATCGTGATGTTTGATCGATTTTATATCGCTGTATGGGCAGATGGTTCGGTGATAGTTGTATGTACGCATGACAGTTTAGAGCTGAACATCGGGGCGGATTGATAAAAAAAAATCAGAGATGTATGTTAAAAATTATAATAAATAAAGTCAGTGGTCATGTTTACATCATCCCGTAACAAAGTGCGTATAGTGGTAGTTTCAGCAAAACATATCAGTATTGCTACAGCATAAAGTAGATCAAAAAACAGCATGAAAAAAATAAACATGGGTTCTAAATTGCCACTTACCAAGATAGAGGATTTTGAAATTATATTCTAGAGAACGAAAAAAAAAGATCTTAAAATTTTGTGCTTGTAGTACTGACTTCATAGCTGATAGTTGCAAACACTTTCATGTCTGAGACTGTACCAGTGGTGATGTTGGCAAATTATAGCCCCTACAGAAGAAAAAAGAGGATTTGAATCTATACCATGCCCCCCATGACATGTTTTTACAAAACCTCACAGAACACTGTGAAGGTACTTTGTCATTAACTGTACACCTGGCAAATGCTGTGTATTCACAGCCCACCAAATATGTAATGTCTTTTGACGTTTATTGAGGTAAACATATGAGTAGCACGTAACTTTTTTTTGTGACATCTGTACTGTTGGTAATAACAAATCTGGTAAATGGCCAAATTAAGGACTCTTGTTTGGTATCACCAATGAAAATTTGTTTAAGTATACACAGAATTTTGGCAATCAAATGTATACTGCTAGATTGGGAATTTATACATATGTACAGAGCAGTATCATCTGAAGGGGCATGGTGAGATGACTATGTTTCTGTTTAGTGTTTGCTGACCAAATATGACAGTGATATTATGCTAATATTTTTTTTTTTGTTTCAGAGTGTCAACATCCTTCGAGGAGACAGTTGGAATGAAGATCATCATTTATTTTAGGAATACCAAATTACGAGAATTGTCAATGGCGTCAGGAGTTTGTTTCCTAGTTTGAAGAAACAATTAGTGTTTTACGTGTTTTTTTTTTTTTGTTGTGGACAATTTTGTTTGCCTTCACCCATTAACAGTGTGTGCAAAATTGTTTTTGAGTCACATATCAGAGAGATTATATTTGTATTCCAGTCAGTCCTCTAACTACAGATGTATTTTTTGTTATTTTAGTATTTACGTTTTCGCAATAAATATATATGATCAATTAACAAGAGATAGTGCTTGCATGATATTGCACTGATCAGGTTCATAATATAGAGACAAATCCAGATGGATAGAATACTTCTATGTATGTACAATGTATTGTAATGAAGAATTTGTTCTATTATTGCTGGGACTGTTAAATATTTTTTTAATTATACGTTTTTTTATTATCCTGAAATTCATTACTAGCCAAACTGATGAAAGAAATACTACTTCCTTTATTGAGGATGTGTTATGCAATCTATGATCGTCGAACTGCCTCAATATCGGGAAGATCATCAGTCAGATTTCGTTAAAGTAAACAAATGAAATCGCCGTCAGACATTCCTGATATGCGTTGTCGGCATACTTTCAATATTTATAGTTCCACCAGATTGCCAGCCAAGAAAAGTGGCGCTGCCGTAGAGGTTATAGTCCAAGAAATATCTTCACATCTGCTCAGGAAAAAATTCGGATTCGGACTTTTTGCATGTTATTGCGTCTTTAATTGTTTGTACAACTTTTTCAAATAAATTCCAAAAATTAATGTTTTGCTTCATCAAAGGTAGTATTCGTTTTGATACTCCGAAACAAAACAATGTTTGTCAAAAGTTGATTTTGTACGAGATGGGAAAGTACGAGGGATGTCTTTTAAGTTTTGCATATAGAAACATAGTAGGCCGCGCGGATCGAACGTCGGTACTGACTTAACCTCACTGTTTAGTAAACTTAAATTCAAAGTTTACAACAATACGTGCAGTGTTTTCTCACTATAGTGCATTTTTAAGTGTCACCAAGTCATTAGAAAAATGGAACTCAACCGAGAACATGTTCTCAACTTTCAGAGACAATTATCGCAAAAAGAAGGCCTTGCTGAGTTAGTCTGTTTTCGGCAACGAAGAGCCACATCAGTCGACAATTTCCCGTTGGTATGGAGAATTCAAACGTGGACGGGTGAGTCTTAGCGACGATTCCAGGGTGGGTGGACCAAAAACGGCAGTCACCCAGGAAAACGTCGATGCTGTTCGCAAACTCATCATTGAAGATAGACATGTGACATATCGCGAAAATGAGGAGTCCTTGGAGATCTCAAAGACCTCAATTTAAAACATTTTACATGAAGAATTAGGAGTAAGAAAATTAGTTTCTCGTTGGATTCCCCACCTGTTGACTGAAGAGCAGAAAGCAGCCAGGGTTAGTTGATGTCAAAAAACGCTTGACCGTTTCAATTCCGGAGACTCAAAAAATCTGTACAGCATTGTTAGTGGTGATGAATCGTGGATTTACTGTTATGAACCAGAAAATAAACGACAGTCGGCTGTTTGGGTGTTCCAAGGTGAAGAAAAGCCAACAAAATTCATCCGTTCTCGAAGTGTTTCGAAAAAGATGGACGCGAGATTTGTGTCAAAAGCGGGTCTGATTGCAACAATTCCTCCTAATGAGCGAAGAACTGTTACTGCGGATTGGTATACCGCCATTTGTTGGCCAAAAGTCATCACCGAGCTTCGAAAAATCAACCCCGAAAGAAGAATCATCCTCCACCAAGACAATGCAAGCTCGCACACAGCCTAAAAAACAAGGCAGTATTTAACGGAAGGAAACGTGAAATTATTGGACCATCCTCCACATAGTCCCGATCTAAGTCCTAACGATTTCTTTACTTTCCCGAAAATTAGAAACAGACTGCGTGGTCAAAGCTTCCAGTCATCAGAAGAAGCAGTTGACGCATTCAAAAATGCCGTTTTGGATCTGTCAGCAAACGAGTGGAATAAGTGCTTCGAAAATTGGTTCGTGCGCATGCAGATGTGTATTAATCTTCGTGGAGAATACTTCGAAAAGGAATAAAGTCATTTAAAACTACCTACCGTGTTGTTTCACTTCCATATGCAAAACTTAAAAGACATCTCTCGTATAGGGAGACAATACATCAAGGTAGATGATAAAAATAAGACAACAAAACAGAGTTGCTCTTCACTATTGAACAAGCGATTATTTGTCGTTGAATGTCAAAATAGTAGTTGGCTAAATTTCATCCTAATAAAGCCGGAATTACTATTATTCTTATTGTGTCTGTTTTCTAGGATTTCACAAAACTGCGTGTAACTAAAAAACTGATCGACTTTGTACCAAGGTATATGTGGCTCAATGTGTCTCAAATGGGATGGGGTGTTTCATCAAGCCTTGAAACATCATATCGTCGGGTTACTGCCAAAACCAGATACCTTACATTTTTATAGTTTTTAGATATTGGGGTTTTAAACTTGGGTTTCAGATTAAAATTCACACAATAGAATTAAAGACTAATTTTTTTTCACAAACTAAATTTTAATGAAATTATGAACAGAACAGCAAAAAAATAATCATATTTGAAAAAATTACTACTTATTAACAAAAAACGCAATTTTTCTTGCACTTATCTTCTTTTAGATGTATAGGTTCTTATATGTTAGCCATTTAACTCTTCCGACTCCGGTTCTTCTTCGGGATCAGAATCCTCCGCTGTTGGTCCTGGGACAAGATACTTTGCTTCTTTGGAGGTCTGTAGCGATTTATAGTAAGAATGATATTCTTCAGGAATTGTCAACCAGTCTTGAATTGTATAAACAGGAACGAACTTCTGCGCCTTTTCAATCGCACTGTGCATACTGTCGACTTCCATGTAGCTGTGTCCGCCGGTTTCTAAAAACTTTTGCTCTATTATGTACTTGTATGTTTGAATTAATTTGGACCACGTACAGCAAAAGAGCGCTAATATTTTGGTTGCGATTTTGACCACTGCATGTTTCGGAAAACTACGATAGTTCGGTGATATCAGAAGATAGCAGATTTATGTAATTGTATAAGCAGGTGCCAATTTCTGAACTGCCTCTCTTTCCATTTATCTCTGTCCACGCATAGCAAAATGCTGAGTTAGGAGGAGCGAATTCGTGAACTGTTTTTGCAAACTTCAAAACGTTGTTCAGTGGTCATATTATCCGAACACTTAAACCGGCATTTTGTACAATCGACGGGTTTAGGAGCCTTTCCCCAATTCTTTGACGTTTAAATAGATTTTTCTCCACTGATTGGGATTAGACTTTTTCCATCGACTTGTTCTTGTAACAGCAGATGTCATGTCAATATCATTGTTATTCATTGGTGGATCGTCTGCAACAAAAAAGTGCTGTAATATTACTCTTTGTGAATGAATATTGAACTTACCCTCGTCTGAGTCGTACTCTGAAGCTAAAGATTCCGAAACATAGTACTTATCCTTTATGGAACAGTCGGAATCTCCAAACATATCGTCCAATTCCGCAAGAATCTGTTCTTGTTCTGAATTCAGAGTCGACGACAAATCGTTTCTATCAGTTTTTCACCAGATGGGCCCGCTACTTCATTTGGATGATTTTCTCCCACTTCAGCGCGGTCTGTTTCTGGTAAATTTAAATTTTCCCCACTTTCGCCTAATAGAGCAACAAAAACAGAAAAATAATATGGGTGCACTGTTCTAATGTGAAATATCTTTCACGTCTTTTGAACTTCTAGGATCATAAACAAAATGAACAATTGGTAATATTATTCCTCAATTCAAATTTTGAAATATCTAGCATTATGCCGATTATTGTTTTGCGTTGAAACTAAGCTACTCGATACTCAATGTCCCGACAAAAATACAGCGTGCAAATGACATAGTTAAAACTCCACCAAAATTGACTAAAACCTTACCTGCTGCTGGTTCTTTACCAGTGGCCATCATAACAAGATACATGCCACGAGACAACATGCTTTCGAACTCTTTCAGTAGAACTCGTTATAAACTACTTAGAAATGCCGGAATACTACACTGCGTATTACCACGTGTATAAGCAGTTTTCAGGTTATGTTTGCTATGATATACTGCCAAAACAAGACAAGTGCGTGTTTACCCGACATAATACAAGTATCACACAGACAGATAACATAATGTGTACAAACAAGACAAGATAACTACCACATATCTGAAGAAATCCTTGATTTGGACTCACACCGGTACAGCAAATACCCGACAAGTGGTACTTATCTCATTCTGTCTCTAAAATTCTTATATAAGCACTGAAACACAACTGTCAAAATCAGATAAGTGCCTTATGACTTATTTTCGCTGTAAAGAAACTAGCAATGTTGTACTATAATTTGAACGTCGTTAATCGCAAGTGCGCATGTCTTGTTGTAGCTGTACTTAAGGGTCTCATATTGAATATAGTCTATTTTTGACACATGCGAGCAACACTCTTCCGTAAAATATGAAGATATCTGGTTTTGGCACAACATAAATTGTACCATTTTAGTTACAAAAGTGCACTTAACTCAAAAATGATAAAAATGTACTTATCTTGTTTTGGCAGTAAGCCGACGATATACAATACAAAGACTTGTAGTGAGTGAAAGGTGTACGGAGCATTTTAAAAAGGAAAATTTCTATTAACTATTCTTTATTCTCATACTATCAGGAACCTTGTAATGATTTTGTCTAAACAATTCAGTCAACATGTTCTCCAACTCACTACAAATATGTTTTTCTTCATTTAATAAACAGTTATAGAAATTCAGCGCCGATTGACAGTCGTTATTGGTAACTGGAACAAAAAATAAAAACAATCAATCAACAGTTCATATAACGTTTTTAAAAGGGCTTGGGCATCTAGAAAAGATTCATTCTAAAATAAGTTCTGATTACCATGGATCCTCATGATGCATTTGTATACAGAAGAAACGTCGTTAATTTCTGGGAATTTCTCGCAATAACTCGCTAGTAATGTCAAAGCATAAATTTTTTTCTCTTTCACCCATCGATCGCACCTGTTCCGCAGTCGTTCATTCAAGTTCAATTTATTATTCTGAAAACAAAGTACTATTTAAAAACGACTTTCCAGCGTCAGCATGCGACTCGATTGCAACGTATGGCGGTTCAACATAATTTTTAGGAAGTACCCCATTGCCGAATATTAAGGTTTGGTGTTCAACCCTAACGGTTTCATAGAAAACGAAATAGATTTACGAGGTCTGTAAATCAACTGATGAGACTGGCAACGTAACGTTCGAACTGGTAACACTTGAGGCTCCGGGCTTGGAGGGGAGACAGAGATTTTTGTTTTTTCTATTATGTTCTAAAAATGTGACTTGGTCACAGTGCAACGCAAACTGTAACTAAATTTCAGCAGGCCTATGGAAATGGTGTTTTGTCAAGATATCCGGTTTTTTCGGTTTCGGTGGTTTAAGGCATTTTAAGCAGGCAGAGAGTCGATTGGAGATGAAACACGAAGGGGAAGACCTTCATCTTCAAGAACCGATAAAAATATCGACAGAATTGGGGATCTTGTGCGTTCAGATCATCGGTTGAGGGTCAGAATGATCGGGAAGAAAAGAATTCGACTCACCACCGTTCGTTAGAACCAGCTAATTTTTATTCCAGTATCGGAGTTCCAGCACTGTTGTGAGAAGTGGAAGAACCATCCCCAGTGCTGTGTGGCTTCAGAAAGAAGTTATTCTGAGGGTGACAATATAAAATTGTAATTATATTTGAATATAAAAATTAAAGAAAAAACAGACTGATCACTTAATTTACAGACCCCTTATACTGTACTTGGTGATTGCTAAAAGGCATGAAACAACATTGTACACAGTTCGTTAACGTGGTAAAGATAGAAAGCAAACATATCCTATTCATCTCGTTTAGTTTGTGCGACGTTTGCTTAGTATTTTCAGAGCTCTATAACAATGCATATTCAACGCTGCCCAACCAGCGAAGTGTGATTCGGTAAATCGGGGGACGACGAGGTGAATCTTGGCACTAGGTGGACTGAACCTAGACAATATTTCCATTTACACTCATAATGTCTGAGTTATGTAATATTAGCCACAATATAATAGTAAAAAGTTTGTAATTTGTCACCGTCGAATACAATCTTATAGAAACTTACAATCAATACTTTTTCCAAAGCTTTTTTCTCATTTTCCTCGACAAGCGCTGCTATCAAGTTAGCCTGAGTTGAAGCAAGGCCATGAATCCTTTGTGTGCAAGATAAAATCTGTTGGAGTAATTCTTCATCCTTATTCCTCACTAGTTCTTTGATCAACTCAAATTGTAATGGCGTGCATTTGTACTTTTCAGCTAGTGAAATGTATGTTTTTGCGGCACTCTTTATATCGCCCCTAAGAATACATAGTAATTAAATAATAATATACGACCTATACAGCTAATATATCGGACAGCGCTTACTTTGTTAGATGAATCCTGACCAAAGGACCCAAAATTACATTATTAGGAACATATCCTACGTCCATAATACATTCAAATATCTGCATTTGTTGGTTTGGATCAGTAAGTGATTGTAATAATTCCAAAATATTTCTGTCTGTTGCCTTCCTGCAAATAATAAGGTTGAATCTCCACTTTCAAGTTACAATAATAAGCATGATTTGAAAATCAGATTTGAATCTTCACAAAGTAACTAAAATTAAATTGATTTCTGGTTTTTCTCTTGAAGATATAAAACAATGGAACAATCACAATGTGTCCAGCAGTTGCGTAGGATGCGAAATTAAACCTACTGTCAGATTCCAACTTTTTTTGATGATTCTCTAGAATATTTCTGAGCGCATGATGGAAGCATAAAATTTCACGGACGTTCTGTGAAAAGCAACCAAATACATATACTTTTTTCAAAATATTTTACTGAAGAGGTGTTTCTACCTTGAGGGTTTCTTTATTTCAGTCCTCAGAATATTCAAAGCTTCATCAAATTTCCCATTTTGAACAAGCAGTGTCGCCAGATCAATAACTTTGAAATCATCTATTCTGAATTGAGTATCAGACTCCTTGATCTGCTGTAAAATTTGCATAGATTTGTCAAGATTTCTTGTCTTGACATAGTTATGCATCAAAACTGACTTTGTTCCCAATGACTTCTTATATCCAGATGCTTCAAATTCTTGTTGTAATTCTTTAACTCTTTCTGTGTTACCATTATTAGAATGCCTTTGGATTAGTTTACTGATCACACCTCTAGTTTCTAAACCTTTCTCTTTCAGTTCCACTAAGTGGCATTCAAGTTCTTCTAAATTCATGTCCCTCTAAGAAAGAAATAGGTTAATTTGATACGAGATGCTCTCTCTAAACAACAATCTGAGTTTATAAAAATGATAATAAGTCATTGGTAACGTTTTCTCCTATAAATGGATGTAATTCTGAATCGTAAATAATAAATTATAATTTTTTAAAAAAAGTGTTATGAGAAATAAGTATATAATCTGATTATACCATATGCAGAACTTAACTGCAATAAGGGGAATTGCAGACCGATCTACTGCTATTCGCTCCTGCAGCTATGAATTGGCCAATAGAGAACCGTTGTTTTCATTCAGTAAACTCAAAACGCACGCCCATGAGAAATAAAGTTGTTATGCTAATAAACTGTGCGCCCGCAGTGAGAGGGCAGGGGGGCCGTAGCTCTCCCTGAGAATCGGGTTGGACCTTAAGATTTGCATATTTAGCATTTTTAGGATTTGCCACCCCGCCCTGGGGAAATTTTCTTCCCCCCGCTCTTCAAAAAGTTTTGTCGGCAGGAACACTTTCACAAAAAGTTGTCTCTTACCAATGAACACCCCCCCCCTCCCCCTGAAAAAAATTCCTGCGGTAGCACATGCTAACAATGACAAGCATTGATGTGAAACACTCATACGTTACCGAGACATTTTTCAAGGTGGCGAGACATAAGCAAAACATTTTCATCAACATTTTAGGCTTACTAACCTAAAATAGGTACAGGTCTAGAAAAAATTGAAATAAGTGGTTTTACAAAGGAACTATATTCCTGGGGGGACTAGAAAAAGACGCGCATCTAGAGATACAAAAAATTTTGCTGGCTTTTCATAAGCGACAAAGTTATAAAAATCACTTTTTCGCATATATGAGGCCCTGAAGTAAGTGGTTTGTAGACAATGAAAATACATTTAATATGAGGTTTTTTATGCTCAATTTGCTGCAAGGCTTGTTTTGTTATTGCAAAAAGGACTAAAATCGTCGATCTATACATTTATTTTTCATCAAAAAGACAAAAGTATCATATCACTAACTCTGAAAATAGGTTAAAACCTTTGTAGTGGATACCATCAGAAAAAAATTTCAATAAAAATTGTTGAGAAAAATAGTCTCCTTTGATGAGCTGTCCAGCGACTTAGAACGAATCAAATGAGCCCCTATTGGCCCCAAACATTCTCTTTCCAGAAAAATAGTTTAACATCTTACTAAAAGAAATGCCACATTTTCTAGTATGCATTATACAGAAACGGCTCGACAAGCGTAGATCAATTTTTGCCTTATAAATAACTGGAATAAGCCCGTTGCTTCACAAATGTAATTACTCGTAGAATAGTCACAACTCGAAAACTTTTTTAGCCGCGAAGGCAGAAGCATAAATGCCAGAGCACCGCGGCTGCTATGAGGAGCTTAAGGAAACTGTTAATCCGATTGCTCCACAATCTCTATATCCTAGGTACAAAGGAGGGATTATATCGTTCAGTTCTGGATGTAGGAAGTTCGACACGGTTAGGATGGGAGGCTGAAGTCAGGCGGATCTGTCTGGCAGAAAAAACGCGCGGCGGCATCATTGAGGAGACCTCTGAGGAGCAAATCCCGTTAGCGTAGCGGTAGAAGAGAGCTAAATCGCCGACGGCCCTCCTCTGAACAGCATCGAGCATGGATAATGTAGTCGTAGTGGCAGCACACCAAACATGTGAGCAGTACTGGAGGCTAGGTCTCATCTGGGCCTTGTACACAGTGAGGAGGTGCTGTGGAGAAAAGTACTTTTTAGCCCTAAACAAATAGCCTACGCTACGCTTCTTGTTCGTCAAGGTACATTGAGAGTCAAAATTAATTACACATGTGAAATTTATGAATCTGTATGTTCTACAACAGGGCTGTCCAACATACGGCCCGCGGGCCGCATGCGGCCCGCGAACTCCTTTCTTGCGGCCCGCTTCACGGGTCATGTATACATCACATGTATAAATTACTCTCAAATACCGAATATGCATAATTCTTACAAACTCATTAATAATGTTGTATAGAAAGATTTTATAATGCGGCCCTCCAAACTGCATTTTTTTTGAAGTGGCCCTTGGGCCACATTAAGTTGGACAGCCCTGTTCTACAACATACTATTTCCAAATTGCGACTGCACGATCCTTACAAAACTGGTACTTCTCATGAAAAACGATGACTAGTTCAAGTGGCATCATGGCTTGTGGGAGTAACAGGTTATGTGTGATATTTTTTGTAAAATATCCTTTTTAGTTTCTGAATCCATTTACGATGTATCTATACTATTAAATTATTTGAAAATTCCTTCCAATACGACCAACTTGAGTAAAAAAGGCAGTTTGAAATATGTACGGAAAGGTGAAAATTAACAATTTGTTAAAATGCAACTTATCCCGACAGTCAGGAAACATTCTCGATAATTGCACTCAAACATCACCCATAATTTCCAAGTTACAGCGTTTATACTTTCAGAGTATGTATATTAATAGGGTTCTTAAATATTATATGTAGAAAAACGTTCTTAAGATAATTTTGTAGCTTGAAGTATAGGCTAGAAAAGCTGTAAGTACTGGTATATTTTCATATCCGTTCGTTTAGGAGATTAAGCCAATTTTCATGCGTAAATGCTTATATGCGGGATATTCAAGCCACCTGTTTGATAAAATAGCTTTTTGAGCCTTTAATGAAAGTTACACGAGATGTAGATAAAAAGCTGAATTTTAACGCCAATGTATTAAAATTGATCCACTCCAGTGAATAACAAAAACATATATGCCACAAAAAAGTTTTTAAGCCATTGCTTTCAAGCAAATTTTCTAGTTTAAAAATATCTTGAAAGGAAGTAAATATAAAACATTAATAATAACAGTATGAGCTGAAAATATACTTTCTTGGAGGTACTAAACAGCTTTTCTGTACAAGCTATATTATTTAAATTATGTGTTAACAGTTTCGGGAGATAATTTGAGAATGCACATAGTCCCTGTAAAGATTGCGCTTATTCAGATTGCATGTGTCGACAGGCAAGAATTGAACACAAAGATACAGAAACAAACATGCGGGTTGAAGTCAAAAACGATGCCCTGGATAATGCACCACGAAGCATAATTACCGCTTTTAACAAACAGTGTCTATCCATTCGATGGCTCTTATCGCACCCTCTCTGTGGTACAGGGTACGGGTAATCCCCTCGCATCGGTAGACGCTCTTTTTTTCGATTGCACACCTTTACCTCCCACGCCTACTGGCGAGGAAGTATTGTAATCGCAAAAATTTCGAAAATTAGTGTATTATGTCTTTTAGATATTATTTGACGTGTAGATGACTCAAAACCATGTCAATCACTTCCGTCGGTGTGTCTGACTATCCTCTAATCCTTGGCCCGTCTATAACTTAGAAAACACTGTTCGGATTTGGATGAAACTTATACACAAGGTTACTACTATGCTAAGGCCGAAAACGTTTTTTATTGTTCAAGTCGGTCCAGTGGCGGCGGAGAAAAAGCCCAAAGACAAAAAAATAAAAATTGATTAAATTTCGTTTTTTTTTTTGAGTTTCAGTAGGGGTACAAAATTAGGAGGTGGAGGGAGGTATATTTTAAGATATTGCAGTTAGTATATTTGTACGTCTCCAACCGACATAGAGATACGTATCTGCTTCAGCTCCCAGCGGCGTGCCGATCTTGGCAAGTGGTCTAGTGTAAGTTCTGCCGCATCTTACCCGGGTTAGGTAACTGGTAGAGGCGACATTGCCAGTAAGGGCAGGGAAAGAATGTATATGGGCTAATAATTAATCGCATGGACCTGTTTGTCTGACTTACATCGGTTAATTTGCGTACTATCAGGTTCTTTACTACCTTTTTCTCAGAAGATCTAACTTGTGCTGAACATAATCTTCTATGAAATGATGATGACGTTGTGTGGGAAATGCAGAGTCAATCTACTCGACGCCATTTAAAAAAAACTACTTTCTTCTGATAACAACTGAACCAATCTAGTTCACAATATCTAAGTCTTTCCCAAAGCACAAGACCTCAATACGCCCTTCCCTATCTACATCAAGTCTACCATTTCAACTTTCAATCTTACACTTTTTCAAAACAAAAAGAAGACTAGACAGTTAAGATATTTGGATAGATATACAGATACATAAGATCAATAGGTAGTCAGTAGATAAGGAGGTAATTGTTTTGGTAGATAGTTAGCTGAACAGTTAAATTGATAGTTATAGAATAGAATTTCGTATAAGTTTTCAAAAATAAATCAGTTGCATGCCACTGAATTTATTACTACAACTCTCTGGAATTTTGCTCTAAAATCTTAGATAACATCCCGGTCAACATATAAAATGTAGTGATAAAGATCCTGAGAATGCTAGAAAACTAGGAAGTAAGATTAACATATCTTCATACTTACAGGATGAGGAATATAGGGTGTATGCTGATCGGACTTCAGATTGATATCCATCAAGTCATTAATAGATTCCCTAATTTTGAGTAGTAGATCATTATCATTGCAATGTGACAGAATTTCTTGTAACATTTCTGCAGCTGCTGGGCTTATTCTAAGTCTGTTAGAACCTACGATCTTCAAAAGAGGTTCATAAATAATTTTGCTGATAATCAAATTCAGATACTACCTTCAATAAATCCAAATAACTCCTATAATCATTAATAGTATAACACAATTCTAGGCACTTTATAAGAAACTCTGCAACTAGTTCAGTTCCTTTTTTGCTAGATTCACAACATTTTTGAAGGATAAGAATTGTATTTTGTGCGTCTCTAGTATTTTTCCATGTTTTAGGTAAAATGTCAATTAGTGTTTCTTCTAATAGTGCAACTTTGAATGTATTGGCTACAAATCACATAATATTAAAATAACTCCTATTCTTCAATTACTATAAAAGATACCTTATTAACATAGTTACTCAGCAAAATACCATTTTATTATTCCTGTAATAATCACTTTATGTTCTCAAACATAATATTTAGACAAAAGTTTAGAAATGAAACTTACATAAAGTTACAGCTTCTTTTAACTTTTTATTCCTCATCAAAAGTAGAATCATGGCATTCACAACTTGTTTAACAGTAAAACCAAAGCCTTTCAGCCTCTCGATAGCTAGTGTTGGATTTGTTAGATTGAAAAATGGTATGATATAATTTTCCAGTGTTTCAAAATCCAACTTCACATTTAAAGAATTAATTTTCTTGATTGTATCAGCTACACCTAGGTCAGCGAAAAAATGACATTAATAATATGATAACCTATTTATTTAACATAATACCTTTCTCTCCAGCAGTATTATGAGCATTTACCAGCAGCGGCCAAACGAAATGCGGTCGAATTTCTGGTAAGCTTTGAAGCAATTCCCAACACACTTCCACATAGTTATGCCTCAGTGCTACTTCAGTCAAATGTGAAATACAATATTCATTCAACTTATTATCTCTCAGGTACTTTGCAATAATGAGTATTCTATTTGTATCCTATGAAAAAAGTCAGAAGACATGCAACAATATTATCTCTATCAATGGATAAAATCGAAATGGTGGTGGCAGATTATTTTTTTTTTCTACAAGCCATGCCTCAGATGCTCTCACATGGGCGAATCTCGTGTAAATAAGTAGATATACTCATACAGCACGAAGCTAAAAGGAGCACAGTTTTGGAATATATACCTGTATATGAGGGGATTAAAAGTTCTAAGTTCAACAATGGTGATGAAAGCATGTGGCACAATTTTAGAATTTCTTATAGATGATATTTGTTTCAAGATTATCATCATATATGAAAGAATCATTAAAACGCCAATGCAAATTAAAATTGGAGAGCTCTGATCATGCCTAAGTTATTGGGATAGTATCCCAGGTTAAAAATAAATACTCACAACTTTACAATATATCATCTCTCTCAAAAGGAAATATCCATAGTTTTCTTCAATTTGTGGCTTTACAAAATATTCATAGATTTTAAAGGACTCTTCCGGCTTATCCAGATTTACTAAATGGATACATAATGCTTTGATCAATTTAACAAATTCCTTTGTAATAGGTATATGAGAATGTACTGGTTCCAGCTGCAAAAATGTATTTCAAAATCTTTCTTTTAGAGCCCATTTATGCACACGATTAGCCGCAGGATATGGAGTTGCATGTTTTGAAAGGACAATATGACTTTTCTTATCAAGGGCTAGAGTCAATTGAACTGAATTTCTAGACCATGAAGAATGACTTTGGTCAGCAACGCTACCAACAGATGTCAAATTATTAGTCATATCTACGCCTAGTTCATATTCTCTGTCACAACAAGTCTCACCTTTCTGAAATCTATACAAATACCAGTTTGATATATGTTGATAGCACCTATGACTTCAGTCTCAGCAATGGTCTAGAAACTGTTTAACAAGCTGTAAGATTGCTCTTTCAAACAACAACAAAAATCGTGTGCATAGCTGCCACTTACTAGTATACTACTTTAATAAAAAATACAAAGTTAAACTTATTTAGTTTATACAAATGTTGTTGAAGTGCTTGTGTCATCTAAAGTGCAGTCAGTATATATCATCATCTAACATCAGGACACATTGCAATTAATTGCAATATTAATTTCCATACATTTCAACATGATATTATTTAATCTAATCTTATTTTCCATTGCATGCTTTTACTAATTCAGATAGATGCTTTTTTATCAACTTAGAAAAATCTTAAGACTATCAACAAACTGTGTTCTACCTTTTTCATCCATGCTAAGTTTCCATTAATAGCCAAATGTTTTAGAATATCCAACAGCTCATATTCATTCAGCTTGACATAGTACTTGTCCAAAGCAGCTACAAATTCATTATAATTATTTCTCTTAGACACACCTCTCAGAATAGCCAGTTTTGTTTTTTCTGTTTCAGGTATATCAGCAGCTCTCATTGTTTTTAAAACAGTCTCTGCACCACTTAGACCACTGCAACAATTTTTTTATGACGAAATGCTAGCATTTACTGGAATCCTTTATATGGCTGGCGTGAAGAAAGCCCAACACCTCAACACTGAATAAATGTGGAAAACCGATGGTACAGCACCTGACTTCTTTATCGCTACTATGTCCAAAAAAAGGATTCATCAGTTGATTCTATCTATTAGATTTGATGATGCCACCAAACGCCATGAGACTTCTAAAATTAATAATCTAACCCCGATTCGCCAATTTTTTGAAACATTCGTAACAAATTGTAAACAAGCTTATTCTCCGGGATTTTACGTAACAATTGACGAAATGTTGGAGGCATTTCGGGGAAGATGCCGATTTAGACAATGTACGTATAGCCAACAAGCCCGCCAAATACGACATAAAGATCTGGATTAGTAGACGCCAGTACATTTTTTACATCAAATCTTGAAATGTACGCGGGTAAACAACCAGAGGGACCATTTCAACTAAAAAATGACGCAGCGGGCGTTGTATTGCGACTTACAGAGAAAAATTAGTGGTACAGGAAGAAATGTAACCACTGACAATTATTTCACCTCAGTGCCATTGGCTAATAGCTTATTAGTAAACCATTGACTAACTACAATAGGAACAATTCGCAAAAATAAGCCGCAAATTCCTCGATAACTTCTAGATGTGAAAAATAGACCAGTAAAAAACAGCATGTTTGCATATGGTGAAGACTCGGATGAAAACCCCAATAAGTGCCTTCTTGTTTCATAATGTACCAAAACGAAACAAAAACGTGCTGTTATTATCAACCCTGAATGATGATGGTAAGATCGACGATGACACTGGAGATGCTTTCAAGCCCGAAGTTATTACAGACTATAATCTTATGAAAGGAGGCGTATATGTGGTCGACAAAATGAAATCTGAATATTCAACAGCAATAGATGGCCATATACCGTAATCTATCGAGAGAATACAAACAATATTATTACCAGCAGACAATTTATATCGGAACTTAGTAAATTGCTTGTTATGCCTCACCTGTATAGACGTCCTCAGATTCCAAGTGTGCCTTATCTACTTAGTCAAAAGATTATAAACATAACTGGAGAAAGACCAACCCCAAATAGAGATCAAGCCAAAGTGAGATGTGAATTCTGTCCATTGAGAAAAAACAGGTTCACTCAGAGAAATTGTTCAACCTGTAGATCACCGATACGCAAGGAACATACAGCGATAACTTCATTGACCTGTCGTGAATGCTATGGACGTAACGAGAATGTTTAAAGTGCGTAAGTGTTTTGTAAAGCATTTATGTAAACGCTTTCAATATACGTATTTATTTTTTTAGGGTTTCCTTCAGCTCTAGAGGATTCCAGAATGAAACATCAGAAGAAGAAACCTTCAGTTTAGAAATTTTAGATGAAGAATTTTCAGTGTTTCGTTAGTATTTTTGTTATAGTTTATAACAATAATTTTTCACTAATGTATAGCTTAATAGTATAAGTAATACTATACTTGACAATATAAACATTTAAGTAAAAATAGCTTTTTTATTGAACATCTGAATGTTAGATAAAATCTAGCACGCGAGCGATGGTGTAATAAAATGAGGCGCGAGCGATGGAGGGTTAATAGGGGCCGTTCAAGTATTACGTGAGCACTATGGGGGGGGGGTGTCTTTGCTTTGCTTCTTTTGGATGACATGGGCGGTAGGGGAGTCTAGATGATGATTACGTCATCGGTAGTTATTTACTTTTTTACACGAATGGCAACCCTCACATTGTCTTTGCTTGAAAACAAAACGCATTTTCGGGGATTCCCGCAAATAATGCATACGTTTAGTGAACAGCGCGCGGTAATTCCCCTACTCGCTTTAGAACCGAGTAGGGGAATTACGGCGCGGTGTTCACTTGTCTCAATTTCCTCTATCAGTGTATTGTTTATGTTAATGTTAATTCCATCAATTGGTCACAAAGTACAGGATGATAGTTTTATACATATATACAGAAAACTAACACCCTGTATTTTGTGACCGGAACGAATTGCTCGTTTAAACATATTAGATTAAAAGCCATAGGGTTTTGTATTTACCATATATATATTGCCATACTTTGTATTTATGTAGCTCAATAATAATAATAAATAATCTTTATTTCAAAATAACAGTGCACAATTACAACGTAATGTCCGCTGTCAGGTGAAATATACGTCACATAATGCCATAATAGCCAACAAATGCAAGAAACAAAATAGTGTCTAAATAGTATTACAATATTACACAATATTTGTTTCACATTTCTAGATATTCATCGAGCCCATATGGCTCTAGATTCATTAGTTACTTGTGAATACATTTCTTGAACTCTTTTATATTCGACAACTTTTTAACTTATTGTAAAGCTTTGCACAACTGTAATGTACGTTTTTTTCGGTAATAGATGATGAATTGGGTACACAAGAGTTATATCTCTGTTCCTTGTATAGTAATTGCCTGGGATTCTTATAAAGTACCCAATATTTTTAAATGTAAAAATCAATATTTCCTGAATATATATTGCCACTATGACGAGTATTTTATTCCCTTTAAATTTTCCTCTACATGTTTCTCTACACGGAATTTTTAACATGCATCTCAATGCTCGTTTCTGTACCCGAAAGAGCCTGTTTATCTGGCTACTGTGTCCGTAAAAAATTATACCAAAACGTGCAATGGACTCAAAGTTGGCATGGTAAACAATTTTTAGATGTTCTACATGTGTAGCCCAGGAAAGTCCTTGGTCAATAACACTCCTAAGAATCTAACAGAGTCTGTCAGCTTGACTTCTACCCTATCAGGTAAGTGGATCTTTGTAGCTTCGATTTTTTTCTTTAATTTGAATACTATCGCATTTGTTTTTGATGTGTTCAAGGATAGACCGTTGCGAGCAAACCACCAAAATGCTTTGCTCAAAGTATTTTCGGCTACTTGGTTGAAATCTTGGCCAGCTATAATCACACTAGTATCATCTGCATACATTATTCGGGTTTGCTATACTATCACTCAGATCATTTACAAACATCATAAAGAGGAGAGGACCCAAGACGCTTCCTTGTGGGATACCTCTATCTACTGTTAACTGCGATGAGACAGCTGTCATGCCATTCTTTATGATGGAAAGACTTTGTTGGTGGTCTGTTAAATAAGACTTGACCCAGTTCCAGGCACTTCCCCTTATCCCAAATGCCTCAAGTTTACTCAGTAAGAGAGAATTTTCTACACAATCATTTGCTTTGGAGAGATCAAAAAACAAACCCAGTGATATCATATTATCCCAGACATTCTACAATACTGTGGCTAAAGGAGTATATAGCCGTATTTAACGATTTCCCTTTTATGAAGCCATGTTGTGATTCAACAATTAAGTTATTACAGAGCATGTGATACATAATTCGTGAATACATCACCAGTTCGAAAAGCTTTGCAAAGCAAGAAAGTGGGGTTATTGGTTTATAGTTTTTACCAAGTCATTAGGGTCTCCTTTTTTATATACCGGGACGATTATGGTTAATTTCAGATTTTCAGGAAAAATACCATACTTGAGTGAATTATTTATTATGTAAACTATTGGTTCAAGAATCACTTTCAAAGAATATTTCAGAATATTAGCTGGAATACCATCTTTGCCACTACTCATTTTGTTTTTAATTTTATCCCCCAGCTCCAGTATTTCTTGAGCACTGACATATTCTAGCGGCATACACTGATCCGCATGGCCTAAAAAGTCAGAAGAGTTATAGGCCGGTGTTTGTGGTAATAATTTAGCGGCTTCACTTATACAATATTCATTGAACGCATGTAAAATAATTTCAGGATCACCTGGTATGACACAATCATTTCTAGTTTGACCTTTTATTTCCTTTACAATACTTCAAACACATTTTGACTTATTGTCCGACACCTCAATGCGTGTTTCATATGACTTATATCTGGCATCCGCTAGTAATTGATTGTACTCTTTTCTAACTTTATTATAGCATGGCTTATAAAAGTTGTCACTGTGCTAATCACATATAGAACATCCAGACGGTCCTTGCTTTCCTTAATATTATTGTTTATCCTCTCAAGATGATGCGAGTCAGTGAACCTATTCGTAACTTTAATTGTTTTCATAGGAAAGATCTGTTCAAATATAGATTGAAAAAAATTGCTGAAATAATTCCACTGTTCATTTACATCATTCGAGGTATATGAAACACATTTTGCCAGTCTACTGATTTGAGTCTACATAAAAATCTTTCTTTATTTTCTACACTGAATATCCTTTTTTTCACAGCATTAGCAGGTTTATTCATATCAACTATTACCGTTATCTTTTGAGCAGTGTGGTATGAGATTGATGAATTAATGACATTTGATGACATGTGATACATTTGTGAAAATATTGTCAATACAAGATTCGCTGGCGGATGTTATGCGTGTGAACTGGAATATTGTTTGTTGTATATTATATGAGTTCAGGAGTGAACATAATAGCTGTTTGTTAGGGCTATCCTGTGAAAAATGTATATTGAAATCGCCAGCTATGAAAATTGAGGCACTGTCATCACGGATTTTTGAGAGAATGTTTCATTTTTTCTAAAAATACATGCATATTACCTGATGGTGGTCTGTATATTGACAATATTATAAAATTCATACCATTCAGAGAGCATTTCACAGCCGCGCATAAACAAGATGCAAGTTTCTAATTCCATAGTTGATGATCTGGTCTTGGATCTTCCAGTGTTCTGTTATGCAAATAAATTTACAGTCGTCGTGGTCCATCAACATCTGGTTTTTATCTCGTTTATTGAGTTTCCAAGAGACTGAACATTTTGATGGAGTAGGGCTATTTTGGCGAGGTTCTCCTTCTGTTTGGTAGTCTTCTCTTTGGAGCAGCTTTCAGATCTAACTGTATCAATTGATACATTTATTATTGAAAATCCGGGACAGTTGATACTGTTCCTAAACCTGATAATTCTTGATTTATAAACAGGGCAGTTTGGATCACGAGCAGAATGATTATGATCATTATACTTCATTTTTAGGCAATTCGCACATTTAAAGTTTACTATTTGACAATTTGTAGCTTCATGACTGCCGGAACATTTGTAGCAGCATATCTGCTGTTTACAATACTCGGCAACATGACCAAAGTTTGAGCATTTGAAACAAATAGCTAAATTTATATGCTCTTTAACGTGGACTTTCGCTAAATCGAAGTTCACTGACCGCGTTTCAAAAACCACTTTGCGATATCGGGTGGTGCTTGAAGTATCCAGTTTTCTTTGGCTGGATTACGACAATTCCTTTCATTTCTTCTAATTTTTATATCTTTTTTATCTTTTAATATATTTTTTAGCTTTTGTTGTTGAGTTTTATTATAGCTTTCCACAATAACTGTCCCAGATTGTAACTGTGTAATACTTTTAAAGCCTCCATCAGTGTTCTTCAGCATTAATTCTTGTTTAAGTCTATTTACCACTATTTTCGGATCTTCTGTTTCCTCCATTCTTATAACCGTTTCGTGCTTCCTGTTTTCTGGTAGAGTTTCCCATGGTTCGTTTATATTTTTCTTTGGTTCTTCAGAGAGACTTGCCGAGTTCGCAATTACAATGCTTGCATAACTTCTTGGTTCTGGTACTTGTGTCCTTACTGTTGCTTGATTACCCTGAACTTCAGTTGAGCTTACCGTTGCTCCACCAGACAGTCCATACTGTCTTAGTTTTGTCTCTTCTACTTTAGCTGTTAATGCTAAATTTTCTTTTTCAAGCTGACAGACTTTATACACTACTCGAGTCGCTGATTTATGTAAATTTATGGTTGCATACATAACAGATGTCTTATCTTGCATGCTAAATGGCTTTTTTGTCAGATCTTTATCAACAAGTTTGTTTATACTGTCAATTACCTCAAAAAAGTTCTGTATTAGTTCCTCATTCATAATACTCTGATATTGATAGCATTGCCGTTTACTAATGTTTTCCATCCCTGGACTTGTCAGTGATCGCGGTCTTTTGCCTTTTCCATTTCCATAACTAGTATCATCATTTTCCGCTCATTCCTGTTCTGGGCTCCATTTTGGTGGAGTGCGAAAAATTGATGATTTAGGCTTAAATATGTCAGCATCCTCAGACTCATCATTTTTGTGATCTATAGGTTTAGGAGTGACACCCTGTTTATTTCTTCCACACATTGCGAGTGTATTCGTCGTTCTCACAGTTTTTTGCTCCATCTTTTATCTCGGAATGTTTTTTGCTCTGCTCCGATTCGCAGCCAAGTATAATTTTATTTGTTTCTTCTTTGTCTAGTGCAAGCCCGAGGGAGGTTCCACTCCTTTCCATCATTCTCTCTTCAATATCAAATTCCATTATTGCATCAGATGGAAATATATGCAGTTGCACACCTTCTCACCACACTGCCCCGACACCACTAGATTATTCACTAGATCCACAATTATACCAATGAATAAAAAATAAAAAACTAGGAGCAACTAAAAACACGTCCGTTCACTACAAGGTAAGCAGAAGAGAATCTTTAGCAGAAGCCATAGAAAGTTTTTATTTTTAAGCAACCTGTAAACCTGCAGAAAAAACAAATTATACAGTCAGCTTCAAATATTAAAAAAGAGGAAGAAGATAAAATAAAACCGGGTAATGAATCACAACAGCAATACGAAATTAATGATAATACAGATAAACAGAGAGCAAAACCTTCTCAGGAAGCTATGAAAAATATGATTGCTCTACTCGAAAAAAATCTGAATGCTTTGTATTCAGCCAGAAATACTATGCCAAGCCGTGCTGAAGTTGATAAACAGATCATTAAGTTGGGCGAGGAAATAAAAACAGCAAAACAGTCTTTAAACAGGAAGGTTCAAAACGCAGTTGCCCAGAAGAAACACAGGGATGGTATGAAAAGAAAGTTAGAAGATATTTGTCATGAAAATCCAGAAATAAAAAGAAGACTATCTCTGAGGGATTCAGTGGGACGTTCTAATCGTGAAAGCAATCAACATTCACTATTGAAAACAATCGCGGATATAGCTTTATTTGGGAGTGCAGCAAATGATAGAAGATGAACGAAATCAATTCGCAGCGTAAAAACTCTTGATGAACTCACACAAGAATTATGTAAAATAGGATTTGACATTAGTCGCAGTGGGACAAATCTTCGTTTGATACCCAGAAAATCTAATTCTGCAGAGGGACGAAGACATGTATCGACAGTCTCTGTTAAGCTCATTCGGGCTCAAACTGATCACAAGAGCCACTTAAATAGCAAATTCGCTGAAACATCAATCCATTATTTAGAGAACATAGGATCCATACTTGGACCAGATCAAGTATTTTTCATATCTCAAGATGATAAAGCTCGAGTCCCTATTGGCGTAACTGCGGCAAATAAGAAAGAACCTCTTCTAATGCAGATGGAATATAGAATCAAATTGCCTGATCACGATTGGGTAATCACTGAGCGTCATAAATTAATATCATCTGTTTATCTGGTATCAAAATCACTTCCAATATGCTAGGACAACCGCAAGCCATTAGATATTCTGGACCAACATACATTGCTATTCAAAGTGGAAAGCATAGTTCATCTACTGCTAATACTCATGCTCAGGTTTTCGAGAAGCTTCTCGAACTTGAGGAGTTTTGACTATTAGCTAAAACTGTCGTCCACGAAGTGGCCTGTTTAGATTACTAGAAAACAGGTTTCTTCCACCACCTGTAAAAGTAAAACAAACGGTTCATGAGTTGGTTTTGGATGAAGGAGGGTAATTTCTTAATCTTCCAGTCAATTTAGCTCTATGTTTAAGTGCTTCACTCAAAGATTTCCTGCAAATGCCCTACGATTATTTTTGTCCGACGGTAAAATTGAGGCTATCAAGTCGAACATGCAAAACGTGTGGTCTTTATCATGCTTCCGTCAAGTCACTAAATCGTCACATCGAAAATATCCATAAAAAAGTAAACACGCACACTGATAGGAAAGTTAGACCTGTAAGAGTCGCTGCTCGTCGTGCTAATGAACTGATGTGCATTATTCAAAATTTAGAGCACCATGATGTTGAATGGCTTGATGAGAACGACGTAGACCTTCCAAAATCCGATGAAAGCGAGCAAACTCACAACACTGAGCAGCAATTGCAGCATGCAACATGCACACATTCTGGCTCCGCCTACGAGATCCGCCGGGTGGTACCTCCACGTTCAATAGTCATAGACCGTCTACCACCTACGGACAATCACAACATTCATTGCCAAGAGAAAAATTTCTCCTGGGACAGGACTCGAACCCGCACAGCGCACGGCGACTGATCAGGAGACCGAAGAGTCTACTACTGCGGCCACCGCTGCTGCACTACTGCGGCCACCGCTGCTGAATTTAATATATGTACCAAAAATTTTAAATAATTTTGTTAGTAAGATATAATATTTTTGTCCTTTACTCTATGTTGAATACTGTATCAGTAAAATATAATCTCTATCCTAAATCTATTTTCTTATTTTTCAAATTATAATTATAACGTTATAATTATAATATTAAAAAAAAAACTTTACATTAATTGACAAATGTTTACGTAAGCATGGGGGGAGGGGGTAAGAGCTTTGCTTACTTTTGCTGACAAGGGGGATGGGGGCGTAAATAATTGTAATAAATCTGCTTACATAATACTTGAACGGCCCCATAAAGAAAATTAAGGGAAAAAAACGCTTATTCAATTTAAGTGTTTTAAACCTAAGTGTATGTTTAAAACAATTGATTAAAACGAAACAATCCTGCAATGACTGAAGTAAAGTTTACATATTTTTCCAAATAATTATTCCTTACCTATTTATAGTATGAGCAAGTGTAAGAAAGCAAAATGTATTCTCATCAACTGCTAATGAGTTTTCTTTCATCACTTCTAAAAGTGCTAAAGCTTGAGATGTGTCACCCATTTCACAAACATTTTCGATTAGTAGTTTGATTGTCTCCTTATCTGGTGTACATCTAATGACTTCCAGCAACTCCTTTACATTTAATGAGGTACCATTTTCCGTGCATATTTGGATATACTTGTGATATACTTTCAAATCCAGTTTATCATGCTTTAGCAAGTTTTTATAGATCTCTTGACAAACCTTATCTCTGGCCTCCATGGATGAATCAACCACAGAGTTTCCACAACAGTTAAACAGTAAGATAGCTTCTTCTTGAGATATATTTTCTAAAATGTTAATCTAAAGAACAGATTCACTTGAAAGATGATTCACTTACTGAAATCAACAGTATTAAAAATATTTGTAAGTAGCTTCAAATAGAAATGCCTTTCAGTACTGATGAAGTTCACTAGGTCATTCAAGTTGGATACTTTGAGCCTTTCTATGGATTTAACATTGGTAGACCAGCTTCTTTTATTGCAAGGCAAAGAACGGAGTTTATATGCAAGAGGGCACCTAATAAAATTAGGAGCGTGGGTGCGATAGCCCCAACATTTTATGGCACTATGTAAGACGAACATTACTGTTATATATTGTAATATCTGTACTGCAAGAAGAAAATGCACATAATAAAATTGAAAATAGAAACTAAATGTATAGGTTAAGATGTTTATGTAAATAATGGCAAAGACAATTATCACAAAACAACAAAACATATACATACAATATGAAATTATGCAACTAGCTTCTCACTTCGGTGTGCGGTGCAATGAACTGTCAACACTGATGGAACAGGCGTAACGCGAATTTATTGCGGCTAGAATGAGAAACGAGAAGGATAGCGCTAGTCAGGGCAAAACATCGTGGTCCATTGTGGTATTTCCATATATGAGCCCGCTAAATGCAAAACTCTGTACTTATTTTGCTAATTTTACAGTAGACGATAAAAACGTATTTCTCGTAGCTGCTACTTCCCCGGTGGATCGAAAATGTTTTTAATAGAAGTAACCTATCATACTGATCAACAGTCTTTGACTTGTACCTACAGATGGCCTAACGGACTGAAAAACGGCAAATAAAAGATGTGAGAGTTTTGCACTTAAGGCAATCATTTACCGAGTTTTACATTTGAGGTGAAATGATAGTTTTAACTTATTTCTTGTGATACATAGGTAAAACTGCATGTACTTTCGAATCATTTATTCGCTTAAACATTATAAAAATACAAAACGAAAAATACATCCTTACTTAATATAAATAAAAAAAAAATTTATTAAATTTTTAGGACTGGTTCTTCTTCTTCACTCTCGTATTCCTCGTCGGGGTCTGTACAATAAAATGTCAATTGAAGACTTGTCTCCCTTCAAAGAGTTTTCAATCTTCATCTTCTTGGGTCTCATGTCTGAAATTTTCTGATTTACTTTTCGTTACACTGCGAGGAACTCCTAAATTTGACTTGTATAAAATTTCACCTTGAATGGTAGCATTAAGTGTTCGTGTTTTCACAAAAATAAATCTCTTTGATTCGTTAAACTTGAAATGCCAGTGTCCCGGTTTTTTATTACTCTAGCAGCTTCAGTCTTCCAGTCAAATATCTCCCACTAATAGTCACAATTTGTCAATCTCAGAACTGTAGTGTTTTGCTATAATATCTTCATATTCTCGTCGATCAACGATAACATTTTGTTTTTTTATTTGTTTCTCTACTAAACCGAACACTCGGTCGGGAGGCAAAAAAGAGTGTCCTACCATAAGAAATATAATTTCCAAATTCTTGATGTGAGCAAGTGCTTCCATTACAAGCCAATATGCTAACATGGACATTAGGGTGGTGTTTTTATTTTGCCCCCCACAACCATCTGCAAAAAGCTGAACTTTGTTTATTGTTTCTTCGAAATGATGTGTCGTCAAAACATTATGCACAGCTGATGCAATAGTATTTGAGTTCTTTGCAAATTCCGTTTCTAACCACACAAAAGATTTTACATTCTCTGGCGATAACTTGCATTTTGAATTACCCCAAACAAAGGTAAAGTTATAAAGGTTTATTTACTGACAAAAGTATGCCGATTGGTAGGGAATTTTGGGTAATGCCAAATTTTTCTGGCAGTCAAATGTGAAAATTTCCACATCTTCTTGACCATTTTTGAGCATACCGTAAAAAGCTTTAACTCTTAAGACATGGACCCTGTGTTCGATTATTAGTTTTATTTTTTCTTCGGGGAAATTTGCTTTTGCAATAGAATCTTTTGCACGGAGACAAGTTGAGCACGCATCTGTTAGTGGAGTACCAAAAGCTAAGTTGTAGTTGCGATTGACGTAATTTCTGAAATAGCATAATCTAACGGTTTGGTCTTTATTTCGGTCGCAATAAATGTCATAGAGTTTCTTGAAATTAAGATCACATGGAAGGTATAATCTACTTGTATGACCACGTCTATAATTTGATTCTGCACATGTCAGACTTTCGATAAAAATTTTTATTGATTGTTTAACTTGATCATTTTTGTCTTTAATTCGGTCTCCTCCTCTCTTCTCTATTGGCGCTTCCCCTTTCAAAAGATGACTGCGTGCTAGTCTCTCGATTCTGAATGGACTCAGCAAAGTAATCCCTTTAAATGCGGCTGTACAAACTCTAACTCTAGTCCCGTCATTTTTTGAAATATAATACTGGATATAAATTGATTTTTTCTTTCCAAAACTTCTTTTGGGTTGTACCCCTTCACAAAATTTTAATATAAGTATGTCTTGTTCAATTTTACTGCTGCATGACTAAATTAGCTTATGAAATCGATGGATATAACTCATTGATAGCTTCTTACACGAAAAAGAAGATTTCTTGTCATGTCGGCATGTGGGATATTCAGGTAAACCTTTTGGCCTACGCCTGCAAACAATATTAGTTTGGTAATTATTATTTTTCTATGAACTAAGTCAGTCAAACGTACCTTTGCGCTTTTAATTTGGACGTTTTCCAATTTTCTTTTCTCACTGGTCGTTTTCGGCTTTTTCCTGCTTCACAAGGTAGAATCAGAGAATTATCATCCATTGTTAATAACACACACGACTAAAGAATTCAAACTTCAGACTGAAAATATACTAAGTGACATATAAATCCGAACACCCAGTTTAAATGGTTTTATTTTAATAAAATTTTGTATAAGTACTTAATGAAGCATAATAAGTAAATAATAAAAATTTCAAAATGATTGCACTGCTTTAAAGCCCTTTGACCTTTAATAATGTGTGGATGCACCCTGATGTGCTACGCATTCTCCAACGCGCCTAGGCATGCTTCTGATCAGGTGGTCAATGTCCTCCTGTGGTATCTCATTCCAGGCAACCACCAACTCCTCTCGAATTGCTTCTAGAGTCTGATGAGGACGTTGCAAATTGAGCAATCTCCTACCCATCATATCCCACACGTGCTCAATTGGGGATAAGTCGGGAGATCTTGGTGGCCATGGTAACAATGTGACATCATTATGTTGAAAGAAGTCTATTGTGACTCTTGCAACATGTGGTCGGGCATTATCTTGTTGGAAAGTTGGATCTGCCAGGGTGTCAAGATAGGGTAAAAGATGGGGTTCTAGAACTTCGTGGATATAACGCTGCGCGTTCATGTTACCTCTGATGAAGATTAAAGGTGACCTGGAACCATAAGCTATAGCACCCCAAACCATAACTCCAACAGTGTGATGAACATGTCTTTCAACAAAAAACTGTGGATTCCTCCTTTCACCACGTCGCCTTCTAACCCTGGCACGACCATCGTGCATGCCTAAACAAAATCGAGACTCGTCACTAAAGACAATACTTCGCATGCCAATAGGTCTTCCGTGTTCTGCAAACTATTCATTTGCAATGGACCTGGTAGTGGAGAAACGGTCCCTTAAGGCCAATAATCTTAGGCGGCGATCTTCACGGTCTGTTGTTCTACGGCGGCGTCCAGTGCCCCTTGCTCTTTGCGTACGGCCTTCTCGAAGCCATGCCTGACAACACCTAACCACTGTCTACACTTCTTTGCACTCTAACTGCAATTGCCCGAAAAGAAAGTCCAGCTTCCTGAAGTCCCACTATACGGCCCCTATCAAACTCACTAAGTTGACGAAATCGTACAGGTCTCCGTACTCTAGGCATCGTAACCGATCGTAAAGGTATATATAGGGGTTTTTTCTTTGTACACTTTAATCTTTACAGAACGACGTGTTCCCACTACATTTAGTGTTGACAGCTACAGTACTATAAAAATAAAGTTAAATGTGCATAAATACTATTTGGAACATTATAAAGGTATATAGAAAATAACATGTATTTATTGTGATATTTCTTAGATCTTATTTTTTTATATGTAAGATATAGCATATTAGAGCAGTTAAGTTAATTATAAGCAGACATGTAATCTCTTTGCTACCTGAATTATTAATTACTTATGTTAAATACTAATTTTTATATCTTCAAGTGTGTAAAGGAGAATTTATTGTCAAGTTTCATTCTATGTATATACAGGGTGTCCGCAAAGTTGGAGTTTTCCTTTTCAGAAACAACTACCCTTGAAATAACAAAGGTAATGTGTAGTGAAACGAGGGCGACCAAGTAAAAAAAATAAAGGAAAAAGTACTCACTCTCCAGTTGACGAGAAGGGCTAAGTACGTCTCTGCCCGAAATCATACCGCTCCAACAGAAAATGAAATCAGCTGAAGTACTACCGAGCAGACGCAGAAACCACATTGATTGTCTTACACTTAATGGCACATCTTCTAACAAGGAAGGCAAAATGTTGCGTGAAAAGTCTAGGTATTGCATCCCGTGCAATCGATTTGGGAGAATAAATAGTCCAATGAGCATACCATGCCAGCCCAAACATTCACCGAAACTGTTTGTTGAAAATGACCAAACATGAGTGTTGCGAAAGTTATTCACCCCATTACGCGTGAACGTAGATTCGTCTGTCACCAATATGCACTTCAAAAAGTCCGGATTATTGTCATGTTGATGCAACAACCACTCACAAAACCGCACTCTTGCTGGAAAATCGTCAGGTTGAAGGGCTTGTACACGTTGGACGTGAAACGGATACAGCCCAGCCCCTCTTCACGCAGCGTTTGCCACACTTTAGTTTTTGATACTTGCCACGTCTCTAGTGCTTGTTGTTTTTTGAAACGCAATTGATTATACGAGTTCGTTTACCTCTACAAGCGTGACTGTAACCGTCGGTTCAAGGTTGCATACTAACCTGACACACCGACCCTGACCCAGTTCTGCCGTCGGGTTGAGACCTTGTACCAGTTGGGGTGTCGGGGATATCCCGGCGGGTCGCGGCTACAGGACGGTGTTCAGATATTTTTGATGTTGCAGAGCCCTTTATCTCGGTTCCCTTAAGACATTGGTGTATATGGTACTAAGAAAAATTGCTTATGTTTTCAAGATCTACACGTCGTATAAAGGAAAACCCCAACTTTGCGGACACCCTGTATAAATAAATAAACTTGGTTCTTTAATTATAATTACGTTTCCAGGATTTTATCTCGTTCCAGTTGCCTGAATAACTTTTAAATCCTCGGGTTTCCTATGCAATTCATTCAAGTCCGCGCGGTTTTTGCCCTGACTAGCTCCATCTCTCTCTCTCGGACCTCTTTGTCGAATGTTGGCCGCATTATCGTTTCATTGTACAAATGGGACGGGGCGATTCCATCAGTGTTGACAGTTCATTGGTGCGGTGGCGTGGCTAGTTGCACATCACATCATGGTCACAAAGTACTATAATCTGTGTCATGGTTCCATAGTTCCATCATACAATGCATAGGTATTAAGCAGTGTTGCCACAACGCTGAAGACAAGTTACTGGGTTGTACATCGTATTACTGGCAAACCGCGAAAGTCTATATATGTATAGTAATAGTATCCTTACCTCCATAACTGTGTTGGACCTCGCAGATTATTTTGTCTATAACAAATGCCAACTGAAGATTCAACAATGCCCTGCGTTTGGCGTTCCATCAACGATGTGTGAGAATTTGAATTTGGAATAGAAAGTAAAGTAGGTCTTGTTAATTCTTGTTTTTTGTCAGTTTCCTCTACCTGTTTGCTGATTACTCAACTTACGTTAGGCGCAATAATTGTTGAAACATGAATATCGACGAGCTAAACCTGTCATCTACCATCTATCTACTATACCTGTTTTTATGATAGCAATGGATTTATAAAAGTAATTCCTGTAGCTTGCCAAAAACCGATAAATCCATGTGCTACTGACGCCGTAATGTGTACAAGAGAGAAGCGCGAGAAGCATGCAATACGTATGTTAGAGAGAGAAAGAAGCATCACGTTGCCTAGCAGCCCGAGTGACGAGGCTACGGACGCAGCTGCGGCGTTGCCATCGGCGCACTCGTCCTAACAAAAGTATTGGACGCTTCTCTCTCGTAAACATTACCTTGTCAGTGCTATTTGGATTTTGGATATGTCTGTATACTGTATACCATGATAACCTGCACCACACACTCCTATTACTAAAACTGTCTAAACATAAACATGGAATGGGAAATTTAAATGTGCCAAGTACGAAAGCATGGTAGAAAAACCGCCCAACAACCACAAATCACAAAATATGAGACGGCAAAAGAGAAGCGAGAGAACAGTCAAATGCACAGATCACAGAATGATTAAGAAACGTTAGGACAAAATGAAAACTATTGATATTCCTGGCAAGCATTCATTCCTGACAGTATTACTGGCAAGTACCCTCATTCCTGGCAAAACGGCAACACTAGTTTTTACCGTCAAGCTTGGCGACAGACATGTCAGCAGTGTCGCCGAACCTACCGATTTTTCGGTACTTTTACTAAAATGTTACAGATTTTTTACCAGAAAAAAGCTGGTACAAAAAATAAAGCTAAACAAATTGTAGCTTATGCAGTTTTATGCTCCATAACGGTCATACGTAAGTGCACACTTGGGCAGTCAAGCATATGGAGGGACGTTAGATTTGGGTTGCCTACAATTATGTTCGCACATCAGTTATTCCACTTACCCTATATTGGCTTTTGTGTGCAACAGGTACAGATCACGGTCATTATCGCATCACGGGACAGTAACAACCAATCATCTGTATTTAATTGAATATTAAATTATGTCAGGTAATGAGGCTTCAAGTTCAGGGGTGAACAAAGAATGGTAAAAGAAATTTCAATAATGGTTGCAAAAGTGTTTGAAGAGTGACTAGTATGCTCATTGTACAACTTGTAATGAAGAACTTGAGATTTTTTCAGGAAAAGATGCCTTCAAAAAATCCTGCGTTGCTCATGTGCGCGTAATACAAAAATATACTTTTTTTATAGCGCTGCGTGACTCTAAGTCCCTTGATCCATTGCTGATATTGTGATGGCCCTGTTTCTTTCTTCCGACCGATTTTGTCCTTGAATCTACCGAATTTCAAGGAGATTATCTACCGATTCCGTCTTTTTCGGTTTGGCAACACTGGCTGTCACCAACCGATTGTCAGTGGTTGAGAGTGTTGAGTGGTTGTCAAGTTTAGGCCTGAGCCTGTCCTGTATCCTGTATGTGTATATATTTTTTGTATACAAGCTATACAAGAAAGTTGTTGAGATATTTCTGAAATGTTATAATAATGTGTACATTTTTAAAGTAAGCATCCGAATTAATGTAGTACAGATATAATTCCGTACACACGTAAGTCCAAAATCTCGTTTATTTATTAAACAGTTCTTTATCTGTAAATACCAAGAATTTACAACATACTAAAAAATTTCCTATTTCAAACACGCACACCATATTTTTGTTTAAAAATCCGCACTCACCTTGGTAAACATGGAATTGATCACGAAGTTTGACGAGAAAGACTACTTCAACGATCTCAAAAATGAATCGAAGGACTACTTTCAAATATTGCCAGATGATCTGAAACCTGCAAGTAAGGACTGCTTGACCCAAGACTCTTCCAGTGACGACGAAAGCTTGAACGGTGGTACACAAGACGTTCCAAGTGAATGTGAAGATTTTGATCCTGTGATCAAAAGTGTGAGAAAAAGCAGACGTAAAGCATTGGTACCACAAAAAGCTGTCCAAGTAGATGTTAGTCAAAACTTGACTCTGGAAAACAGCTCAGAGTCATCTCAGGATTATGCAGATAGCTTGAGGTTCTCTTGTATTCAGAACCTGAGCTTAGATTTGTCCTTTAAAAATAGTCAAGAATTGGACATTGAGGAGGTAGAATTTGCTGATGATTTGTTCTCAGATTTTGCAGGAGACAATATATTCAAAGATCTACAGGAGGAAACAGGTTAGAGTATAGTTAAAGCTGTTATGCATCTTAATGTATATCATTAGGTACACTTAATTTTCCCATAAAAAATGTTGTCAAGTAGACTGAATGTATACTTACTTCCCATGCCTTCATTCAAATTCCCAAATTTCAAAGTGTAACTTGATCAGATATGTTTCCTTAAGTACAATGTATTGTAAGCATCTACCTCTCAAACTATAAAATAAATCTATCATACCTCTATTTCAATGGTAAATGTCTTTCACTTCACTGATACCAGAAATGCCACATTCATAACCATTTACCCTATACAGATTCAAATCTTGAATTTTCCTAGTGGTTCATAAATCAATTTTAAAGTTATTCAAAGCTTTTTTGTTCTTAGAATAGTAGTTAACTTGTGTCAAATTTTCAGAGTGGTACTTTCCAAATTATGAAGGGGCTAAAGATTAGCAAACAGACAGTCAACATCATTGATGATAGAATACTTGAACTTCTGCTAACTTGTTGTTTAATAACTCCAATGTAAACTAACATCATATAGTCAATTTGGGTCTGTCTGCTGGCATCATAAGTTTTTAAGAACTCATAAATATATTATGATGTACCTTCAGGAATTGTTTTGTAGAAATTCGGTATATGAATGTATGAGAGGTACTAAGTCACTCTGCCTGGCAACATTCCCTTCTCAAGATTATGCCCATGAGAGCCAAGGGTCTTATCTACAAAAAGGTGCATGTAGGTAGCTACATATAACCAGAAAAACGTCTCACACTTGAGATCACAAATTATTATAACTTTATCTTTGTAGCTCTGCTGGTACAAAACCCATTTTCAAAAACTATGAAGTCGTTTCGTCCTTGGAATAGTAGTAAGCTGGTGTCAACATGTCATTAAAATGTGACAGCTACTTTCCAAGTTATAGCAGGGTAATATTCAAATTTTTTTGAATTGCTATTGCAATACTTCCTCGCCAGTGGCATAAGAAATAAAATCAAAATGGTACCATTAATTAGGAAAGTATAAAAAATCCAATTGTTAGTACAGATTTATTGTGGTATTATTAAGGCTCGTATCGTCAATCGTTCCTACAATTGTAGGTCGCGTTTATGGCCTCCTTGATTGTCATACTGCTTTCTCTCCTTCAAAAATTTTGAGATTGCACCTGTTCTGTGTCAGCGTCAGCGCTCTCCTATTGTGAAGATATGTTTTCTTTTTAAATTGTAGGGAATTTCAGGCTGATAAAACATGATATAAATCAAAAGCATGCACAATTTGATGCAAATAGATATTTGTGACATAACCTCAAAATAGAGCGCTGACACGGAAAAGTAGAAAACTATGACAATCAAGGAGGCCATAAACGCGCCCTACAATTGTAGGAACGACTGACGATACGGGCCTAAGTCAACCTCCTTATAATCAGAAGAAGCAAAAAGATTATTTACCTATCTATTTACCATTTAAATTGTGGATAACATTATTGATTGGGATCTTATTTTGGACCTCTTGAACAACCTAATTCTATCATGCAACATTATATTTTTTTGTAACATGGGGGTTAAGGTAGTTGTTAATAACTCATATGCTTATTAACCTTACACTTTTATAGGTATCAAAGTAGAATATCAAGTAGGTTTTAATTTTAAATAATTTAAGGATAACCAAGGACTTGTAGTTTCTTTCATTTTTCAAGATTCTCTGTATAGGGGATTAGATACAGTCATCTTTATTTTTTTAGGAGTATTCTGATTAATTGATGATATGCAACCACTCTTTGTAACCATTCCCTTGTTAATCTCAGAGCGTTTGCTGTTTTAAAGCTGGAGAGTCCTGTCATCACCTTTTTGGGATACCTGTTTTGAACTTATCAATCCCATCTCTTTTGGTTTTTTCTACCAGTGGGGTAGGACTATCATTTTATCATATTTTGTTTGTTTTGTTTTCTCATACAGGTGAACCAGTCGATGAGGAAGCTATAGATAATGTTAAGGAAGAATGGAGGGCGCAGTGGGGCATAAAATGCAACATGTGTGAGCAAGTATTCCCATTCAAGGTCGAGTTTGATAAGCATTACATGGCCAGCTATAATCTGAGACCTGTATACACATGCACATTCTGCAACAAGCCTTTGGAGAAGTATTCCACATTCAGGTCCCATTGCTACAGGCACATCACTGAAGGTCGTTACAAGTAAGTTCAATATCAAAAACCGAGAATCAAAAAATTCAAAACTAGGTTCAAAAATTATGTGTATGGCTCTTTCTAACCAGTAGAAAAACAGATTACTAATTTATTGTTACCTTATATATGTGAGATTTTTTTTTTATCGGGAAACACTAATGAAGGAAAAAATGAACAATACTGAGAAACCATTGTGATACACGGGTCTTGGATGCCCTCAGCCTTCCTTGACAAGAGACTGTAAGAGGCATTATGAAACATTGGGCCAACTGAAAAATTTTCATAATTTGCTGGACATTTGATGTATACAGGGAAAGCCAAATTTGTGTGTATCAACACATGTTAGAAAGATATAGAAGTCGGCTGAAGAGCGAAGGTCATCACCATATTGCCTAGCAACGGTGACGCAGAAGGTCGTGCAATCTACCGCGTTTCCAATATGTTACACTAGAAAATGTTCACACAGGCTTCTACAATAGGTTAGGTTTCTGTCAAACTCAAGAAGGAGGTCTGTTTGTTTGTTTGTTTGTTGAAGATTTATTTAGTATTAATTCTACAATGTCAATGTTATATAATTATTCGCTTACATATTTTTCTTCTATTCATTTTCTGTAATTTTACATTCTTATTATCCATTAAATTTTAAATTGTGTTTTCATTTTGACTAAAATTATTTATTTTAATGTTGATGCAACTTCCTGTTTTTTGTTTTAATTTATTTTAGAATCATCTTTGATTTCCACCGACGGCGACGGTGATAAAATCAACACATCCTGATTTATTGTTACATTTTGCTAAAGTGAGCTGTCGGAAAATGTAACAAATACCATTATGCAGGACAAATTATCTCTGTCCGCGTGTAAGCAGGTGAAAACCATTTCGAAGCAGGACCACACTCCCCAATGAGCGCTAGATGGGTACCGACTAAAATCGCGCATCTATGATCATGGAGGTGGAAACCTTGCCTTGGAATGTATGAGATGCAGTGTTGCCGAGCGAACCAATGATGCAATTTTGCAGAATTTGTGACGATCCTGACCTTTCATTTCGACCTAAAATGAAGGGCCGTTAGGACCGATCCGGAATCGATCCTAAACAGATTCGACACAATTCACAATTCAAAAATGTGTACGCTTAAAATAAAACCATTATTTGGGAAGACTAAACTAACGCATATTTTCAACATGCATCTTAATTTAAGGAACTAGTAACATGTTAGCAACGCAGCAGATTGCCATCCAGCCGACTTGTGTCTATTTCTAACATATGCGTCTATTAACACTACTCTCTCGTACACATTAAACTCAAGCCGTCAGACAAATTTGGTTTTCAGTGTACACGAATTGGGGATCGACCGATACCTATATGTGTATCGACAGTATCGGCCTAATTTGCCTATATACGAATCGGCCCATATGACTCCCCATATGCCAATATAGGCCGACCAATAAGAATCAGAAGGTTAATAAGGATCAGATTACGGGATTGAAATACGTATGCTAATTAATAATTCATTATTGAGAGTCAGATTTATAGACCTTCCTTGAAGCTTGATGCTTGCTTGGAAAAAATAGATATTAGATATCTCCTTGGAAACAGTCAAACAATGACGCTTTTTGAGGAACGTTCAAGACAAGATATTAGTTTTCACTTCAGATTAGACTGTAACAGTTGTCATCACAAGCTGTCGCTGTCGGAAATATTTTTCTTCGCTGGCCGTATCTGTTTAGCATTTTGATGATAAAAGTGTTTCACTGTTTCCAAGCAGAAACCCATTGTTTCCAAGTAAGCCTCAAGGAAGGTCTATAGATCTGATTCTTAAATCTCTCTTCTGTTTTTTGCATAGGATATAAATTGTACTGATGACTTTGCCATTCTTTTGATTGGAAATTTTGTCGAAATCTTTTCGCACTGTGCGTTTTTCCGGGGTTTCCATCATGTTCGTGCAATATTGAATGTATTCAAAGCAAATTAAGGCGCGACTCACAGTGAAGAAACCCGTTTTGTGAAACTGGGGTTGTTTGTGACAGATAGAAAACCTGTTAGAAGAACTTAGGTCTGTGAACACCTGTGTTTCATGAATCGCAATTTTACAGAATCGAGTTTCTTTCAATGCTTTCCTGGGACCTTAGTTTTCCACAGTTGGAACGCAAAGTGGCTTTGACATTCAATATGTATTCTTGAATTCCATAGGATCATTCATGTAAGTGCTGTGTGCGGATTTCTGATCAACGGGTGGATACATACTTTCGTTTTTTTTATTTAGTAGATACATCCACAAATGTATAACCATGCTCATGAGAATGTATATCGCTATAGTTATTTTCACGGTTTTTGACGGTTACATGACAATCCCATTCGAAATAACTAAACAGATTGACTAATAGTATCATGAGCTTAACTTAATTTCCCCGAGGGAAATTGCCCTCAGTGCAAGCTACCACCCTACTTGCACACGCTCATTCATTGAGTGATACAGGACCGTTGTTTTCACTCACTTTCTGAAAGTACTTCTAATACAGACTGTTGGCATTGTAGTTGAATATTCAGGAACTACTATTTTTCAACACCGAAGTAGCCGCGCAGGCAGAAGCCTAAATGCCATGGCACCGCGGCTGCTATGAGGAACTTGAAGAAATTTTGTTAGTCCGATTTTTATATCGAACATCAACGTGGGTGAGCACAAATCACATGTCCATGGCAAATAAGTTGTCATACTGACAGCGCCAAGCATAAATGTGGAAGACTGATTATTTTCATAGTAGTTTGACAACACTTTGTCTTTGTCTTTGAGTTTACGCAAACGTGATAGATGCCGATTGAAAATGTTGTGTAAAGGAGATAAATGTATGAAAGAAATTCCTGTAGTTTTACTGTGACCCGCCAAAAACCGCCAAAGGATACTGTCGTACGATGGAAGATATTTCCATATGCGGATTTTCATTGAAATACATTTTTGAAGACGGTTCTATAATATGAATTAGGATATACGCGTTCACACCCGATTTTTTGATTATGTACAGAAAAAGATGTAAGGCACACCGATATGTCGGCCTTTGATCCATCGGTATCGGCAAAGATCCTAATAAGTAAATAATCAAATAAAATAAAAAACAACCTATATTTCTAATCATAATCACTGTACAGCACTGAATGAATTAATGAATCTTGAAATTAGAGGCATTCCGGCCACCATAAGGAGCCAGTGAATAGGCCACTTAAGCGGGCCCTTATGCACCTCTACAATCCTTAGATCACAAGCCTCGCCCTTTTAGCGAAGTTGAGTATCGTCTTGAGTCCAAGCTCCTTGACGTTCTGAGGGTCCAAAGTAATGGACCCCAGTATAGTCTGCCTATAGTAGCTCAGAGCTTCACAGCGACATAAAACGTGCGCCGAAGTCTCTTCCTCTACTCCGCAGCGTTCACACAAGGGATCCTCAGCCACCCCCATCACGTGCAGGTGACGCCTTAACGTGTTATGGCGAGACAACAGTCCCACCAGCAACCTTAGGTTGGCTCTATCCAGAGATAGGCAGAAGCGTCCATCCGTAGCACTGGGCCCTTCAATGAGTTCTCGTGCCTGGCGGAGATGTCTGGAGATACTTCTCCATTTCTGAGAGTGTTGTCTTGCAACCCACGTCTCCATTTTCCTCCTAGCGTTATGCGCGGTCACTCCTAGAGCTGGCTCAGGACCAACGAGCTTGCTGGCTGATCTTGTCTTCGCCAGAGTGTCCGCCGTCTCATTGCCCCTTATCCCAGCGTGCCCCGGTTCCCATATTAACGATACCGGATGCCTCGCTGTGAGGTAATCCAGAGTCTCCCAGCAGTGCAATACAAGACTCGAAGTAATCTTACAGGCACTTAGTGTTTTCATTGCAGCCTGGCTGTCGGATAAGATTGTTACTCTTCTCCTATGCCCACCCTCCTCCAGCATGTGAGATATACAAGCCAGAATCGCAAAGATTTCCGCCTGGAAAATGGTGGTGTATCCACCGAGAGGCAGAGATAGCCTACTTCTAGGCCCAGAGACCCCAGCACCTGAGCCCTCTTCGGTGACCGAGCCGTCCGTGTACCAGACCTGCCCGCTCACTCCGGAGAGTCCCCGGCTACCGGCGTCCCACTCCTCCCTTGTTGGATACTCCACAATAAACTTGCGGTTGAAGCGATATTTAGGGGTATAGCACTTGTAACAGTTAACAAAAAATATGCATAAGATATAAAGAGAAACAACTTTATGAAAAAAGTGCAGGTATTCAGTCTCATTGTTAATCAATTTTATTGTGTTTTGCAGGCAGTTGAAAAATTTCAGACATGTGTAATATGGAGTCTTTTCATTTAAAGTTAGTCTATGTCTAGGATAATTTACATTTGAATTTCTTCTCTTGTAAGTATGACTTGTAGGTCAAACATATCTCTGTTCTTAAAAGGAAAATCAAACATTCATATATGTATAGTCCATATACTGTCAAGGAGCCATTGGATCTAAAAGTACCTTTACAACGATCTTTATACCCCATAATCTTAAATATTCTAAGCACTCGTTTTTGTATAACAAATATTCTGTGTATTGCACTATTACTACCGCAGAAAAGAAGTCCTTACCTAAGTACTGATTCAAAGTTTGCATAAAATATACATTTCACACTTTTTTCATTCATATACCTCGCAACTACCCGGATTCCATATCAAATTGAACTTAATGTTTGACTTACCTCACAGATGTGGTGTGACCAGTCCAAGCATTCATCTAAATGAACACCAAGAAATTTTGTATTGCACACCGATTGAAACTGTGACTGCCCGAAGCTGAATGTTTCAGGCTTTTCGACTCTATTTTGTCTTGTTCTGATCCTTAATGCAATGGTTTTTGTTTCATTAAGTAGTAACCTGTTATCTGAAAACCATGTTTTTGCTCTCGAAAAAAGGTTTGCTCCTGATACTGAAAAATCCTCAACAGTCCTTTCCCATGTCAGTACATTAGTCTCCATGTCATTAAATTAGTGTCGTCAG